ATATTATTTTTTATTATTAGCATTATATTACATTACATTATAATATTATCAATATTATATGTATATTCAATATATTATATTTATATACAATATATTATATTTATATACAACTAGCTGTGCCCTGCCACGCGTTGCTGTGGCCTATAGTAAAACTTATCAAAGTTGAGGTAGATATCTGGACTATTATGAAAGAGAGGTCCCTACCTATTCCTTCCCCCTTTTCCTCCCCATTTCTCTCCTTTCTTCCTTCTTCACTACTTGGTTTCATCCTTCTCTCTTTCCTTCATTCCCTCCCCCTTTCTTCCTTTGCCTTTCTTTCCTCCCTGTTTGCTTCCTTCTTTCACTTTTTATTTCCTTTTATTTCACCACCATCATAACAACAACAATAATGCAATGCATTGCCTCTGGGACCTGACACCTCTCCCATTCCCCCTAAAAGGGTCTCATAGGAACAATAGCATAATAATAATAATAGAAATAACAACCTTTACCCGCCACGTGTTGCTGTGGCCAATCTTCCCTCTTTCCCTCCTTCTTTCCCTCCTTCTTCTTCCTTCCTTCCCTCCTTTCTTCCTTTCTTTCTCTCTCTTCCTTCCTTCCTTTTCTTCTTTTCTCTTCTCTCTTTCTACCTCTTTCCTTTTCTTTCCTTTTCTTCTTCCTTCTTTCTCTAACTTTCCTTCCTTCCCCCTTTTTCTTTACCTCCCTTTCTCTTTTCTTCCTTCTTTCCTTCCTTCCTGTCTTTCCTAGATTTTGACAGGGCGGGAAGGGGCGGGTGGGGTTTGGAGGTGGCGTGAAGTAAAAGGAGGTAAGATTGGGGTGGGGGAGTGATGGAGCGTGGGGGTGTGTGTGTGTGTGCAGCGGCGGGGGGAGTGATGGAGCGTGGGGTTGCGTGTGTGTGTGCGGCGGCGGGGGGAGTGGGGTTGCGTGTGTGTGCGGCGGCGGGGGGAGTGATGGAGCGTGGGGTTGCGTGTGTGTGTGCGGCGGCGGGGGGAGTGATGGGGCGTGGGGTGTGTGTGCGGCGGCGGGGGGAGTGATGGAGCGTGGGGTTGTGTGTGTGTGCGGCGGCGGGGGGAGTGGGGTTGCGTGTGTGTGTGCGGCGCGGGGAGTAATGGAGCGTGGGGTTGCGTGTGTGTGTGCGGCGGCGGGGGGAGTGGGGTTGCGTGTGTGTGTGCGGCGGCGGGGGGAGTGATGGAGCGTGGGGTTGCGTGTGTGTGTGCGGCAGGGGTGTGTGTGTGTGCGGGAAGCGGCGCGGCGGCTTGGAGTGGGCATGGTTTCCGCAGAGGGAACGTTGGCCGGAAGGCCATGTGCGCGCGCGCAGGGAACTTGCGGCTGGGCACCAATGCGCATGCTCAGTTGTTTTGCCGTTTTGTGAGTGTGTTGTTGTGTTGTTTTTCATTTTGAGTAGATATGTTTGTACCTTGTGGGTTGTGTTATGGGCATGGCAATTTTGGTTAAGTTTCGTTGGGGTTTTTTGAGTTTTGTTGTTTTGCCGTTTTGTGAGTGTGTTGTTGTGTTGTTTTTCATTTTGAGTAGATATGTTTGTACCTTGTGGGTTGTGTTATGGGCATGGGAATTTTGGTTAAGTTTCGTTGGGGGTTTTTTTGAGTTTTGTTATTTTGCAGTTTTGTGAGTGTGTTGTTGTGTTGTTTTTCATTTTGAGTAGATATGTTGTACCTTGTGGGTTGTGTTATGGGCATGGGAATTTTGGTTAAGTTTCGTTGGGGGTTTTTGAGTTTTGTTGTTTTGCCGTTTTGTGAGTGTGTTGTTGTGTTGTTTTTCATTTTGAGTAGATATGTTTGTACCTTGTGGGTTGTGTTATGGGCATGGGAATTTTGGTTAAGTTTCTTTGGGGTTTTTTGAGTTTTGTTTCCTCGTTGGATGCCCCTAACAAATTTATATATATAGATATATTATATTATATTATATTATATTATATTATTAGTACAGTGCAGGAGACAAGGTGGAACTGTGTTTACCAAGCATGTCTCCCATGGTGATGATGCAGCTTACAAGTAATATGTAATTACAACATATTATATTATTACCATAGCACAATATTAGTATTATATATTACTATATGGTACTATTCCATTATATTGTAATGGATATTTAAGTAAGCTTCCAAACAATGCTATTCTACCCGCCCCCTCGTTCCATCCTTCCTTATTGGATTATTTATTTAATTATTACATTAATTTATTTAATTATGACATCCTTCTCACCCTGAAGGAGACTCAGAGCAGCTTACAAGTAATATGTAAATACATTATATTACTAGCACAATATCAATATTATATATTACTATATTGTACTATACCATTATACTGTAATATTATTAGTAATATTACATGTAATATAAAATATATAATTATAATATATAATTATTAGTATTATATTGTATAACAATGTTTATTATTATTATTATTATTATTATTATTATTATTCACTCAAAAGTACAGTATGTCACAGCTAACGAGATATATATGCTGGATTTCTATCACAAAATCACAAGTCGAACACTTCCCAAGCGTCTAGGACTGTGTGATGTAATATCTTATTATTATTTATTATTATTATTATTATTATTATTATTATTATTACTAGCCGTCCCCTGCCATGCGTTGCTGTGGCCCACATGGGGGTTCTGTGTGGGAGGTTTGGCCCAATTCTATTGGTGGGTTCAGAATGCTCTGTGATTGTAGGTGAACTATAAATCCCAGCAACTACAACTCCCAAATGACAAAATCAATTTTTTGAGTGAAGGACATATATTGGGTTGTTAGGTGTCTTGTCCAAATTTGGTGTCAATTCCCCCAGTGGTTTTTGAGTTCTGTTAATCCCACAAACAAACATTACATTTTATTTATATAGATCATAAATGCATTATTATTATTATTACTCTTGTTTTTTTATCAATTAAGTTTATATAATTTACTAGCTGTGCCCTGACACGCGTTGCTGTGGCCTATAGTAAAACTTATCAAAGTTGAGGTAGATATCTGGACTATTATGAAAGAGAGGTACCTACCTATTCCTTCCCCCTTTTCCTCCCCATTTCTCTCCTTTCTTCCTTCTCTACCTCTTTCTTTCTTTCACTACTTGGTTTCCTCCTTCTCTCTGTCCTTCATTCCCTCCCCCTTTCTTCCTGTTTGCTTCCTTCTTTCACTTTTTCTTTCCTTTTATTTTACCACCATCATAACAATAACAATAATGCAATGCATTGCCTCTGAGACCTGACACCTCTCCCATTCCTCCAGGGTCTCCTTATAAGAACAATAAATAAAATAATAATAATAATAATAATAATAATAATAATAATAAGAAGAAGAAGAAACCTAGGCACTTGGGGCCAAATCTGACCTGCTTCTCTCTTACTTTCCTCGTCCTTCTATCTACTTTATCCGCCATATTTCCTCGCCTCTTAGTTATCGACCGCGTTCCAACTTCCATTTTCTTTATTGTCTGCTGGCTCTCTTTCGTTCCTTAATAGCGCTATTTCATTTAATTGTTAGGATGCGTAGTGAGCTAAGTCAGTTTACACCGGTTTGAGGGACAGACCTTCTCTTTCTTCCTCTTCCTGTCTTTCCTAGATTTTGACAGGGCGGGAAGGGGCGGGGTGGGGTTTGGAGGTGGCGTGAAGTAAAAGGAGGTAAGATTATATTATATTATATTATATTATATTATATTATTAGCACAGTGCAGGAGACAAGGTGGAGCTGTGCTTACCAAGCGTGTCTCCCATAGTGATGATGGTTCTTGTCTCGACGTCCATATTGTTGGTCAAGTTGGACAGGACCATGGCCAAGTGGGGCCTCCAGTCGCCCCATTTCTCGTCGCCGCAGCACTAGAGCGAAATGGGGAGAAGAAGCACATCGGAATTAGCTAGGGATGAGGTAGGGTCATCAAACCCATTTTCAGTTGAGGGTCGCATCAATCTTATTATCAATCTTAGCACAGCTGGTTAATCACCAGCAGCAATATATCAAATCAAAGATCTTTTTAGTCACCCTCCTCTGGACCAGCTTTTAAATCTCCCTTTTAAATTGTGGTACCCAGAATTGGTCATAATATTCCAGGTGAGGTCTGACCAAAACAGAAGCGAGGACCTGTCCTCTGTTCATCCAGAGACCACAGAGAAGCTTCTACGGCAACGAGGAGCTGAACTCACCGTTGATGCGGCCGGCATCCTGCCAGACATGAGCTGGTATACCGTCTGCAGCGGGTCATTTATCGGAAGGCTGTTGGCAAACCTGAGGAGACAACAACAAACAGAATGGCTCTCGTTTCCAAGGAGGAACCTGTGCCAAGTCTATTCAGAGAGTGAGAGAACCAGAAAGGATGGGCGAAGTGGGACTGAAGACTGCTTTTGACTCCCTGACACACCGAAAAGCGCAAAGATGTATTACTGGAGACTCACAATGCACATATACATGGCAAACATTCAATGCCATAGACACACAACATGTATAGACAGACACACAGAGGCGATTTAACTTTCCAGCTTCATGAGGGTAGGCTTCAAAATCCAGCCACCGGGGGAGCTCTCGCTTCACCATTCACTTGTGACACCGATGGAGTACTTCCTCATTCTTTTGCACGCTGTTGGAGAGTTTTACTACCTACAGACCCATTAAGAAAATCCAACGAATGCTCCGTTCATCAAAGGACAAGAGGGATCCTCTCACCTCTGCAGGAGTCTATTGTTGTATGTTCAGCCTGTGATTGTGTCTGATCATCAGGCTGCTTTGGATGATGGGAATGGCAAGGATGTTCATGCTCAAGCTGACTTCCCTGCTGGAAATGGGGATGCTGTTCATGAAGATGTTCTTAAAAGGAATGAAGATGATGGTCTGTTTCCTAGGCCTGGTTTCAGAGATGTGGAGCCTGAATGCAGTTTAGAGTCGCCATCCCATTTCCCCCACTCCCCGGGTGAGAAAAGCGGTATACAAATGAAGTAAGTTGTGCAGGTACAGCTGTACCAGGAGCTCCAATTTTGTTTGCTTTGCATTGAATGTTTGTTGCAGTCCTAAGTTTCAGGGACTCTGCAGATAGGTGGCTTCTTTTGGCTGCAATCGTAGGGCAAGCCACCTGTCAATTATAGTTAGGTTCCCTGGTCCCACCCCCTTTTTGAGTTTTAGAGGGAATAGGAGCCATTTTGAGTTCAGTCCACACAGAGCAGCTTTCCATGCAGGACATAATACCAAGAGCTCCTGTAGAAAGCTTCGTCTTCTACGGCTTGGCCGGGGAGATATACAGCCTACAGCTTGGCCAGGGTTATACAGCCCACAGCTTGGCCGAGGATCATACAGCCTTACAGCTCCTTTGCTGAAGGACTTCAGCCGGACATCACTGAAACCTGAACTCCTTCTTTTCCCCTGGAAGTCTACAAAGCTCTGCTTGGTAAGGGTCGCTCGCAGAAGCCAGGCGCAGTTGGTACCGGGTGCAGGGCTCCACGCCAACAGAGGCAAAGACAGACTGCCCAGATTAGAAGTTAAGGATTTCCCCATTAGTTAAAATACCAGTTATGAAGATAGTGCCTGTTCCCTGTGGACAAGATTGAGAGAGCCAATAGACTGTTAAGAAAGCCTTAAAGTACCTGTTTGTTTTCATCAATAAAGAACTTTGTTGAACCTTTAAGCATTCTAGAGACTGTGTTTTAAGGAAATCCAAGGGCCTTTAATCTGAGGCAGCCCCGGCGTCCCGTTGGGCACACAGAATTTATGTCCTGTCTACAGTTTTATGCACAGGCCCAGCGTGCGACAGCACATAAGTAAATAAGCAAATAACCAAAAAACAGGGGAATTCTACACAAGAATCAATCAGGGCTAGCTAATACCGCCATACAAAGGATTCCCCCAGGCAGAAATCGGCCAGGCTTTGAAGCTGCAAGGCTTTGCAATGCTAATCAAGGTGATTAATTGCATCTTTCACACTTGCCTCCAAAAGACAAGAGTTCTTTCTCCCACCCTGGACCTTCAACAGAGATAGATAGATAGATAGATAGATAGATAGATAGATAGATAGATAAATGTAATGTTCGTTTGTGGAATTAACTCAAAAACCACTGGATGAATTGGCACCAAATTTGGACACAATACACCTCTCAGGCCAACGAGTGACCATTACTCATAAAATCACTAAAAAATACAGCGGAAGAAACTTAAAAAGCCAAATTTACAATGCATGCACATAACCACAGATGTATACAAATATACACACACACAAATATACACACACAAAACACATATACACACACTGGGCCACAGCAACACATGGCAGGGACAGCTAGTGTGTGTGTATATATGTGTGTGTGTGTGTGTGTGTGTGTGTGTGTGTGTGTGTGTGTGTGTATATATATATATATATATATATATATATATATAAACCCCACTTGCCTAGTTTCCAACAGACCTCTGAGGAGTCATCATCCCGTACCCCCCTCCCCGGGTGAGAAAAGCGGTATACAAGTGAATTAATTAAGTAAATAAATAAACAAAAACAGGGGAATTCTAGACAAGATTTCTCCAGGCAGAAATCAGTTGCATCTTTCACACTTGCCTACAACAGACAAGAGTTCTTTCTCCCACCCTGGACCTTCAACAGATATATATATATATATATATAACCCCACTTGACTAGTTTCCAACAGAAAAGGAGTCGTCATCCCATACCCCCCCATGAGAAAAGTGGTATACAAGTTAATTAATCTATATAAATAATAATGTAATGTTCGTTTGTGGGATTAGCATAACTCTAAAACCATGGAACGAATTGACACCAAATTTGGACACAAGACACGTATCAGGCCAACGAGTGACCATCACTCATAAAAACAACTGAAAAACACAGCAGAAGAGAATTAAAAAGCAAAAAAATAAAAATAAAAATAACATTATAACACATGCACAAAAACACATATACACATACATACACACACAAAACTCATATACCCAGACAGGGCCACAGCAACGCGTAGCAGGGGATGGCTAGCTAAGTAAATAAATAAACAGAAACAGGGGAATTCCAGACAAGATTCCCCCAGGCAGAAATCAGCCAGGCTTTGAAGCTGCAAGGCTTTGCAATGCTAATCAAAGTGATTAATTCCAACTTTCACACTTGCCTCCATCAGACCTCTGAGGATGCTGGGCATAGATGTGGGTGAAACGTCAGGAGAGAATGCTTCTGGAACATGGCAGCTTGGAAAACTCACATCAACACATGAAAGCCTCAAACAACAGCATCTGGAGGTCCTACCTGGTCATCACCCGTGCGTGGGTCCGGCTGTCCATCTTGCTGGCCAGCAACAAGGCGTGGCCCCAGAGGCCGTGCTTCATGGCAGACTCCAGAGCGTCCTGCAGGGAGAGGGTTTGCTGCCTTAGAAAAGGGAATCCACTGTGAAGGACCAGCTGTCTTTGCTTCCGGCATGCCCCCGCCCCATTGGAAGCCCCAGGCATGGAGAAGCCTTACCTTCTTACGACCGTAAAGCAGAAGCTCCCGGAAGCGCTCCGTCTCCTTCTCCAGGCTGTCGATGGTGGCGATGAGGCTGTCAGTGAGGAAGGAGAGCTGGGCCTCCCCGGATTCCTCCTCCGCATGGTCCAGGGCCTCGTTGGTGAAGTCAATCAGGTTGGCTTCGTTGGGCGACTTCCCCGGGAGCCACACCGTTTTGTGATCACGGAGGAGGAGCTCGGCAATGTCGGTGCCCACCACCGTCTGGAAACAAAACACCTGTATTGACTCCAGGTTCAGGAACCCAGCTGACCTGTCTGAACGTACCTCCTGCAAAGTCTAAGATCGACAGGAAAGGCCCTGCTCTCGGTCCCACCATCCTTGCAGACGCGACTGGTGGAGACAAGAGACAGGGCCTTCCTTCTCAGTGGTGGCATTTCAACTGTGGAACTCTCTACCCAGTGACATTAGATTGGCCCCCTCCCTCTTGTCCTTTAGAACGAAACTCAAAACCTGGTTATGAGACGAAGCGTTCCAATAGTAGAGGCAGCCACTTACCTGTCAGAACGCATCTCCCATCTAGGACGTTAAGATCGTCTGGGGAGGCTCTGCTTTCGATCCCGCCTGCGTCACAAATACGTTTGGCGGGGAGGAGAGACAGGGCCTTCTCAGTGGTGGCTCCTTGGCTATGGAACGCCCTTCCTAGAGACATTAGATAGGCCCCCTCCCTTTTAACATTCCGGAAAAAAGTCAAGATTTGGCGTTTTGAGCAAGCGTTTGAAAATGCAGTGTATCACATATAGGAATATGAAACTGGATGATGAGACTGGACAACGTTTTAACTAGGAGACGCAAATGATTTATGTCTTATTGATCTTGCTATGGTTTTATATTATATGTGGTATATTATATATTATAGACCTGTCAGCAGCTTATGATACTGTAAACCACTGCCTCCTCCTGAGAAAAATGTATAATATCACAAAGGACGACCACCTCACCTGCCTCATAGGAAACCTGCTACAAAACAGGAGCTTTTTTGTTGAGTTCCAGGGCCAGAGAAGCAGATGGCGGAAACAGAAGAACGGCCTGCCTCAGGGGAGCGTGCTTGCTCCATCCATGTTCAACATCTACACACATGACCAGCCACTGCCAGAAGGGACAGAGAGCTTCATCTATGCTGATGATCATGCCATTACTGCTCAAGCAGGGAGCTTTGAGATGGTTGAACAGAAGCTCTCCGAAGCTCTAGGTGCTCTTACTGCCTATTACAGGGAAAACCAGCTGATTCCTAATCCATCTGAAATGCAGATGTGTGCTTTTCACCTTAAGAACAGACAAGCATCCCGAGCTCTGAGGATGACCTGGGAAGGAATCCCACTGGAGCATTGCAGCGCACCCAAATACCTGGGAGTCACTCTGGACCGTTCTCTGACCTACAAGAAGCACTGCCTGAACATCAAGCAAAAAGTGGGTGCTAGAAACAATATCATACGAAAGCTGACTGGCACAACCTGGGGATCACAACCAGACACAGTGAAGACATCTGCCCTTGCGCTATGCTACTCTGCTGCTGAGTACGCATGCCCAGTGTGGAACACATCTCACCACACTACAACAGTGGATGTGGCTCTTAATTAGACATGACGCATTATCACGGGGTGTCTGCACCCTACACCACTGGAGAAATTACACTGCTTAGCCAGTATTGCACCACCTGACATCCCGGGAAGTAGCAGCCAATAGTGAAAGGACCAAGGCAGAGACATCTCCAGCTCATCCCCTGTTTGGGTATCAGCCAGCACGTCAACGACTTAAATCAAGAAATAGTTTTCTAAGATCTACAGAGACACTCGTTGGAACACCCCAGCAAGCGAGAGTCCAAAAGTGGCAGGCTCAAACCCAGAACCTCAACCAATGGCTGAATACCCAATGAGAGACTCCCTTTTGGGCACACAGAAGACTGGCCGACTTGGAAGGCGCTGAACAGACTGCGCTCTGGCACCACGAGATGCAGAGCCAACCTCCAGAAATGGGGCCACAAAGTGGAATCCACGACATGCGAGTGTGGAGAAGAGCAAACCACTGACCACCTGCTGCAATGCAACCTGAGCCCTGCCACATGCACAATGGAGGACCTTCTTGCAGCAACACCAGAGGCACTCCAAGGGGCCAGATACTGGTCAAAGGACATTTAATCAACTACCAAGTTTGCAAACTCTGTGTTTTTTTTTATCTGTTTGTTTGTTTTGTTCTGTTAGAAATGTAATACAATGGTCTGGTTCCCTGACACGATAAATAAATAAATAAATAAATAAATAAAATTATATGTTAATGTTTTTAAATGTTTTAAATGTTTTGATGGTGTTGTTGGGCACTGAATTATTGCCTCTGTAAACCGCCTTGAGTCGCCTGCGGGCTGAGAAGGGCGGTAATACAAATATAGTAAAAAACAAATAAATAATAAATAGAATGAGACCCAATTTGTGTGAATGACAACGGACTGACCTGGACTATGTGTTATGATGGAGTCTTCGAGTAGTGATACTACTGGGAGTATTAGGAGGGGAAGAAAGACTACTCGTGAGCAAGACTCCGATGAGGAGCAACAGAGAAAGCGGATCTGGGAAATACTTATGGAATCCAGTGATGATGAATCATTTGTGGGCTTTGCAGGGAATAATGGGTCTGAGACTGAGGAGAGTGGTATGGCAAGTTCAGAGGATGAAGAAATGGATTGGACTAAAGTACGGGAGGTTCAGGCCGTCTGTGAAGAGCCCACAAGTAGCGATACATTTGTGGGTTTCTCTGGAGGAGAGGATTGGCACACTGGGGATCCGGTTGAATCTTGGGGAGTTATGGGTTTGGATAGAAGATGGAGAGACTGGAGAGATCGGCAAGGGGCTTCAGGTGGAAGGAGAAATGGTGGGGAGTTGTCCGATTCCAGTTCGGAGAAGGAATTGGGGCAAGGGGCTTCAGCTGCAAAGGGAGTTGGCAGGGCGTTGGCTAGTTCCAGCTCCGAGGAAGATTTGTAAGCTCAAAAGGTTGCCCATCACTGATCTATGGGATACTATATAGGACCAGACTAAGTCTATGCGCATACCCCATTCTGCCGGCAGAGGAGGACGATGAAGTCCCAGAGCAGGCAGGCCGACTCCTTGTCAAGCAGCACCTCGTCCTGAGAGCAGCGAGTGGCTTTGTTCTGGGCAAAATTAATGACATCCACTTTGTGGGTGTCGTCTCTAGGAAAAGAAAAAAGAAGAGGAGGATCTTGAGAGCTGGTAAAAATTAAATTATTATTAATAATAATATTAATATTTGATAAAAGTGTGAGGTGTTCAAACTCAGCTAAACTTACTTGGTGAGTGGCCCAGGAAATGCTCTCATCTCCTCTTGCTCTGGCAAATGCTGCATCATCATCTGTGGAGGAAGGTAAGGCAAGAATAGATTGTGTCACAATGCATGACAGATGGGGGTTGGACTGGATGGCCCTTGGGGTCTCTTCCAGCTCTAGGATTCCATGATTCAATCATCTATCCACCCATCCATCCATCCATCATCTAAACATCCATTCATCAGTCTTCCTCTCTTGTCTGTCTATCTATCTATCTATCTATCTATCTATCTTATCATCCATCCATCCATCCATTTAAAATGGTTAGATGATAGGTAGGTTGGCTGGTAGGTAGATGATCAAATAATAGAATCTATCTTAGGAGATCTATCTTAGATGGTTGAACTGGATGGCCCTTGGGGTCCCTTCCAACTCTAGGATTCCATAATTCGATTATCTATTTATCATATAGCCATTAATCTGTCTCTCATCTATCCATCCATCCACCATCCATCTAACAATATTTGAGGGTTTGACTGAATAGCCCTTGGGATCATCTATCTATCTATCTATCTATCTATCTATCTATCTATCTATCTATCTATCTATCTATCTATCTATCTATCTAATCATCCATCCATCTAAAACAGTTAGATGATAGGTAGGTGGGTAGACAGGTAGGTAGATGATCAAATAATAGAATTTTGAAGGAGATCTCTCTTAGATGGTTGGACTGGATGGCCCTTGGGGTCCCTTCCAACTCTAGAATTCCACAATTAGATTCTCTCCCCCCCTCTCTCTATCATATATCCATTAATCTGTCTCTCATTCATCCACCCACCTATCTACCTAACAATATTTCAGGGTTTGACTGAATAGCCCTTGGGGTCATCTATCTATCTATCTATCTATCCATCCATCCATCCATCCATCCATCCATCCATCCATCCATCCATCTAATCATCCATCCATCCAAAACAATTAGATGATAGATAGTAGGTAGACAGGTAGGTAGATGATCAAACAATAGAATCTTGGAGATCTATCTTAGATGGTTGAACTGGATGGCCCTTGGGGTCTCTTCCAACTCTAGGATTCTATTAGGTAGGTATCCATCCATCCATCCAAAATAGATAGATGGTAGGTAAGTAGGTAGGTAGATGATCAAACAATAGAATCTTAAGAGTTGGAGATCTATCTTAGATGGTTGGACTGGATGGCCCTTGGGGTCTCTAGGATTCTATTATTCATCCATCTATCTATCCACCCACTTATCTATCTATCTTAGATTGTTAGATTAGTGGCCCTTAGAATCTCTTCCAATTCTAGGATTCTATTATTCAATTGTCTGTCCATCTATCCATCTAAAATAGATAGATAGATAGATAGATAGATAGATAGGTAGGTATATTGATAATGACTGAGTAATAGAATCTTAGAGTTAAAAGGGCCACTCAATCCAACCTTCTAAGATAAGTAGACCTTGAGGACTCTTCCAACGCTGAGATTCTATTATTCAATCATATCTATCTATCTATCTATCTATCTATCTATCTATCTTAGATGGTTAGACTAGGTGGCCCTTGGGAGTCGCCTCCAACTCTAGGATTCTATTATTTGTCTATCAACCAATCAACCAAACAATCAACCAAACAATCAATCATATATCCATTCATCTGTCTCATCCATCCATCCATCCACCTATCCATCTAACAATATTTGAGGGTTGGACTGAATGGCCCTTGGGGTCTTCTATCTATCTATTTAGCTTAGAAGGTTGGACTGGATGGTCCTTGGAGTTTCTTCCAACTCTACGATTCCAGGTTCCTCTCAAAACTACAAATCCCAAATGAAATAAGCCAGATCTGTGGTACTTAAGGTGAAATTGTGTAATGAAGATAGGTTACATGCCCATGGGTCGGGGCAGAGGTGCCCTTTGGAGGGATTTTCCTCCAACAAGAACAAATGGGGGGAGGGGGCAGGAGGAGAAATGATGCTGAACCATGTGTTCCCTCTCCCTCACCTCCATGCTGTGGATCTCGACCAAAGCGGGTTGTCCTTCGGAGGGCAGGTTTGGCAGCGCCTTTATGAGGTAGCCTCCGGGGCCGAACCGGGCGCAGACATGGGGCACTGAGAACTTCTCTGGCGTCAGAGGCCTCGAAGGGACTATGATGGGAAGAAGAAATGCTAAACATTGATGTAAAGGCTAAACACTGATGGAGCAAGCACGCTCCCCTAAGGCAGGTTGTTCTTCTGTGTTCGCCATCTGCTTCTCTGGCCCTGGAACTCAACAAAAAAGCTCCTGTTTTGTAGCAGATTCCCAAACATAAGGTTCTTCCAAAAAGCCTAGGAAATCTGATGCTGGGTGGAAACCCTTCCAATGAACACAAAAAAGCAGCTATCAGAGATTCCAAAAAGGAGGAGCTAGGACTACACAGCCTTGGAGAGAAGATTCACTAATAACAATAGTAATAACAGCAACTACTACTACTGCTACTCTACTTTATATTTGTACCCCGCCTCCATCTCCCCGAAGGGACTCGGGGCGATTTACATGGGGCTAAGCTTCTCACTTCAGGGATTGAGCCCATACCTTGTTCGACCGTTGGCCAAGCCGCTTGGGCCGAGTGGTTATAATCCGCCAGAGAGGGAGGGTTCATGTACGGGGGATATCCCCCACAAGAATACTCCGTATGCAGCGAGGCTGGCCGATGGTCCGCCTCGTAAGCGCCGGCTGTCAAGTCGTGGTTGCTTCGGTAAAGCTGGCTCTAGAGAAGAAACCAGAGGTGTTTGCATGAAAGAAAAGGTGATCACATAATCAGGCAGAAAGTAGGGGCTCAATGGGAATCGCAAGTTGCATTTCGAGGGCTGTTTCAATGGGAGGTCAATTTGAACATGACCAAGTGGAAACCAAAAAACAAAAGAAAATGAGGTGGTGGTGGAAAACATGTATGAATAACCAGCTGTCATGATTTATAATAAAATTAAAGACCTATATGTTCTAGCAGTACTATTATTGCTATGAATGATTTTGATGTCTCTTCTGAAAAAAGGCCTCCACTTTGAGCAAGGACGGCTCTTTGTTTTGGAGATGCTCACAATGAAGATGCTCCCTTCAATGACAGGCCTCACAGCATCAACAGCAGGGAATGCGAGCCTTACCTGTTGGGACCGAGAGCTGAAACTGCTATGGCGGCTGTGGATGCTGTGCGAGCTGTGCAGGCTGTGGCCTGAATGTTCGCTGTGGATGCTGCGGCGGTCAAAGTCATCTCCGTAGGGGTCTCTCCGAGGCTCTAAATCCTCGTCGAAGCTCCCGGCGAAGCGAGGGTCGTACCGCCAATGATCCTCATACCGCTCGTGACTGCAGGGCAAAAGAAATAAATGAAGCAAAAAGCTATAAGGCAAAGGTATGAATGTTCGCTCCAAGGCTGGGAACCACCTCTGTACTTTACACACACACCAGTCCAAGGTGAAATAGTAAAGCAGTTTACTGAAGAATATATTATAATAATAATAATAATAATAATAATAATAATAATAAACAACCTTTATTTATACCCCGCTACCATCTCCCGCAGGACTCGGTGCGGCTTACAAGAGGCCGAGCCCAAATACATCATAAAACATAACAGCAACAAAACAACAATAAATAACTCATAACAAAGCAAAACAACACAAAGATGACACAACGCATTTTAAAAACCTGTGGCAAGGCCAAATGTAAGGATTAAAAATTTAAAAATGCTGGGCATGTCCAAGGGAAATAGGTTGAATATTTTAGAGATAGGTAGGCGTGCAGACAGTTCTAAATCTCTCGTAAAGTGCAGTTGGGACATGTTGCTTGGGATTCCTTATTCTGGGAAGGCACACTGGAACATCCACGTTTTCAAGCTCCTTCTAAAGACTGCCAACGTTGGGGCCTGCCTGATGTCCTTGCGGAGGGAATTCCAGAGTTGTGGGGCCACCACCGAGAAGGCCCTGTCCCTCGTTCCCACCAATCACGCTTGCGATGCAGGTGGGATTGTGAGCAGGGCCTCTCCAGATGAACGAAGAGATCGTGTGGGTTCTTATACAGAAATGCGGTCACGCAGGTAGATGGGTCCCAAACCGTTTAGGGCTTTGTAGGTAAGAACCTGCACCTTGAATTGGGCCCAGAAAATGAACGGCAGCCAATGGAGCTCTTTAAACAGGAGGGTTGACCTCTCCCTGTAAGGAGCACCAGTTAACAGCCTGGCCGCTGGCCGTTGAACCAACTGAAATTTCCGGGCCATTTTCAAGGGCAGCCCCACGTAGAGTGCATTACATATGAAAAGCAATTCAGCAAAAAGTATATAAAAAAACAAAGTCCAAATATCAAGAATAATCCACAGAAATCATACCACAGGAGTAATAATAATAATAATAATAATAATAATAATAATAATAATAATAAGCTGATGAAAAATCAGCGGATGACCCAAAATGCAGACTGTGCAAGGAAGCAGATGAAACCATGGGCCATATTCTCAGTTGTTGCAAGAAAATTGCACAGACGGTCTACAAACAGAGGCACAACTCTGTGGCCCAAATGATTCACTGGAGCTTATGTCACAAGTACCACATGCCAGCAGGAAAGAATTGGTGGGATCATAAACCTGCAAAGGTCGTGGTAAATGAACACGCAAAAATACTGTGGGAGATTTGGATCCAGATTGACAAAGTTTTGGAACACAATACACCAGACATCACGATTGTGGAAAAGAAAGAAGTCTGGATTATTGATGCCGCCATTCCAGGTGACAGTCGCTTTGAGGAAAAACAACAGGAAAAACTCAGCCGCTATCAAGACCTCAAAATCGAATCGCAAAGGCTCTGGCATCAACTAGTGGTCCCAGTAGTCATCGGCACACTGGGTGCTATGCCAAATATCTCAGCCGGAATTTGGAAACAATAAACATTGACAAAACCATGATCTGTCAACTGCAAAGGGCCACCTGACTTGGATCTGTGCGCATCATCCGAAAATACATCACACAGTCCTAGATGCTTGGGAAGTGTTCGAATTGTGATTTTGTAATATGAAATCCAGCATAGAGATCTCATTTGCTGTGACATACTGTGCTTTTGTGTCAGTAAAATAATCTATATAAATAAAAATGTAATGTTCGTTTGTGGGATTCGCTGAACTCAAAAACCACTGGACGAATTGACACCAAATTTGGACACAAGACACCTAACAACCCAATGTATGTCCTTCACTAAAAAAAATTGATTTTGTCATTTGGGAGTTGTAGTTGCTGGGATTTATAGTTCACCTACAATCAAAGAGCATTCTGAACTCCACCAATGATGGAATTGAACCAATCTTGGCACACAGAACTCCCATGACAAACAGAGAATGCTGGAAGAGTTTGGTGGGCACTGACATTGAGTTTTGGAGCTGTAGTTCACCTACATCCAGAGAGCTCTATGGACTCAAACAATGATCGATCTGGACCAAACTTGACATGAATACTCAATATGCCCAAATGTGAACACTGGTGGGGTTTGGAGAAAATAGACCTTGACATTTGGGAGTTGTAGTTACTGGGATTTATAGTTCACCTACAATCAAAGAGCATTCTGAACCCCATCAATGACAGAATTGGGCCAAACTTCCCACACAGAACCCCCATGACCAACAGAAAATACTTAAGGCCATCCAGTCCAACTCCCTTCACCAGGGCAAGAAAACGTAATCAAAGCCCTCCTGACAAAGAGCCATCCAGCCATAGATATAGATAGATAGATATGATTCACACACACACAGATATAGCATCATAGATTTGAAAGGGACCCCTAAAGAAGGACAATTATATGTTGCATGTTCCAGAGTAGGCAAACCAGACAATCTCCACATCAACACTGGCAAAGAAACAGCAAGAAATACCGTTTACCCACAAGCAGAAAGACATTACATATGTTAGAAACCAACACTTTCTCATTACTTTATTTTCCAGATCACCAGACTGGGCCACAGCAACGTGTGGCAGGGGACCGCTAGTAATAATAATAATCATAATAATAATAATCACATCACACAGTCCTAGACACTTGGGAAGTGTCCGACATGTGATCCAATTCAACAGCCAGCAGAGTGTCTGCTGTGGACTCATCTTGATGTGTTTCAAATAATAATAATAATAATAATAATAATAATAATAATAATAATATTTATTTATAGCCTGCCACCATCTCCCGAAAGGGGACTTGGGACGGCTAACATGAGGCCAAGCCCAAAAATAATACAGCAAAGTTAAAAACAAAACAACAGAAAAATTACATCACCGCAAAATACATAAAATAACAGAATAAAATAAACAGTGCAAAATAACATAATAAAAATCAAACACATAGAGTAGCATCAAAAACCAGGGATGCAGAAGCAGAATAAATCCAAAACAGGAACAGTTCTCAAACTGGGAATCATCAGACATGAACGAAAGGAAACATGGAACGTGAAACTAGAAATCCCTTGACTTGACAATAGTTCTATTCCCAAACACCAAAGTTGCCTGGACTGACGGACCCATCTGCTGGGCTTGTTAATATAGAGAGAAAACAACGCCTTCTCCCCTGGGAAACTGATAAGGTCTTCTTGGCTAATCCGTATTTTGACCTGCATATTTTGACCTGCATACACTCTTCCGAGAAGCTCTATGTTGACGGAACGTAAGTCTCCTATCTAACTGCTCATTAGTTCAGTTTCTTCCTCTGAACTCTGATCTGTTATTGTCCTTGTTTCCCTAATGAACTGCCTTTCAGGAATGTGGCCTTCAGACACAGACCACTCATTTTCAGGGCTTAACAGCTCTTGCTGGCTCTCCTGCTGACTTGCAGACCAGAATCCCCAGTGTCGTCAGAATGACTAATGCAGGCCCAGAATCCCCAAGGAGATCATCAAAGGCTGAACTACAACAGTGATCTCCATCTTATCACCCTGTTGGTGCTTCTAGACCTCTCCCTGGATTTTGATGCTGTTTCAGGACCACAAAAGGCTGGAGCAATCCATTTCATGATTCTTCCTGGAGGAATATGGTGCAAATTAGTTTGAAACTCCACAAATGTTTCACAACAAACCTGTTTCCGTATGGATAGGGCTCTCTCTTTTGGTAGGGGCTGTGCTCTGGGTCGTACCAATAGCGGTGGTCGTATGTCCTGGGATCTCGGTATCGGGGATCGTAGCTTGAGGGATAGCGGTCCGTGCGGCTTGGGTCTGAAAAAACCAAAGATGGGTCATATGTGCTGCTCTGGCAAATCTTTTCTAGAGCGAGAATCCAATAATATACACAGGCCAGGAAATATATTCCAATCAGTTGCTGCAACCTTGCACAGGCAGAAAGTTGTTTTCTTTTTTTTTGTCGTGTTAGGAGCAACTTGAGAAACTCCAAGTCACTTCTGGTGTGAGAGAACTGGCTGTCTGCAAGGACGCTGCCCAGGGGACGCCCGGATGTTTTGATGTGTTACCATCCTTGTGGGAGGCTCAACCACACTCTCTTCGGATTCGAACCTGCAACCTGTCGGTCTTCAGTCCTGTCGGCACAGGGGTTTTACCCACAGCACCATCGGGGACTCCATGGGCAGAATGTAATTTTGGCTGAAGTCAGTAGGAATGGATTTACATATTACATCATGTTAATCTTAATTTGATATGAAATTGACCACAGAGATGACTAGAGGACCAAGAGATGACTAGAAAAGTTTTCTTTCTAGGAATCTCTAGGTCCTCTAGTATGACTCTATGGCCAGCTTCTGGAGAACCTTCCTGAAAGACCTAGAGATTCCTTAAAAACTCATTTAAATCAATAATAGTATCCACAGAAGTCAAAACCACAATGGGGAGGGCAAACAACAACAGGGATAAGGGTGACTTTATCATGCTAATGCTGTTCTATGAACCAATTTCTATCCATCGAAAGGCCTTACCTCTATAATCGTAGCCATAATAGTCTGCGTAGTAATCACTCCACCGGCCTTTGGTGTTATAATAATCATCGGGATAGCCCTGCCTAGAAAAGGAGAGAAAGGGGGATCAAGACAGGAAAAAAGGGTAGACAGAGCAATACTAAGAGAGACTCTCTAAGAAGAGCCTACCTTGATGTAGGCCGGTCGGAGGTCTGGCTGGCTCTGGAGCTGGGCCGCTCGGGTTCCGTGTAGCGGTAGCCCCTCGCATCCCCATAAGCCGCAGTGCTGTCGTATTGGTAGGACGACGGGTCGCATCGGCCATATGCATCCTCCTAGATAGTGGCACAAGTGTTCAGGTTATGAAAGCTCAAGAATGATCAAGGTGTGTGGCAGGCCTCTTCAACCTGAAGCCCTCCAGGTGCTGTGGACTTCCGCTCCCAGAATCCCTGACCACTGAACAAGCTGGATAGGACTTGTGAGAGCTGGAAGTCCAAACACCTGGAGGGCCTCAGGTTGAAGAGGTCTGGAATATGATATCCTTGTCAGAAATATTAAGCATTAACTAGGTATTTTTAATTACAAAAATGTGAGTCAAGCACCAAAAGGGTTAAATGGATGCAATGACTCAGCAAAAGCTGCCGTTCAATGTAATCAGGTGTCCCTGTAGCTTAGTAGTCCTTAGTCTGTGAGCAATCTCTGTGGGAAAAGGGCCTCACTGTGTTAGTAGGCCTCAGTATGAGAAGGCTTCGGTGTTAGTTTGCCTCAGTCTGAGAAAGCCCTCAGTGTGAGAAGGCCTCAGTGTGTTAGTAGGCCTCAGTATGAGAAGGTTTCTGTGTTAATTTGCCTCAGTCTGAAAGAGCCCTCAGGGTGAGAAGGCCTCAGTGTGTTAGTAGGCCTCAGTATGAGAAGGCTTCAGTGTTAGTTTGCCTCAGTCTGAGAAAGCCCTCAGTGTGAGAAGGCCTCAGTGTGTTAATAGGCCTCAGTATGAGAAGGTTTCTGTGTTAGTTTGCCTCAGTCTGAAAGAGCCCTCAGGGTGAGAAGGCCTCAGTGTGTTAGTAGGCCTCAGTATGAGAAGGTTTCAGTGTCAGTTTGCCTGAGTCTGAGAGAGCCCTCAGTGTGAGAAGGCCTCAGTATGAGAAGGCTTCGGTGTTAGTTTGCCTCAGTCTGAGAAAGCCCTCAGTGTGAGAAGGCCTCAGTGTGTTAGTAGGCCTCAGTAGAAGGCTTCAGTGTTAGTTTGCCTCAGTCTGAGAGAGCCCTCAGTGTGTTAGTAGGCCTCCGTATGAGAAGGCTTCAGTGTTAGTTTGCCTCCGTCTGAGAGAGCCCTCAGTATGAGAAGTCCTCAGTGTGTTAGTAGGTCTCAGAAGGAGAAGGCTTCAGTGTTAGTTTGCCTGAATCTGAGAGAGCCATCAGTGTGAGAAGGCCTTAGTGTGTTAGTAGGCATCAGTATGAGAAGGCCTTAGTGTTAGTTTGCCTGAGTCTGAGAGAGCCCTCAGTGTGAGAAGGCCTCAGTGTTAGTAGGCCTCAGTATGAGAAGGCTTCAGTGTTAGTTTGCCTCAGTCTGAGACCCTCAGTGTGTTAGTAGGCCTCAGTATGAGAAGGCCTCAGTGTTAATTTGTCTCAGTCTGAGAGAGCCCTCAGTGTGAGAAGGCCTCAGTGTGTTAGTAGGCCTCAGTATGAGAAGGCTTCAGTGTTAGTTTGCCTCAGTCTGAGAGAACCCTCAGTGTGAGAAGGCCTCAGTGTGTTAGTAGGCCTCAGTATGAGAAGGCCTCGGTCTGAAAGAGCTCTTAGTGTGAGGCCTCGATGGGAGAAATGCCTCAGTGTGAGGTAGGCCTCAGTGTCAATAGGCCTCAATTTGAGAAGGAGCTTTGGTGAGAAAGCTCCAGTGTGAAGGCTGCTGTGTGTAAAAAGCTTCTGTGTGACGTTCCTGTGTAATTTCGGTGTGAGAAGAGGCTCCGTGAGAGCAAAGCTGTTTATCTGCATGAGAAACAAGCCCAGAGTGGAAACTTTATTTTTGTAAATAGTGCAACCATATTATTTTGCTATAAAGAAAAGCCTCCTATGGAAGAGATAAAATTGGTCTCTGTGTTTTTGTTCTTTTTATCACTTTGGGCTAGTGGTGCTGGGTCATGCTGCTGCTAACAATATTATTCTGCTGTGGATTTATGAGGAGGATCTTTTGTTAATAAGCCCACTTACCCAACAATCCTTTCCCCCCAATAGTTTACTAAGTACCTGGTAGTAAAGATGAGCCATCCGGGGATCCATGGGAGGATACGGCGGATGGTAGGAGGGCGGGTAAGCGTCATAAGGGTGTCCGTAGTAGTAGTAAGGGTTTGGTGGCACGCCAAAGGCATTGTGGGGTGTCTGTTGTGGTTCTTGTTGAGACGGGGGGTGTGTTGTTTGGCTGGCATCAACAGCTGATGACACTGGAGGAGTGGTGTTTGAAGGCTTGTTATTCGCCATGGCTTGGCTGTAGCTCGCCGGCGTTTGGGGAGGGTTTGGGCCAGAGCTTGTGCCAGGAGTCGGCTGAGGATTCGAGGGCAGCACAGGCTGTGGAGGAGTCGCCGCCTGAGATGCCAAAGCCACCTGGGCTTGTGGCTGTGAAACTGGAGGAGCGGCAACACCTTGCGTGTCTCTCGTGACCTGCTGATAAAAACGCTGCTGGTCCTGAGCCTCCGGTGCCCCTCGGCCATTGGAAGGACTTTGCTCCAGAGTTTTGGTGACCGTGAAATCAAGAGCGTGAGACAACTCCTGGCTGCTTGCCCCATTTGCAGGCCGACCGCAATTATTGGATCCTCCAGCTGTGCCCAAGGAGCTAGCATTAGTACACTGAGGAGCTAAGCCTCCTTCCAAAGAAGGAGTCGTTATCGTCGTCGTCGTCTTGTGGTTTTCCGGAGCCAAATTGAGAGGCCCTTGAGCAGCCGGCGGGATCAGTAAGTTTGCTGATGTTTTCAAAGTCGTTTCGGAAGCATGTAGTGAGAAGTTATGGGGTAGAGGAGCAATTGGCGGGTTGGCAGACGATCCAGGGAACAAGATGCTTTCCCCGGAAAGGTGACCACTGTTCCTGCTGCTAAGCGAGGGATCTTTCCCCACGTGGTTATTTTCGTGCCGGTTCAGAGAGAAGTTCACCGGCTGGGCTAAGCTATAGCTTTGGTTCGGCTGTGCGATCAAGACCGGCGGGTTCTGCAGGGCCTCTGTCGGTGGCGAGGAAAGGAGGCTGGCGTAACCAGAGCTCATCTGGGAGCGGAGGGCCTCCTCCTCGCCCATTTTGGGAGGGTTCTCCAAGTTTTCGGAAGAGACGCTTCCGGGTTGCAAAGGCGGGAGGACAACAGACCCCAGCTCGCTCCGATGCTGTTCGGACACCCCTTCCTCCGGGGGCTGGACCACCTGAACACTCTGCTTGGCCGGAACATACACCGCAGGAGCCGCCGGGGCGAGGAGCACGTTGCCCCCAAAGCTGGGCAATTCATTGTGGGCCCAAAGTGTCGTGGCCGGGCTCTCGCACTTCTTAACGCTGCCCTGAGCCCTGGCTGAGGAGGGTCGTTTTTCCGGCGCGGATTCACCCACATTTCCGGTCACTGTAAGGGGCAAAGGATGCGTTTGGGGCAGGAAGAGAGTTTCCAAATTATCAGGAGGTTGTTCGAGGTTACCTGGCGAGGCGACAGGTGTGGCCGGGCTCTTTTTGGTACCCGCTTGGTTTGGACAATTCCGCTCAGCGGGCATCTTGGCTTGGTCAGCTTCCAAAGGTTTGATACCAGATGCGTGGGACCGGACCGGCTCGAATGAACTGTTGGCGCTCATTTGGAACACTCCTGTGGGTTTGGGAGGGCTGGGCGTCGGGGCCAGAGAGAGACCGCCATAATAATTTTTGCTGGGACTGGCTTCGCTGGCCTCTCCTCCCAAAGGCGAGGAGTCGATCTGCTTGAAGAAACCCCGGGAGGCCTCTTCTTCCGGCTTCCCACTCTCTTGTTGAATGAACGTGGCCAGCTCTTGGGGTCGCAACGTGTTGGAAACGCTCCGGTGGCTCAAGTTGCTGTAGTTGGAAGAGACGCTGTCGGGACGCCCGGGGCGGAGTAACACATCGGGAGCTTCCAGGTTCGGTCCTCCTTCCAAGTGGCTTACAGTGGCGTTCTTCGGAAGCGACGGTCCCACAAGCGAGGCGTATCTGTTCGGATCCACACCTGGAGACGTGCAGCTCTGGGTCAGCGGCTCGCTAGGCAAAACCTCTTGGTTCTGAATGCACTCCTGGTTTTCGACATTTTCATAGTGCGAGCCAACATGACCTCTGGTGTCCACAGGATCAGCTTTGTCTGCCACGTTTTCAAAGGCCGGGGCGTCATTTGAGGTCCTGAAGGAATTCTGGACATCTGTTTCTGTATGTAGCGCCTCAGGTGGCGGAACTGCATTAGAAAAAGGAGGGACTGGGACCTGGTGAACAGGATGGAGCGGCTGGTAATACGTGTGCCCCATGGTTTGCTGGAAAGCGTCGACGTCAGCTTTACCAGCCTCATTGTTCCTTTCCAATGATAGTATTTCCTCGTTCTCTGCCTCATCGCCTTTGAAAAACATGGAAATTGTCCCCGAGTCTCTCTTGGTCACTCCTTCTGCGGCACCTTGAGTTTGGGCTGACCTGCCATTTTCCTGAGTGGCCTGATGGACAGGCGGGGTGCTGGCAGTGTTGAGGGGCTGCAGATAAAAGTGTTCTTGAGGAATCTGCGCCGACCAATTGCTGGCTCCTCCTGCGTTCTGCCAGGCGGAGTTGTGGGGAGCATTTGCACTGGGAGCATCGCCAAACATCAACGGTGCTTGGACAGCGTTTTGAGCAGCAGGAGGTTGCTGCGGGGTGCTCTGATGGGGCTGGGAAACCCCAAGGGGAGACTGAGTAACAGCATAAAAAGCATTCTGGGAAGGCGGCTCTGGGTATACCGAGTAAGGAGGACCACCTTGGGGCTGAAAGCTACCTTGGGGAGCCATCCACTGAGGCACTGTTTGCTGAGCAGAGGGTAAGAAAGATGTGGATGATGGTACCGAAGTTGGGATGTTTGGGTTCCTACTCGTTTCTTGCCCGCTGGGTGGAAGGGAACCTTGTTGTCCACGTAAGGAATTCTCTAAAGGGAAACTCATGGGATCCATGGGGTTCCGTGTGCTGCGCTCAACGTTGGGGTGCATGTCGGCACTGTTTGTCACACGCTCCGAATACAATGAGGAGGTTGACTGGCTTGAAAACGTACCATGGGCACCAGATTGAGAGACGGAAGCTGCTAAAGGCAGGTTCAGCCCATGGGAGTTGTCTCCCGCAGGTAGATGAGGTGGATGGGTCACCGCAGGGGGAGGAGGGAACGCCGCCGGGGGAAAGCTTTGCATAGCTGGTGGGTCGCCTTTGGCTGTGTTGCCGAGCGGGGGGTTGCCTCGCAGCGTCTGCATGGCGCCAAAAGCAAAGGGGTCCGTCACGGGCCGCATGGGGCTGGCCGCTGCTGTGGTGGGAGCATTGGCCCGCCGACCCAAGGGGCCGCTGTTGCGCCAATACATGTTCTGCGCTGCTGCAAGAGGTGGTGGCCCGCCAGCCCCTGGGGGCACTGTCTGTGGCGGGGGCTGCATCGCAAATGTCTGGGCCAAACTGGGCGCCACTTGCAGGATGCTAACCCAAGGGAGTGGGACCAGTGTTCCTTCAAGGACTCTGCAAAGGTAAACATGAATACAGGATGAGACCTTTCCAAACAGCAGGGGTCCTCAAACTAAGGCCGGATACGGCCCTCCAAGGTCATTTACCCGGCCATTGCTCAGGGTCAACCTAAGTCTGAAACTATTTGAAAGCACACAAGAACAACAATCCTATCTCATCAGCCATAACCAGGCCCACATTTCCCATTGAAATACTAATAAGTTTATATTGTTCTTCATTTTAATTATTGTATTGTTTTTAAGTGGGCTTTACACTACAAATAAGATATGTGCAGTGCACAAAGGAATTCATTCATGTATTTTTCAAATTAGAAGCCGGCCCTCCAACAGTTTGAGGGACTATGACCTGGCCCTCTGTTTAAAAAGTTTGTGGGCCCCCTACACTACAATCCTAGAGTTGGAAGAGACCTTGTGGGACATCCAGTCCAACCCCATTCTGCCAAGAAGCAGGAAAATCACATTCAAAACACTCCCAACAGATGGCCATCCAGCTCTGTTTAAAAGGATCCTCCACCACACTTCAGGGCAGAGAGAGTTCCACTGTTGAACAGTTTTTCTCACAGTTAGGAAGTTCTTCCTAATGTTCAGGTGGAACATCCTTTTCTGTCGTTTGAAGCCATTGTTTTATTGCATCCTTGTTTCCAAGTTGACAATCCGTAATAACTTGCTAAACATTACAAAAACCTCAAACATTGCAGCAAAGAACTGCGGTATCAGTGCAAGGCCGGGGTGCTTTCCAGCTTGGATAGATAGCGGTGAAACTCCTAAGCAACCTTCAACTCCTCTGTTTCCATTCAACTGAAAATATAAGTAATTTAAGTACGAAACACAATGTTCCCATTGTCCAGCTTGTTGCGAACTAATGCTCATTATTTCCTGTTAAAGTTAGTTGACTGGAACAACATCAAGATAATATTTACTTCCCAGAGAACAGTAAATTTTGAGATTATAGCTCCCAGAATCTTCTTAAAATACTGTAGATCAGAAGCCATAACAACTGCAAATATGCCCTATCTTTAACTCCCTCTCCTTAAATCCGACATGAGCCCAAGGAATGCTTTCTCCTTCCCATTTCCAAGCCAGCAGAGTCTTTGAACTACAAATATTATTTACATATCAGTAACCTTTTCCCAATTCTACCTTTTCTCCCATGCAACCATGTTAACTTTGCAAGGCTGGACGAACTGAGAAGAAGCTATTTATTCATTAACTAGTGACACTTCTGCCCAACTTTTGAGTCCAGTAAGCAAAAGGTCTTCTCCGATTTTATCATTCTAGTGACAATATGTGTTTGCCAACCTATGCATTTCCTGGATGACCTCAGGATCCTCCCCTTCCTCTTTTGCCCTCCCTACAACAATCCTGTAGAAGGGCTGGAAAGCATGAGGCCCTATGAGGAGCAGCTAAGGGAGCTGGATATGTTTAGCTTGGAGAAAAGAAGGTTGAGAGGAAAGATGAGAGCCATGTTTACATATTTGTCCTATCCGGAGACTGGCTCTCAAAGGAGCCATGGATTCAAATTGCAGGAAAAGAGATGCCACATATTAGGAAGGACTTTCTGACAGTCAGAGCTGGTTGACAATGGAATTGATTGCCTTGGAGTCGGCTTCTCTGCAGGCTTTGAAGCAGAGCCTGGCTGGCCATCTGTTGGGAAGGCTTGGATGGTGCCTTACTACAGCATGCCAACTTTAAGATTCTGTGATATATCTATAATATATACCTATTTCATATCTATTGTATCTGTGGCTTGATGGCCATCTGTCGGGACGGCTTCGATTGTGTCTTCTGTTATGGAAGAATGGTGTTGGACTGAATGGCCATTTGGGTTCCCTTCCAACTCTAGGATTCTATATGTATTATCTATACATATAGGATTCTATATGTATTATCTATACCAGGCATGGCCAAACTTGGGCCCTCCGGGGTTTTTGGACTGTTATAAATTGTGGGAGTTGAAGTCCAAGACTCCTGGTGAACTGAAGTTTGCCCAGGCCTGATATATCATCTATTATCTATATCTATCATATCTATGGCTGGATCGCCATCTGTCGGGAGGGCTTTGACAGTGCCTTCCTTCAGAATGGGATTAGACTGGATGGCCCTTTGAGTCCCTTCCAACTCTAGGATTCTATACCCATTGCTATCTCATATCCATCTATAATATCTACGGCTATATGGTCTTTGGGTTCCCTTCCAACTCTAGGATTCTTTCACTTCTCTATTATCTATATTTATCTATCTATATCATATCTATGTTTAGATGACCATCTGTCGGGAGGTTTTCGACAGTGCCTTCCTGCAGAATGGGGTTGGACTGGATGGCCCTTTGGGGTCCCTTCAAACTCTAGGGTTCTCTATCGATTACCGATAACTATCTCATATCTAGTCATCTATCTATTGGGTTCTCTTCCAACTCTACTTATCTTTCTATATCTATCATATATGGCCATCTGTTGGGAGGGCTTTGACAGTGCCTTCCTTCAGAATGGGGTTGGACCGGATGGCCCTTTGGGGTCACTTCCAACTCTATCTATCTATCTATCTATCTATCTATCTATCTATCTATTGGGTTCCCTTCCAACTCTATCTATATGTCTATTACTTTTTCAATCTATTGGTCATATCTATGGCTGGATGGCCATCTGTCAGGAGAGCTTCGACAGCACCTTCCAGAATGGGGTTGGCCTGGATGGCCCTTTCGAGTCCAATCCAATTCTATTTATCTATCTATTGGTTTCCCTTTAAATCTAGCTATATGTCTATATGTCTATTACTCTATCTATCTATCTATCTATCTGTCATGTCTATGGCTGGATGGCCATCTGTCAGGAGAGCTTTGACAGCACCTTGCTGCAGAATGGGGTCGGACTGGATGTCCCTTTGGGGTCCCTCCCAACTCAATTTATCTATCTATTGGGTTCCCTTCCAACTCTATATGTGTATTTATCTATCTATCTATCTGTCTGTCTGTCTGTTTGTCTGTCTGTCTGTCATGTCTATGGTTGGATGGCCATCTGTCAGGAGGGCTTTGACAGCGCCTTGCTACAGAATGGGGTCGGACTGGATAGCCCTTTGGGGTCTCTTCTAACTCTATTTATCTATCTATTGGGTTCCCTTTAACTCTATCTATATGTCTATTTATTTCTCTATCATATCTATGGCTGGATGGCCATCTGTCAGGAGGGCTTTGACAGCACCTTGCTACAGAATGGGGTCGGACTGGATAGCCCTTTGGGGGTCCCTTCCAACTCTATTTATCTATCTATTGGGTTCCCTTTAACTCTATCTATATGTCAATTACTCTATTTATCTCTCTATCTCATCTATCGCTGGATGGCCATCTATCTATTGGGTTCCCTTTTCAACTCTATCTATATGTCTATTAGTCTATCTACTTATCTATGTATCTATCTATCTATCATATCTATGGCTAGATGGCCATCTGTCAGGAGGGCTTTGACAGCGCCTTGCTGCAGAATGGAGTTGGACTGGATGGCCCTTTGGGGTCCCTTCCAACTCTATTTATCTATCTATTGGGTTCCCTTTAAATCTATCTATATGTAAATTACTCTATTTCTTTGTCTGTCATATCTATGGCTGGATGGCCATCTGTCAGGAGGGCTTTGACAGCGCCTTGCTACAGAATGGAGTCGGATTGGCCCTTTGGGGGTCTGGCCCTTTGGGGGTCCCTTCCAACTCTATTTATCTATCTATTGGGTTCCCTTTAACTCTATCTATATGTCTATTACTCTATTTATCTATCAATTGGGTTCCCTTCCAACTCTATTTACCTATCTATCACATCTACGGCTGAATGGCCATCTGTCAGGAAGGCTTTGACAGCACCTTGCTACAGAATGGGGTTGGGCTGGATGTCCCTTTGGGGGTCCCTTCCAACTCTATTTATCTATCTATTGGGTTCACTTCCAACTCTATTTACCTGTCTATCACATCTATGGCTGGATGGTCATCTGTCAGGAGAGCTTTGACAGCGCTTGCTACAGAATGGAGTCAGGCTGAATGGCCCTTTGGGGGTCCCTTCCAACTCTATCTATCTATTGGGTTCCCTTCCAACTCTTATCTATATCTCTATTTATCTATCTGTCATATCTATGGATGGATGGCCATCTGTCGGGAGGGCTTTGACAGTGCCTTGCTGCAGAATGGGGTTCGATCCGATATCCCTTTGGGGTCCCTTTAAACTGTAGGATTCTATATCCATGCCCTATAACCTACCTGATATCTATTTATCTATCTTTATCTATTTATTTATTTATTTATTTATTTATTTATCTATCTGTCATATCTATGGCTGGATGGTCATCTGTCGGGAGGGCTTCGACAGCACCTTCCTGCAGAATGGGGTCGGACTGGATAGCCCTTTGGGGTCCCTTTAAACTGTAGGATTCTATATCCATGGCCTATACTTATATATATTTATCTATCAATTGGGTTCCAACTCTATTTACCTCTCTATCACATCTATGGCTGGATGGCCATCTGTCAGGAGGGCTTTGACAGCGCGTTGCTGCAGAATGGGGTCGGACTGGATGGCCCTTTGGGTTACCTTTAAACTCTAGGATTCTATATCCATGGCCTATACTTATATCTATTTAAGTATTTATCTATCAATTGGGTTCCAACTCTATTTACCTCTCTATCACATCTATGGCTGGATGGTCATCTGTCGGGAGGTCTTTGACAGCGCCTTCCTGCAGAATGGAGTTGGCCTGGATGGCTCTTTTGGGTCCCTTCCAACTCTATCTATATTATTACTCTATTTATCTATCTGTCATATCTATGGCTGGATGGCCATCTGTCGGGAGGGCTTTGACAGCGCCTTGCTACAGAATGGGGTTGGACTGGATGGCCCTTTGGGGTCCCTTTAAACTCTAGGATTCTATCTCCATGGCCTATACTTATATCTATTTATCAAATGGGTTCCAACTCTATTTACCTCTCTGTCACATCTATGGCTGGATGGCCATCTGTCGGGAGGGCTTTGACAGCGCCTTGCTACAGAATGGGGTCAGGCTGGATGTTCTTTTGGGGTCTCCCTACTGAGAGCGAGGGCTGCCCTTCCGCCCTGCAGGCCCCACCGCCCGCCCGCCCGGCTCCGGCCTCCCCTCCCGCTCCCCGGCCTCGGCGCCCACCTCCAGCCTCGTCCCGATCCGCCTCAGCTCCGCCTCAGCTCCTCCAGCCGGGCCCCGAGCCTCTCTCCCCGGCCGCGAAGGCCGCCTCAGCCGCAGCCGCCGCCATCTTGGAATATCCGGCTCCAGAAGCCGACGTGTCACGTCCGTCCCCGGGCGCGTGACGCCATCACGTCACGCACGCCTCGCCGCCTGTTCAGCGAGAGAGCCAAACATAGACCTAACAGAAAAATATAGACGTGCGCTCAGAGTCGGAAATCCCGGGCTCGCTGCGTGTTCAATAAAAGAGCGAACATAGACTTAGTTGGGAAAATAATAGAGGCACGCTCGGAGTTGGAAATCCCGAGATCCAGTTGCTCAGCGAGAGAGCGAACATAGACCTAACAGAAAAATATAGACGTGCGCTCAGAGGCGGAAATCCCGGGCTCGCCGAGAGTTCAAGAAAAGAGCGAACGTAGACTTAGTAAGGAAAATGATAGATGCGCGCTCGGAGTCCAATCCTGAGTTCGAATCCAAAAAGGAGATTCCTTAAAGGGCAGCAAGTCGTATTTATTTATTTATATATTTATATTATATTATTATTATTTAAATATTATATATATATATATATATATATATATATATATATATAATTTTTATGGTTATTTAGTTTATTATTATTATTTATTTACTATTTTATATGTTATATTATTATGATTTAAATATGATTATGTTATGAGTTATATTATTATTAAATATATATTACTGTTTTTTATGGTTAGGTTATATTATTTTTATATTTATATTATATTATATTATTATTTTATATATTATATTATTATTTGAATATTATGATTGCCTCATTATTATTATTATTATTATTATTATATAAATTATTTTATTATTTTAATGTTATGACTGTTATTTAATTATATTATTATTTTGATGTGATTATTTATGTGTTTTATATTATTTTATATATTATTATACTTTTATTATATTATTTTAATGTTATGATAGCATTGTTTTATATTGTTATTTCATACATTATATTACACTATATTTTATTTTATTATTTTAATGTTATGATTATGTTACGTGTCAAATATTATGATTATTTTATATATTATTCATAATTTTATTATATTATTTTAATGTTTTAATTGTTTAATATAATTTCATACGATTTATAATTTTATTATATTATTATATTACTTATATTATGTGTTTTAATTATTTTATGCATTACTTTATTTTATTATTTTAACAGGAATATGTTGTGTTTTGTCAATTTATAATTTTATTATATTATTATTTTAATTTTATGTTTTATAGTATTTTATTATATTATTGTATTAATGGTATTGTTATGTTTTATAGTATTATTTTATATATTATTCATAATTTTATTACACCATTATTTTAATGTTATGATTACATCATGTGTTTTATATTATTATTTTATTATATTACGTGCTTTGCATGTTATTATTATTGCATGTGCTTTGTATCTTATTGAGAAGAAACAGCTTAGATTTTTTTTTATTTTTATAATAAATATTTTAGGAATATATATGTGTAATGTGTGTAAAATATATATATAAATAAAATTATTATTATTATAATTAGTTAATCCCTCATCCAAAATGCTTGGAACAGGCATGTATGTTTGGATTATATTTTTTTCTCCCAGATTTAGGAATTCAGCCAAAGGGAGCCGTAATAATAATAATAATAATAATAATAATAATAATAATAATAATAGCAATAATAATAATCCATTATTATTATTATTATTATTATTATTATTATTATTATTATTATTATTATTTTTTCCTGGCACAAAAACACAGTATGATACAGCAAACGAGATCTAGATGCTGGATTTCATATCACAAAATATACTGTGTATAATAATAAGAAGTGTTGTGAGCCAGTTTGGGCCTTGGTCAAGAGAGGAAAGTGGGGTTGGGGGAATAATAATAATAATAATAATAATAATAATAATAACAACAACAACAACAATGTGAGATGCTTTGGGCCTTAGTCAAGAGAGGAAAGTGAGGTGGTAATAATAATAATAATAATAATAATAAATAATAATAATAATAAAAATGTGAGATGCTTTGAACCTTGGTCAAGAGAGGAAAGTGAGGAGATGATGATGATAATAATAATAATAATAATAATATAGATCCTTTGAGCCTTGGGAAAGTGGAGTAATAATAATAATAATAATGTGAAATGCTTTGGGTCTTCGTCAAGAGAGGAAAGTGAGGAGATGATGATAATAATAATAATAATAATAATAATAATATAGATCCTTTGAGCCTTGGGAAAGTGGAGTAATAATAATAATAATAATAATAATAATAGTGAAATGCTTTGGGTCTTCGTCAAGAGAGGAAAGTGAGGAGATGATGATAATAATAATAATAATAATAATAATATAGATCCTTTGAGCCTTGGGAAAGTGGAGTAATAATAATAATAATAATAATAATAATAATAATAATAATAATGTGAAATGCTTTGGGTCTTCGTCAAGAGAGGAAAGTGCGGTAATAATGATGATGATGATGATTTGAGATGCTTTGGGCCTTAGTCAAGAGAGGAAAATGGGGTAATAATAATAATAATAATAATAATAATAATAATAATAATATAACGCTGTCAGCCCCTTTGGGCCAAGGTCAACTGAGAAAACTGGGATACTGAACCCTTTAGTATCATGCAAGGAGTAAAGCAGGGTTGCCCTCTTTCCCCGGTACTATTTATATTAGTTATGGAATTATTGGCCTCGGCAATCAGGAAGGATAAAGAAATACAGGGAATGGGAGTGGACAACAAAATCAAAATTAGTTTATTTGCAGATGATACGCTCTTGACAGTTAGAAATCCAGATAGGGCACTAGACCGGATAAACCTACATTTAAAACAGTTTGGCAAAATAACAGGCCTAATAATTAATTGGAAGAAAACGGAGGTAATGGCAATAAACCTGGAGAGAAAAGACAAAGAGAAAATAATTGATCAATTTAAGGTTAAGATTAGAAACAAAATTAAGTATTTGGGAGTCACAATACCAGTCAATTATTCAGAGTTAAAAATATTAAATTTTGATAGATTATTTAGGGAAATTCAAGAAAGACTACTAGAATACAAAAAAATTAATCTCTCGTGGTTTGGTAGAATCGCAATCTTTAAAATGAAAATATTACCCAAATTTAACTTCCTATGTAATATGTTACCTATTAAACTGCCAGAGGTTGATCTTAAAAAATGGCAGAAATTAGTCAATGAATTTTGTAATGGATCTAGAAGATCCAGGCTACCGAGAGGCCTATGGTATATTTCTCAGAAATTAGGGGGATTAGGAATACCAGATCTAAAAACCTACCATCAGACACATATAATAAAGGGAGTGTTTAGGCTGCTTTCGGAACCTAAATTAATCTGGCAGGAAGTGGAAGGAAAATGCTGGCACAGAGATTATGGGGAAATGTTTTTTAGGTCAAAAATAGGCAAAGAAATTAAGGGGTGTAAAAATAACCTGGCTAAAGATGTCATGGAGACATGGGTTAAATTAAAAAATAAGATATTTCCAGGAGTTTCCCCCCTAACTCCAATAGTTTTACTGGAAAATTTTCCAGAAGACCTGAGAATTAAACTTAAACATAAAAAATTAGTGGAGGGGGAAACTGCTCTCTCCTGGAAGGAATGGACACAAAACTCAAAGGGCAAGTTTAGTAAGTTAGAAGAACAAGGTGCCCTGAATTGGTTTGAGAGACAACAGCTGTATAATTGGAGAAAGGACTGGTTAAGCAAAAATCCCAGATGTAGAGCACTGAATAAATATGAGGAATGGTTAAGTAAGCTTAAAAATCAAGAAATAATGGGGAAAGGATTAATCGGGAAAATATATAATGGATTAATTGGCGAAGAAATAGGGCTGAAGATGTTAGAAAACGTATGGGAGAGAGACCTAGGGCCTCTGATAGATTTTGATTGGAAAAGGGTCCTGAAGTGGAGAGTGGCTAAGTAACTTCTGCTGGAGATGTGGCAAACACAAAGGGACATATTTTCATTTATGGTGGGAATGCCCCCAAGTGAAGAATTTTTGGAAGGATATATTTACCGAAATAAACAACATTATAGGATCAAATATTATGCCGGATGCTAGGTTAGCATTATTAATGGACACCACGAAGCTGAATGTAGAAATAACTAAGAAAGAATTGGTGACTATTTTGCTCACAGTGGGAAGAATTATAATAGCAAAGAACTGGAAAATAATAACCAATCTAACACTGGATGCATGGTATAGGGAAGTTTGGAATGTAGCTTTAAATGACAAACTAACAATGGAAATGAGGGTATTCAGGGGGGAAATTGACAGGTCAGATTTTGAGACATACTGGTCGGTGTCGAAGGCTTTCATGGCCGGAATCACTCAGTTCTTGTGGGTTTTTTCGGGCTATATGACCATGTTCTAGAGGCATTTCTCCTGACGTTTCGCCTGCATCTATGGCAAGCTTCAGGCGAAACGTCAGGAGAAATGCTCTAGAACATGGCCATGGGGGAAATTAACAGGTCAGATTTTGAGGCATACTGGTCAGTCTTTATTAAATATGTCTTAGAGAGCGAAAATGGAAAACAACAGAATTTGGTTGGTCAGGAATTTTGGAGATGACATTTGATTAAGGGTTGCTTTATGAATACATGGTGAAGGAAATTATACATGTTCAGGCCTTGGTGGTGGGGTTATGTGTTTGTAAAATGTTCACTGTTTTGTGTTTTGTCTATTCTGTAAGTTGTTATTGTATGTAAATAAAAAAAATTAAAAAAATTAAAAAAATTAAAAAAAAACTGAGAAAAGTGGGATAATAATAATAATATACCCCCAAAGACCACAGTCACCTTTGAAGTTAAATTCTAGGTGCCTTTGTAGCACGTTTTTATTGCAAATCCATGAAAAACAAACCAAGAAAATACATCTTTTTTTTGCTCGCAAACTACAATTTCGCCAAAAAACTTTTGACAGAAGGGTTGCTTTTCTTATATATATATAAAGAAAGAGAGCTCCCTCCCCACGCACTTATAAACTACCGTCTAGTTTATAAAAACAGAACAAAGAATGGACACGGGATGCCCCGATATTGGGATTTCTTAAACAAAATCCACGCTTTTATCTACAGGACCTCAGCTTTGCCATAGGCGGATACCATAGCGTAGGGAGAGTCTTACGAAACCTCGACGGCTGCCTCCGAAATGAATGAAGATAGTTTTGAAATAAAAGGACGACACATGGGAGCCCCTCTCTCTCGGGGATGATGGCTTCTCCTATCCATTTCCTTGCTCTCCGGTTCCCATCATCCACATGCCCCTCTCCCCTAACACTACAACTCCCATCTCTCTCAAAGACAGCATCGCTTGGCCTTCCTCAATCCGTGACGGAAGGTGCATCATGCCGTTGCTCTATTTCCCATAGAATTAAAGGCCAGCTAAGGGCAGAAATACTGATAGATGACTATCAATTCATCCATATATATATGTGTGTGTGTGTGTATCCAAATAGATAGCTCCACACACACACACACATATATACTATCAACGTGCAAGCCTTGCATTCATCCATGTGTGTGTGATAGATTATATATATATATATATATCCCCCCAAATATATATATATTTGGATACATCATACAAACACACACACATATACACAATGTATCCAAATATATATATTTGGAGATACACACACACACACACACACATATATAATGTATCCATATATATATATATATATATATATATGTATGATGTATCCAAATATATATATTTGGAGATATATATATACTATCAGCAATATATATATATTTTGATACATCATATATATATATATATGTGTGTGTGTGTGTGTGTGTATGATGTATCCAAATATATATATTTGGAGATACACACACACACACACACACACACACATATAATGTATCTATATCTATATCTATATATATGATTTATCCAAATATATATATTTGGAGATATATATATATATATACTATCACCAATATATATATATATTGATACATCATATATATATATGGAGATTATATATATGTGTGTGTGTGTGACATATCCAAATATATATATTTGTGTGTGTGTGTGTGTGATATATATATATATATATATATATATACTATCTCCAAATATACATATTTGGATACATTATATATATGTATATATATGAGTGTGTGTGTATATATATATATGTGTGTGTATGCATGATGAAAAGATAAGAGCCCTATACACACACACACACACACATACTATCAATGTCTAAGCCTTGTATTCATCCATATATGTGTGTCTATCCAAATAAATAGATCTATACACACACACACATATACGCATCCTATCAATGTACAAGTATCTAATTAGATTGTGTATATGTATGTGTGTATATACACACACACATACACACCTATATATATTGTAAGGTAACCCTTACTGTCATCCATATTATATGCACACACACATATATTGCATATACTGTAAGGTAATCCTTGCTTTCATCCACATTATATATAATATATGGTGTGTGTGTATACACACACACAGTATATACTGCAAGGTAACCCTTACTGTCATCCACATTATATATAATATATAGTGTGTGTGCGTACACATACATACACACTGTATATACTGTACTTTCATTCACATTATATATAATATATGGTGTGTGTGTGTGTGTGTATATACACATACACAGAGTATATATAGTGTGTGTGTGTACACATACATACACAATGTATATACTGTAAGGTAACCCCTACTTTCATCCACATTATATAGAATATATAGTGTGTGTGTATGTTTGTGTGTGTGTATATATACACACACATACTGTATATACTGCAAGGTAACCCTTACTTTCATCCATTTTATATATATATGTGTGTGTGTGTGTTTGTATATGTGTGTGTATGTGTATATACACACACACACACACATATTGTATATACTGCAAGGTAATCCTTACTTTCATCCATATTTTATATATATATATATGTGTGTGTGTGTGTGTATGTGATGGTATATGTGTGTGTATGTATATATGTGTGTGTATGTGTATACACACACAATCACATTAAAAGTTGGCAATTCCTTAAGAGACAGATCTATGAACCTCAGCCTTTTGAACTAAGCCTCGAAGTTGGCCTTTCCGACAAATCCCTATTCTCGTTTTTTGTGTTTTCCCGGCGGAAAAAATCCTCCCAAATTCCCAGATTTCCGGCCGCAGGCAGCATTCGAAATAAATAAAAGAGCTCAGCCAATAATAACAACAATAAAACCAACAACAACAATAATAATTGTATAAACTATGTAATACTGAAACTTTTAAACAGAGACTCATGGCCGGGAACGCTCCAAAATTCCCCCCAAAAATCATCATCATCCGAGTAAATAGTTTCCGAAAGCATTATTTTACAAAAATATCCAAACGTGTCGATATATTTCGAGGATCTTTGTGTTCCTCTTTTGCCAATAAATAGACAACATTTTCCTTTTTTTTCGCCCCCCCCCCAATATACATAATCATGGATTTTTTTGCTTTGAGCTTTTGGGAAAAAGGGAAACCTCTCTACAGAAAACCGTGAATATAAAAAGTATTTTTTTTAAAAAAAGAGAGATTTCCTTATTTTCTTACACAAAGAAGGGAAATTATAAAACATATTTTTTAAAAAAATTCCTTAGGCATCCAATAATAGAACGTATAAATTAAAAAAAAATACGAAAAAAGGCAGTGTTTCCATGTAAAAAATCAAAACAAAAGTACATAAATAAATACTAAGGAAGGAAAGAAGGAAGGAAGGAAATGTGGTATTATCTATTTATGTAAAAATATTTTTTTATATCAAAAAACATATTATTCCAGTCTCTATTCTCTCTGGTTGGAAGGTCTTGAGATGATGGCTCCTCCTCGACTTGAAGGCCTCAGAAGAGAAGTCTCTCTTTGATGATGGAGAAGGTCTTCTGAGATCATTCCAACTCACTTCCTTGAAGGTTTCGGAAGGGATTGCTCCAGTCCCAAAATGGAAGAGATCCAGTTGGAAGAGCTTGAGATGGTTCCTCCTCCATGAAGTCTTTGGAAGAGATGATTTCCCAATCTAGTGTCTCTCGTCTCCATCTAATCCAAAGTTCTTGAGATGGTTCCTCGACTTGTAGGCTTCAGAAGGGATGGTTCCAGTTCCAATGTGGAGGAAAGGATCTGGTTGGAAGGTCTTTGAGATGGTTCCTCTTCCTTGAAGTCTTTGGAAGAGATGACTTCCCAATACAGTCTCTCTCATCTCCATCTGATCTGAAGGTATTCAGATTATTCCTCTTCCAATCTGGATGGAAAGTCTTTGAGATGGTTTCTCTTCCTTGAAGTCTTTGGAAGAGATGACTTCCCAACATGGAGTAGAATATCTGGTTGGAAGATACTGAGATGGTTCCTCCTCCTTGAAGTTTTTGGAAGAGATGACTTCCCAATATAGTCTCTCTCATCTCCATCTGATCTGAAGGTCTTCAGATTATTCCTCTTCCAATCTGGATGGAAAGTCTTTGAGATGGTTTCTCTTCCTTGAAGTCTTTGGAAGAGATGACTTCCCAATATAGTCTCTCTCATCTCCATCTGGTCTGAAGGCCTTCAGATTATTCCTCTTCCAATCTGGATGAAAAGTCTTTGAGATGGTTTCTCTTCCTTGAAGTCTTTGGAAGAGATGACTTCCCAATATGGAGGAGAAGATCTGGTTGGAAGATATTGAGATGGTTCCTCCTCCCTGAAGTCTTTGGAAGAGATAACTTCCCAATATAATCTCATTCTTCTCCATCTCATCCGAAGTTATTGAGATGGTTCCTCTTCCTTGACTTGCAGGCTTCAGAAGGGATGACTCCAGTTCCAATATGGAGGAAAAGATCTTTGAGATGGGTTTCTCCTCCTTGAAGTCTTGGGAGAGATTACTTCCCAACATGGAAGAGAAGATCTTGTGATGGTTCCTCCTCCTCCTTGAAGTCTTTGGAAGAGATTACTTCCCAACATGAAGGGGAAGATCTTGAGATGGTTCTTTCTTCTTGAAGGCTTTGGAAGAGATGACTTCCCAACATGGAGAAAAAGATATTGAGACAGTCCCTCTTCCTTGAAATCTTTGGAAGAGATTACTTCTCAACATGGAGAAGATATTGAAATGGTTCCTCCTCCTTGAAATCTTTGGAAGAAATTACTTCCTGACATGGAGGGGGATATCTGGTTGGAAGATCTAGAGATGGTTCCTCCTCCTTGAAGTCTTTGGAAGAAATTACTTCCCAACACGGAGAGAAGATCTGGTTGGAAGAACTTGAGATAGTTCCTCCTCCTTGACTTAAAACCTTTGGAAGACATTACTTCCCAACATAGTCTGTCTTCTCCACCTGGTCTGAAGTCCTTGAGATGTCCCTTCCTCCTTTACTTGAAGGCCTCAGGGATGTGTTGCCCCATCTGCGAGGAGGGCATGCTGGTGGGCGGGCTGGAGATGCCCTCAGACCAATCGGAGAGGTTGGAGTGTGGCGAGGAGCTTGACCATTGGTCTGGCGACTCCGGGGATGGGGTCAAGAAGGGGTGGTCAGAGACCTGGATCTGGTGGCTGGGCGTATGGTCCAACGGGGAGGAGTAGCTGTGCTGGGAAGGTGGGGTGAGGAACTGGGTGGTGGTCATGGGCTGGGTTAGCGAGGTGGCGGCCAAGACTTGGGTGTCTTGGGGCAAGATGGCGGCCAAGGCACCGTTGCTCACCTGCTGGAGGTCAGGCTGGGTCAAGTCGCTTCCGAGGAAGTTTGGTGTCACCTGGGGATTGGCACCGGTGCTGATGGAAGGTTGCTGTGACGGCGGTTGCTGCATGTTTTGCTGCTGCTGGATCTGTTGAAGTTGTTGAGCCTGGAGAAGGTGTGGTTGGGCACTGGCGGTGGCCAAGCGGCCATTAGAGAGGGCCTGGAAGCCCATCATTTGGGACAAGGCGGTGTTGGGCAAGCCGTTGTGTAAAGAGGTTAGGAGGCCGTGCTGGAGAGGGCCTTGGTTCGGCAGATGAAGCCCCGGCGGGAGGCCGTTGTTGCCCCGCATTGGGTTGTACTGGTTCTGGACCATCCCGTTGAGCCTCGTCAGCCAATCGCACTGCCCGCCGCTCACGGTGAAACTCAACGGGGCGCCAGAGTTGGGACTGGAGACGGGCAAATGGGTGAGGCGAGGGGGCACCGGGTCGAACGGCTGCATCCGGTTGGCGGCCATATTCAGATCTTGCTTGGTGACCAAGTTGAGATGGTTCATGCTCATGTGGGCATCAGGCATGCCGGGCAAGTGGTTGAGGGGCATGGAAGGGGATGACTGGAAAGGGGAGGTCATCAAGGGCGGGGAGGCGACGTCCGAGAGGTAGCCGCGGGGCGACTCCAGCGAATCGACGGGCGAGAGGACGTTGGAGGTGTCCAGCAGGCAGCCTTTGCTCTCCTGGGACTTCTTGCGGCGGGCTTTGAGGTCCTTGGACTCCTTCCCGTTGCAGGCTGTCCCCTTCATGCTCGGCTTGCGGGCCTTCTTGCTCTGGAGGCCGGCGGGCTTCAGGTTGCCGATGTAGCTGCTGGGCGAGCAGAGCGGGGAAGACAGAGCCGGGCCCCCGAGGCCCCCGTTGTGCAAGGCCGGGCTCCGCACTAGGTTGTACTCATCCAGCAGGCGCACAATGTCGTGGTGCATGCGCTCCTGGGCGATGTCGCGGGGAAGGCGGTCCATGTGGTCCGTAATGTCGCGGTTGGCAAAGTTGTCCAGGAGGACCTTGGCAGTCTCATAGCTCCCTTCCCGGGCTGCCAGGAATAAAGGAGTCTCTTCCTAGAAGCACAGAAAGAAGGAGGAAGAGGAGGAGGAGGAGGGGATGGAGAAGGAGAAAGAGAAATGCATTATTACATTTATTATTTTACTCTATTTACTATTGTTATTATATTACATGAATTATTTCGCTCTATTATTATTGTTACTTTTTACTCTATTTTTGATTATTATATTACATTTATTTTATTCTATTTATTATTATATTACACTATTTTACTCTAATATTATTATTATTACAGTACATTTATTATTTTACTCCATATTATTATATTACATTTATTTTGTTCTATTTATTATTATTAGATTACATTATTTTACTCTAATATTACTATTATTATGGTACATTTATTATTTTACTCTATTTATTATTATTAGATTACATTATTTCATTTTATTATTGTTATATTTATTATTTCACTCCAATATTAATATTATTAGGGTACATTTATTATTTTACTCTATTATTATTATTATTATTATTATTATTATTATATTACATTTATTGTTTTACTCTTTTTATTTTGCAATTTACCCGTAGCTGCTGCATTTCCTGCCCTCGGCTTCTACTTGAGTTGGTACATTTCCCAGTTTTTTGTGGTAAAATTAGGTGCTTTGGCTTATGTTTGGGTCAGCTTATACTTGAATATATACGATAAGTATATATTCCTCACCTTGTTGTCTTGCATGTCTTTATTGGCCCCATTCTTCAGCAACACCAGGGCCGCGTCCACGTTATTCACAGCCGCAGCCCAATGGAGAGCGGACTTCCCTGCAGAGAGAAAGGAGAGTGTTATCCACTTAGGGAGACTTCCCAAGCACACTTATTGCCATCGATGCCTGCTCTTTGCCTCGGTTGGGTCGGTACCTAAGTCGTCGATGGCGTTGACATCCGCGTGGCAGCTGATGAGGTCTTCCAGCATGCCTTCCACAGCCAAACGGGCCGCCAGGATGAGTGGCGTGGTCCCGTCTTGCATCCGCGCATCCAGGTCGGTGGCTCTGTTGCGGATGAGGATCTGCCCGGTTCGGAAAGAGAAAGGGGTACATCCCATTGAGACACAAACACTGGGATTCTTTCTCATGCAGATAGCTTCACTCCCACAGAGCCTCCTCTCACACCAAAGTCACACAGGAGCTTCACAAAGTAGGTTTGTACACATAGCAGCCTTCACACACAATGTCCTGCAACCTGGGGCTTCTCTCAACGAAGCTACTCATACCAAGCCTTCTCAGACTGAGGACTACGAATACTGAGGCCTACCTCACACTGAGGCCTTCTTGTACTGAGGGGTACAAATACACTGAGGCTCTTCTCCCACAGAGACCTATCACAGACAGGGCTACTTCAGACTGAGGGCTACTCACACTGAGGCCTTTCTCCCACTGAGGTCTCTCAGACCGAAGCCTAATAAAACACGGAGGCTCTCCTCCCACAGAGACCTCTCACATAGTGAGGGCTACCTCATACTGAGGGCTCACACTGAGGCCTTCTCACACAGAGACCTCTCACAGACTGAGGGCTACYTTAGATTGAGGGCTACCTCAGACCGAGGGCTATTCACAGAGGCCTTTCTCCCACYGAGGTCTCTCAGACTGAAGCCTAATAAAACATGGAGGCTCTTCTCCCACAGAGACCTCTCACAGACTGAGGGCTACTCGCACTGAGGCCTTTCTCCCACTGAGGTCTGCCAGACTGAAGCCTACTAATATTGAGGCCCATCTCCCACAGAGACCTCTCACAGACTGAGGRCTACCTCAGACTGAGGGCTACTCACACTGAGGCCTTTCTCCCACTGAGGTCTCTCATACTGAAGCCTACTAACACACTGAGGCCTTCTCCCACAGAGACCTCTCACAGACTGAGGGCTACTCACACTGAGGCCTTTCTCCCACAGAGGTCTCTCAGGCTGAAGCCTACTAACATTGAGGCCCATCTCCCACAGAGACTTCTCACAGACTGAGGGCTACTCACACTGAGGCCTTTCTCCCACTGAGGTCTCTCAGACTGAAGCCTACTAACATACTGAGGCCCTTCTCCCACAGAGACCTCTCACAGACTGAGGGCTACTCACACTGAGGCCTTTCTCCCACTGTGGTCTCTTAGACTGATGCCTACTAACACACGGCGGCCCTTCTCCCAAAGAGACCTCTCACAAACTGAGGGTTACCTCAGAGTGAGGCTAATCACACTGAGGCCTTTCTCCCACTGAGGTCTCTCAGACTGAAGCCTACTAACATTGAGGCCCTTCTCTCACAGAGGGCTACTCACACTGAGGCCTTTCTCCCACTGAGGTCTGCCAGACTGAAGCCTACTAACACACTGAGGCCCTTCTCCCACAGAGACCTCTCACAGACTGAGGGCTACTCACACTGAGGCCCTTCTCCCACTGAGTTCTGCCAGACTGAAGCCTACTAACATACCCAGGCAACGCTCACCTGAAAGACGCCCTGAGCGTCGGCTGAGACGGCGGCGTGGAGGGGGGTCTTGCCCATGTGGTCCTGGATGTTGGCGTCGGCGCTGGCTTCCAGCAGCCTCTTGGCTGCGTCCGAGCGGGAATAGCGGGCGGCCAAGTGGAGCGCCGTCTCGCCCGTGCGGTCCGTCTGGTTGTGCAGGTTGGCCCCTTGGTAGATGAGGTCCGAAATGACCGCCGGCGCATCCTCCTCCTCCTCGCTGTTGCCCGTCTCCAGGCCGCCCCCGCTGCAGGACGCGATCATCAAAGGGGTCAAGCCGTCTGCAAAGAGACACAAGGGAGGATCCCCCACTTCAGGCATATTGGCGCTAAGTAGGGTCGGAGGTTGCGGCTTTCTATCCTGTCCCCACTCTGTTTATTACACAATCAAAGCCCTCCCGACAGATGGCCATCCAGCCTATCAGCCTAGCTCCTAGAGCTAGGAGGAGCACCCAAACGCTATCCAGTCCAAAAGCACAATCAAAGCGCTCCCGACAGACGGCCATCCAGCCTATCATGGGATCCTAGAATCCTAGAGCTAGGAGGGGCTCCCAAAGGCTATCCAGCCTAACCCCGTTGCAAAAGCACAATCAAAACCCTCCTGACAGACGGCCATCCAGCCTATCATAGGATCCTAGAATCCTAGAGCTAGGAGGAACACCCAAAGGCCATCCAGTCCAACGCCCTGTTGCAAAAGCACAATCAAAGCCCTCCCGACAGATGGCCATCCAGCCTATCATAGGATCCTAGAATCCTAGAGCTAGGAGAGGCACCCAAACGCTATCCAGCCCAAAAGCACAATCAAAGCCCTCCCGAAAGATGGCCATCCAGCCTATCATGGGATCCTGGAATCCTAGAGCTAGGAGGGGCACTCAAAAGCCATCCAGTCCAACCCCCTGTTGCAAAAGCACAATCAAAGCCCCCCCGACAGATGGCCACCCAGCCTATCATGGGATCCTAGAATCCTAGAGCTAGGAGGGGCACCCAAAGGCTATCCAGTCCAACCCCCTGTTGCAAAAGCACAATCAAAGCCCTCCTGACAGATGGCCATCCAGCCTATCATGGGATCCTAGAATCCTAGAGCTAGGAGGGGCACCCAAAGGCCATCCAGACCAACCTCCTGTTGCCAAAGCACAATCAAAGCCCTCCTGATAGACGGCCATCCATCCTATCATGGGATCCTAGAATCCTAGAGCTAGGAGGGGCTCCCAAAGGCCATCCAGTCCAACCCCCTGTTGGAAAAGCACAATCAACGCCCTCCCGACAGATGGCCATCCGGCCTATCATGGGATCCTAGAATCCTAGAGCTAGGAGGGGCACGCAAAGGCCATCCAGTCCAACCCCCTGTTGCAAAAGCACAATCAAAGCCCTCCTGACAGACGGCCATCCAGCCTATCATGGGATCCTAGAATCCTAGAGCTAGAAGGGGCCATCCAGTCCAACCCTCTTCTGCCTTCATGCAGGAAAAGCACAACCAAAGCCCCCCAGATAGATGGCGACCTAGCCCCTGTTTGAAAGCCTCCAAGGAAGGAACTTGATGCGAGAGTGGTCTGCTCACCTGGCCCACGGACGTTGACGTCCATGCAGTCGGCGTCAATTTCGCCTTGGGGAGGAGTGGGCGCCATGGACGAAATCCGCAGGTCGGCGGCATCCAAGTGCTGCTGGGTCCACTGCCTGTGGTCAGTCTGGTCGTCCATGTCCGGCAGCATGGCCTGCTCCTCCACCTGGAAGACAAACACACCAGAAATGAAATCAACAAACCTGAAGTTCCCCAAAAGCACACAGCAATCTCCCAAAGCGGACAAGAGCACAAGGTCCAGAGGCTGCTCTCTTGAAACCCTAAAGTCCTGTATTCTTGCATTAGCACTCTTAACTCAAAACACTGCTTGTATGTCAAAGCAAAAGCAGGTCAGAACGACGTCTCCTAACTCCTAACTCGTGTCTAGATCAAGGGAGTCAACAAATTAAGAGAAATATTGACTCTAAACTGGAGGGTGACTAAAATGATCAAGGGTCTGGAGAACAAGCCCTATGAGGAGCGGCTTAAGGAGCTGGGCATGTTTAGCCTGAAGAAGAGAAGGCTGAGAGGAGATATGATAGCCATGTATAAATATGTGAGAGGAAGCCACAGGGAGGAGGGAGCAAGCTTGTTTTCTGCTTCCTTGGAGACTAGGACGCAATGGAACAATGGCTTCAAAGTACAAGAAAGGAGATTCCATCTGAACATGAGGAAGAACTTCCTGACTGTGAGAGCCGTTCAGCAGTGGAACTCTCTGCCCCGGAGTGTGGTGGAGGCTCCTTCTTTGGAAGCTTTTAAACAGAGGCTGGATGGCCATCTGTCAGGGGTGATTTGAATGCAATATTCCTGCTTCTTGGCAGAAGGGGGTTGGACTGGATGATGGCCCAGGAGGTCTCTTCCAACTCTTTGATTCTATGATTCTAGGTGTCCAGAAAAGAGCAACCAAAAGGATCAAAGGTCTGGAGGCCATAAATAATCTCTCTGAGGAGCGGCTTAAAGAGTTGGGTCTGTTTAGCCTGCAGACTGAGAGGCGACATGAGAGTCATGTATAAATATATGAAAGGGCGTCATAACGAAGAGTGAGTTGGCTTGTTTTCGACGAAGCCATGGGTTCAAATGACAGGAAAGGAGATTCCATCTGAACATTAGGAAGAACTTCCTAACAGTGAGAGCTGTTCAACAGTGGAACTCTCTGCCTCAGAATGCTCAGAATCCAGTGGGGGGCTTTTAAACAGAGGGGTGCATTGATTGTGCTTGACAGAAGGGGGTTGGACTAGATGGCCCTTGGGGTCCTTTCCAACTCTATTATTTTTTGACCTCCGAATGAGAGGATGGATAGGACATTAGTTTGAGAGAGGAGCCTCAGTGTGCTGAAATCCACAGGCATCAATGGCACTCAGCTTATAGGAGACGCTGTCTGGCCAACACCAGGCACCATCCGATCCCTCCCAATAGACAGCCTAACAAACCATTCCCGCCAACTTACCCTGAACCGGTTGGTGTCCAGCGTCTCTTCGTTGCCCCATTCATTCTGGTTGTCATCCATCAAGGCGCCGTTAGAAGCATTCTTCAAGGGTCTGGATGGAAGAAGAGGCATTAGATTTGCTGTTAGAACAGGCCCTCCAGGTGTTTTGGACTTCAACTCCCACAATTCCTTCCTTTTCCCCCTATTAAGCATATTAGTTTGCCTCAGTGGGAGAAAAGCCTCGGTCTGGGAGAAACCTCAGTGTGAGTTAAACCTCAGTGTGAGGTAGACCTCAGTGTGAGAAGGCCCAGGTTGAAGGCCTTGTGCGTAAAGCTCCAATGTGAAGGCTGCTGTGAGTAAAAAGGCTACTGTGTGTAAGTTTGGTGTGAGAGGAAGCTCAGTGAAAGCAAAGCTTTTTATCTGCATGAGAAAGAAGCCCAGCGTGGAAGCAAAGAAGGAAGTATAAAGAACTTTGTGTTATGGAAACCTTGTAAATAGTGCAACCATATTGTTTTGCTATAAACACAGGCCTCCTAAGCAAGAGATAACATTTGTCTGTATGTTTTTGTTCTTTTTGTCACTTTTGACGCAATGTATTAAAGGCATTGAATGTTTGCCTATCTGTGTATCTTGTAATCCGCTCGGAGTCCTCTTGGAGGGATAGAGCGCAATATAAATAAAGTGTATTATTGTTATTATTGTTGTTGTATTGTTGTTATATTACTATTATATTATTATTGTTGTTGTTATATTACTATATATTATATTATTATATTATTATTATTGTTCTTCTTATATTATTATTGTTATTGTTATATTACTATATATTATATTATAATATTATTATAGTTCTTATATTATTATTATATTATTGTTCTTATATTATTATATTGCTATTTTGTTATTATATTATTATTGTTGTTTTTGTTGTTGCCATATTATTATATTGTTATTGTTATATTATTGTTATATTGTATCATTATTATTATTATTATTATTATTATTATTATTATTATTATTGCTGTTGTTGTTGTGTGACTCACTTCAGCCCCACCGAATCCTCTCCCAGCGGCTCCCGGCGCTTCTTCTAATTATTGTTATTGTTATATTGTTATATTATTATTATTATTGCTGTTGTTGTTGTGTGACTCACTTCAGCCCCACCGAATCCTCTCCCAGGGGCTCCCGGCGCTTCTTCTTGCTAGACTCGGTCACTTTGAACCCTTCGGGGAACCAGAGCTGCCCATGTTCCCTGCGCCGCTTGCGGGAGGCCAAGACCCCGACGATGATGAAGAGGAGGAGGAAGAGCGCCGGCACCACCACGTACATCGGATACCACGGGTTGCCCTTTGGCGGGTCGGTCTCGCCTGGAAACAAGGAAGGGGGAAAAGGTTCAGGAGGAGCCTGTGAACGGGCAGCTTTATGGGCAGCTTTTCAGCCTCCCCAAAAGGGTCAAGAAGGACTCTGAATGGACTTCTTGCTCCTGATGCTCCATGCCAAGGTCCACGGTTTGAAAAAGAAACAGAAGGAGTCAATCCAAGTGGAGTGTCACAAGCAATGTTTGCGTTCCAATCAGTTAAACATTCAAAACGATTTCGTATTTTAACAGGGGGACTTAAACCCTCTCACTTCTAGATTCCCTTCCTCTATATCCCCCTTCACCTCGTTCCTTCCTTCTTCTCCATCTATTTCTCTGCCTTCCCCTTACCTCCTTCGGTTTTCCTTCCCCTCTTCCTTCTTCTTTTTCCTCTTCTCCATCTGCTTCTCTGCCTTCCACTTTCCTCCTTCCTCCTCCTCCTTCCCGTTTATCTACTCCTCTGCCTTCTTTTTTCTCCCCTTCTTCTCATTTCCTTCTCTTTTCTATCTTTTTCTCTGCTTTCTCCCTTCTCCTTTCTTTCTTCCTCCTTTTAATTTCCTCCTCCTTCCCCTTTTCCACCTACTTCTCTGCCTCCTCCTTCTCCTCCTCCTTCCCCTCTTGTTTCCTCCTCCTCCTCCCTCTTCTCCACCTACTTCACTGCCTTCTCCTTTCCTCCTCTTTTCCTCCTTTCCTTCTTCCTTCTTTTAATTTCCTCCTCCTTTTTCTTCGTCTGTTTCTATGCTTTCTCCTTTTCTTCTTTTTTGTTTTCTCCTTTTCCCCCTTCATCTATTTCTCTGCCTTCTCCTTTCCTCCTCCTCCTCCTTCCTTCTTTTTGTTTCCTCTCCTTTCTTCTCCTGCTCCACCTACTTTTCTACTTTTTCCTTTCCTCCTCCTTTCCTCTTTCCTCCTTTTTGTTTCCTCTTCCTTCTTCCCCTTCTCCATCTGTTTCTATGCCTTCTCCTTTCCTTCTTTATTGTTTTCTCCTCCTTCCTCTTCTCCTTTATCTACTGCCTTCTCCTTTCCTCCTATTCCTCTCTTTCCTCCTTCTTGTTTCCTCTTCCTTCTTCCCCTTCTCCACATAATTTCTACTTTTTCCTTTCCTCCTTCCTTCCTTCCTTGTTTTCTCCTCCTTCTTCCCCTTCTCCATCTACTTCTCTGCCGTCTCCTTTCCTCCTCCTTCGCCTTTCCTTCTTCCCCTTCTCTGCTAACTATACCTTTTCCTTTCTTCTTCTTCCTTCTCCTTTTTGTTTTCTCCTCCTACCCCTTCTCCATCTACTTCTCTGCCTTCTCTTTTCCTCTTCCTCCTTTTCCTTTCCTCCTCCTCCTCCAAGTACTTTTCTGTCTTCTCCTTTCCTCCCCTCTCTCTTCTCTTTCTTTTCGCTTCCTCTTCCTTCTTCCCCACCTACTTTTCCACTTTTCCCTTTCCTCCTCCTTTCCTTCCTCCTTTTTGTTTTCTCCTCCTTCTTCCTCTTCTCTATTGACTTCTCTGCCTTCTCCTTTCCTCCTCCTTCCCCTTTCCTTCCTCCTTCCCTTCCTTTTCCTCTCCTCCTCCTTCTTCCCCTTCTCTGCCAACTTCTCTGCCTTCTCCTTTCTTCCTCGTCCTCCCCTTTTCTTCTTCTTTTGTTTTCTCCTCCTTTGCCTCCTCCATCTCCTTCTCAGCCTTCTCTTTTCCTCCTCTTCCTTTTCCTTTCCTCCTCCTCCTCCATCTACTTCTCCGTCTTTCCTTTCCTCCTCCTCTTTCTCCTCCTTCCTCTTTCCTTCCCTTCCTCCTGAACCTTTTTCCTCCCTATTTTTTGGGCAACATTCATTCCTAAGAATGACTCCAGCTCATTGTGAGAAAAAGGAGGAAGACGAGGCCATTCTTTTTTTTTTTGCCTCCGCGATTCATCAGCATTGCAAACTCTCTTCCTTGAAAGATTGAGAGAAGAGGGATTAAGCCCACTTCAAATCGTTGCCTTTGCATCAAGCTGTTTAAATCCAACGGATTGAAAGGGGGATTTGGAAGACGCTTCGGTGTGTCATGGATCGATGGGGTGGAGAGGCCCTGCAACTCCTTTTTTTCTTTCCAGCAGCAACAATTTGAAAATGAGACGAGAGAGAGAGAGAGACACTTGGAAAAAAGATCAACGGCATGATGTCTCCTTCCACGTTCGATCGTGTTTGTTTATGTGATCGCGAGGAAATTGCTCAATACAGGCATCGCATTTGTGTTCAGAGTCTAAGGCAGACATGGCAAACTTGGGCCCTCCAGGTGTTTTGGACTCCAACTCCCACAATTCCTAACAGCCGGTAGGCTGTTAGGAATTGTGGGAGTTGGAGTCCAAAACACCTGGAGGGCCCAAGTTTGCCCATACCTGGTCTAAAGAATGGTCTTCCTTTAGCTAAATATGTTCTTTTCTATTATTATGTACTAGTTTGGGTTTTCAATAGGGCAAGCGTAGGGATTTGTAGTATGGAGAGATCCCAGGCCAAAGGCTTTGCTAAACTGTTACTCCCAGGCTTCCCTCGAGCTTACTTTTCACGGCTTCGATTTGGTAGGGAATGTCCAGGCTGCCCATCGAGGCCAGGGCTCCCAGGAAGGCGGCCACCTCCTTGGTGCTTTGGAAACACTGTGAGGAAGACTGGATGCATTGCCGGTTGTCGATCTCCAAGTAAACGATGGAGCTGTAAGGAAAATAAAGGGAGGGGGAAAGATGAAAGGCTGACAGTTCAAAACCCGGGTCCGGGTGAACTCCTGGCTTTTATGACTTGGACTTGGAGGTCTTTGAGGGAAAATTCACCTTGATTTGGGGGAGTTATAGTTTTATTATTATTATTATTATTATTATTATTATTATTATTATTATTTATATAGCATAGATATATATTATTTTATTTATTATATATTATGATACTATATTATACTATAAAATAGTTATTATTGTAGTTCACCTACACCCAGAGAACACTGTGAACCCAAACACCGATGGATCTGGACCAATAATAATAATAATAATAATAATAATAATAATAATAATAATGATAATAAATGCACTTTGGCCCCATGGCTTCCTTTCTTTGCCCCTGAAGCTCATATTGTTAGCTGCCTTGAGTCCCTATGGGAAGAAAGGCAGGATGTAAATAAAGATAATTATAACCATAATAATAAAGTAAAACAACAATAATAGCTGCACTTTGGCAGCTTAGAGGCCCCATGGCTTCCTTTCCTTGCCCCTTATTGTTAGTCCTTATGGGGAGAAAGGCAGGAAGAAATAAAGATGATGATGATGATGATGATAATAATGTAGTAAAATAATAACAAAATATAGTATAATTAAAATATATAGTATAATAATAATATTGTGACATAACAATATATAGTATAATAACAAAGTAAAATAATAATAACAATAGACATAAATGATAATAATAATATAGTAAATTAGTAATATCAATATATAATTATAATATACAGTATAATAATAATATAGTGACATATTAAAAATATATAGTATAACAAAGTAAAATAATAATAACAATAGACATAAATGATAATAATATAGTAAATTAGTAATATCAATATATAATATAATTATAATATACAGTATAATAATAATATAGTGACATATTAAAATATATAGTATAACGAAGTAAAATAATAATAACAATAGACATAAATAGACATACATGGTTATAATAATAATATAGTAAATTAGTAATAACATTATATAGTATAATTATAATATATAGTATGATAATAATATAGTGAAATGATAACAATATATAGTATAATAACAAAGTAAAATAATAACAATATGTATGTGTGCATTCAGAGTCCACTAAGAAAAACAATAATATAGTAAAATAATAACAATATACAGTATAATAACAATATATAGTAAAATAATCATTAGTATAGTAATAATATAGTAAAATAATAACAATATATAGTATAATAATAACAATAATATAACATAATAATAACAATATGGTAAAATGATAACGATGTATAGTATAATAATAAAGTATAATAATAATATAGTAAAATACTAACATATAGTATAATAACAATATAACATAACAATAATATAGTAAAATAATAATATATAGTATAATAATAAAGTATAATAATGATATCGTAAAATAATAACAATAATACAGTAAAATGATAACAATAGTTTAATATAATAATAATAATAATAATAATAATAATAATAATAATGATAATGATGATAATGATAATAATAATACACTTTGGCAGTTCGGAGACCCCATGGCTGTCTTTGCCCTTTAGGCTCCTTTTTCCCAAACCAAAGGTGTATCTACATTGTAGAATTAATGCAGTTTGGTGCCTCTTTGACTGCCATGACTCAATGAGATGGCATCTTGGGAGGTGTAGTTTGCACTCGTTGGCTGAGGAGGCGCAAGACCATGATGCCATGGGAGTGCAAGTGGGGTCCAACTGCATTCACCCAACAGTGTAGATGTGCCCTAAAAGGCAAAGCCATTGAAGAAAGAGAAAGCCAACGCGACTTCTCCTTACCCAGAGACATCCATCTGGCCCAGCTCTCTCCTATGCCGACCACCGACCGCGGAGTAGAGCGAGGCCTTCACCCTCAGGACCACGTCCTCCATGTCCGGCCAATCCTCCGCCGACCGCTTGACGTGGTGCTTCTTCAGCTCCTCGGGGTTCCCGAAGTAGGGGAAGATCATGTACTCGCCCTTGGGGTCCTTCTTGAAGACCACGTTGGTGTGGAGGATGCGGCTGAGCTCCCGCAGGAAGTTGAGGGAGTTGTTCTTGAGGGCCTCGGGGGCGATGAGCACCACCACCACCAGCGTCCCTTCGGCCAGCTTCTCGGGGACGTCGTTGGCGCAGTCCAGGCCGTCCCACTCGCACTCGGCGTTGTTGCAGCCTTGGTCGCAGTGGCCGTCCAAGAAGTGGTCCTTGCAGTACTGGTCATAGAGAGGGCTACAGAGCAGAGAGAAAAGGGGGAAGAAATGGACCCTGGGGGTCATTTTGGAGGTCCCACAAATATATCATGGGCCACGACAGGCCTCAAAATGTACGGAAATATTCCAAAATGGCATTGGCTAGAAATCTAGATTCGGTTGGTTGGTTTCTTACCTGTCCGCCTGCCAAGCTACCTTGCCTTCCTTCCTTTCTTTTCTCTTTCCTTCCTTTCTCTGTTCTTCCTCTCTCCCCTTTCTTTCATCCTTTTCTCTCTTCCTCCATCTTTCTCGATCTCTCCTTCCTTCCTCCCTTTCCTTTCTTCCTTCTCTTTCTCTCTTCCTTCATGTCTCCATCTTTCTCGACCCCTCCTTCCTCTCACCCCTTTCTTCCTTCCTACCTTTCTCTTCTTTATTTCCTTTGTCTTATTTCCTCTTTCTCTCTCCTCCTCTCTCCTTCCGACCTGCCTTCTTTCCTTTTCTCCTTCCTTCTTTCCTTTTCCCCTTCCTTCTTTCCTTTCCCTCCTTTCTCTCCCCTTACTTCATTCCCTCTTTCTCTCTTCCTTCCTCTTACCCTTCTCTCTCTTTCTTCCTTATTTCCTTTCTCTCTTCCTTCCTCTTTCTTTTCTGCCTGCTTTCCTTCCTTCCTTTCTCCCTTCCTTCTTTCCTTTCCCTCTTCCTTTCTTCATTTCTCCATCTTTCTTTCTCTCCTTCCTTTCTTTCCCATTTCTTCCTTTTCTGTTCCTTATTTTTCTCTCCTCCTCCCTTCTTTCCTTTCCCTCTTTCCTTTCTTCCTTTCTGCATATTTCTTTCTCTCCTTCCTTTCTCTTCCCCCTTCCTTCCCTCTTTCTTCCTTATTGTCCCTCTTTCCTTCCTTTYTCCCTTTCTCCTTTCCTTCTCTCTTCCATCTTTCTCTCCTTCCTTTCTCTTTCCCCTCCCTTCCTCTTAACCTTCTCTCTCTCTCTTCCTTCCTTCTTTTCTTTCTCTTTTCCTTCTTTCCTCCATCTTTCTCTCCTTCCTTTCTCTTTCCCCTTCCTTCCTCTTAACCTTCTCTCTCTCTTCCTTCCTTCTTTTCTTTCTCTTTTCCTTCTTTCCTCCATCTTTCTCTCCTTCCTTTCTCTTTCCCCTTCCTTCCTCTTACCCTTCTCTCTCTCTTCCTTCCTTATTTCTTTCTCTCCTTTCCTTCTTTCCTCCCTTCCTTCCTCTTTCCTTTCTCTTTCCTCCCTCCCTTCCTTGAAGACCACGGAAGTCCTTTTTAACTAGAGGACAGAGTTTTGCGGAGAGGCCAAGAGCGGGATGAAGTGTCCCCAACTTTTCCTTACAATGAAATCTGCATATATATTTTTTCACCCAAGGGAAGGGAAAAAGACAGAATTTGAGGTGATTGTGCGCAAACGGTGCCCAGGGTTTGCTCTCTGACTCACTTGCATTGCCCTTCCACCTTCTGGCAGTCGAACCCGTCGAAGAGGCAGCCGGTGTTGTTGCACTGGGTGTCGCACTTCCCGTCGTTGAAGTACTTCCAGCACTGCAGGGACTGGGAGCAGTTCTTCCAGGGGTCGTTGAAGTTGAGCGAGCAGTCCCCGCCGTCCCAGCCGCAAGCGTGGCTGTTGCACTTGGTGTCGCAGATCTTGTTGCCGGCCAGGCCCGGGCAGCCGGGGGTCTCGCAGCTCTCCTCCAAGGGCGGCGGGGCAATGTCCCTCCCCACGCCGCCGGGGAAGTCGTAGTCCAGGATGTGGCAGTTCAGGCCGTTGAAGTTGGTGGGGCAGAGGCAGCGGTAGTGGGGCGGCTCCTTGGCAAACTGGCAGGTGCCCCGGTTGTAGCAAGGGCTGGAGTGGCAGGGGCTGTTGGAGGGGAACTGGCACTCGGGGCCCGTGAAGCCCGGCCCGCACAGGCACTTGGAGCTCTTCTGGGCTGAGACGCAGGTCCCGCCGTTCAGGCACCGCAGCGCCCCGCAGCTGCGCAAGTCGTTCTCGCATGTGGCGCCGTCCAAGCCCTGAGAAGGACATCACCGTCAACAGTCTGTCCTTGCAGCTTGCAATGCATGTCTCTCTGTATGTGTATCTGTCTCTCTGCCTTATCTATTCAACCATCCATCGAGATATCTAGCTTTTGGGTTGTTGTAGGTTTTTTCGGGCTATATGGCCATGGTCTAGAAGCATTCCCTCCTGACATTTCGCCTGCATCTATGGCAAACATCCTCAGAGGTAGTGAGGTCTGTTGGAACTAGGAAAAAAGGGTTTATATATCTGTGGAATGACCAGGGTGGGACAAAGAACTCTTGTCTGCTGGAGCTAGGTGTGAATGTTTCAACTGACCACCTTGATTAGCATATGATGGCCTGACAGTGCCTGGAGCAACCTTTTGTTGAGAGGTGATTAGATGTCCTTGTTTGTTTCCTCTGTGTTGTTGTGCTGTTGTAATTTTAGAGTTTTTTAATACTGGTAGCCAGATTTTGTTCATTTTCATAGTTTCCTCCTTTCTGTTGACATTGTCCACATGCTTGTGGATTTCAATGGCTTCTCTGTGTAGTCTGACATGGTGGTTGTGAGAGTGGTCCAGCATTTCTGTGTTCTCAAATAATATGCTGTGTCCAGGTTGGTTCCTCAGGTGCTCTGCTATGGCTGACTTCTCTGGTTAAAGCAGTCTGCAGTGCCTTTCATGTTCCTAGCTCCAACATTCACACCTAGCTCCAGCAGACAAGAGTCCTTTGTCCCACCCTGATCATTCCACAGTTATATAAACCCACTTTCCTAGTTCCAACAGACCTCACTACCTTTGAGGATGCTTGCCATAAATGCAGGTGAAACGTCATGCCTCTAGACCATGGCCATATAGCCCGAAAAAAACTACAACAACCCAGTGATTCCAGCCATGAAAGCCTTCGGCAATATATCTAGCTTTTATTTATTTATTTATTTATTTACAACATTTATATGCCACCCTTCTCATCCCAAAGGGGACTCAGAGCAGCTTACAAGATAYAYAYAYACACACACACACACACACACACACACACACACACAATGTATTATATTATTAGCATAGTACAATATCAGCTGTATATGTGACTATATTGTACTATACCATTATATTGTAATATTATTAGTAATATTACATGTAATATAAGATATATAATTATAATATTGTATTATTATTTTTTTGTATCATATTGTATTACGTTATAATATTATAAATATATGTATATGCAATATATTACATTATATTTGTAGCCCAAATTCCTTATATGCAGGATTTTATGGAGTAATTTGGGGTGCATCTATACCAAGCATGGGCAAACTTTGTCCCTCCAGGTGTCTTGGATCCTGACTCCCACAATGTGGGAGCTGAAGTCCAAAACACATGGAGGGCCAAAGTTTGCCCATGCCTGATCTACACTGCAAAATTAATGCAGTTTGATAGCTTTTCTAGCTATCCTATCCTTCCTTCGCATCCATCCATGCTATGTATTCTATTTATGTGTCCTATGTAAACCATCTATCTATCTATCTATCTATCTATCTACCCATCCAGGTATCTACCAATTCTATCTATCCTATCCTTCCTTCTCATCCATCCATCCATCCATCCATCCTATGTATTTTATCCACCCATCTTATGTATTCTATTTATCTGTCCTATGTAATCTATGTGTCTATCTATCTATCCATCCATCCAGGTATCTACCTATCCTATCCTATCCTATCCTTCTCATCCATCCAGCCATCCAATGTATTCTATCCACCCATCCTATGTATTCTATTTATCTGTCGTATCTATCTATCTATCTATCTATCTATCTATCTATCTATCTATCTATCCGTCTGTCCATCCATGTATCTACATATCCTACCTATCCTATCCTTCCTTCCCATCCATCCATCCATCCATCCAATGTATTCTATCCACCCATCCTAAGTATTCTATTTATCTGTCCTATGTAATCTATCTATCTATCTATCTATCTATCTATCTATCTATCTATCTATCTATCTATCTATCTATCTATCTAGTTGTCCTATCCTTCCTTCCTATCCATCCATCCAATGTATTCTATCAATTCATCCCATGTATTCTATTTATCTGTCCTATGTAATCTATTTATCCATTTATCTATCTATCTGTCTGTCTATTTATCTATAGTGACTACCTTAAAACACTGATGGGGTTGGGGATGGAAGGGAATTGCCCCAGGATGATGGGAGTTGTAGTCCACCCAGTCAGTTATCCATTCAGGTATCCACCTACCTACCTATCAATTATCTATATGAATAAAAATGTAGTGTTTGTTTGTGGGATTAAATGACATTAAATTTGGACACAAGGCACCTATCAGGTCAACGAATGACCATCACTGACAAAAACACTGAAAAAATCATAGAAGAAACTTAAAAAGCCCCAAAATTAAAAAAATACAAAGCCTACACACATATGTATGCAAACACACATATACATAAATATATGCACACAAAACACATGTACACAGACTGGGCCACGGCAATAGGTGGCAGGGGATGGCTAGTTATATATAATATGGATGAAAGCAAGAACTACCTTGGTCTGTGAGTGTGTGTATCCAGAAAACACTGTGGACCCAACCAACAATTGATCAGGTCCAAACATGGTACACATACCCACACATGACCAATTTTAAGTAATGGGAGGGTTTGGTGAGTATTGACCTAGGATGATGGGAGCTGTAGTTCCCCCACAATGGATTTGGGTAAACATGGAACACAGACCCATCATGACCAACTTTAGTCACTGGTGGGGTTTGAAGGGAATTGACTTGGGATGATGGAACTTGAAGGCCCGTTCCTTACCGGAGGGCACCTGCAGATGTAACCGTGTTGCGTGTTGCTGGCGACAGCGCAAGTTCCGCCGTTCTTGCAGGGCTTGTTGCGACAGCCGTCCACCACCGTCTCGCAACGCCGTCCTGCAGGAGAAAGGGAGGAAGCGTAGAGGATAACAATGGTCTTTCATGGTCTTTCCCAAACTATATGTCACATCCCTGGTCCGAGGGTCGAACGAGACCCACGGGACTCACCGGTGTAGCCCGGGCGGCACTCGCACTCGTAATCGTTGACGCGCTGCACGCAGTTCTGGGTCCCCCGCATGTCGCAGGGGTTGGAGAGGCACTCGTTGACGTCCCCCTCGCAGCGCTCCCCGACGAAGCCCGGCAAGCAGAGGCAGCTGTAGCCGCCCACCCGGTCAATGCACTTGCCGTTGTTGAAGCACTTCGGGGTCAAGGTGTCGGGGCCCGAAGACGGGCTGCAGTCGTCCACGTTGATCTCGCAGTGCACCCCTGCCAAGGAGGAGAGGGAGAGCTTAGAGAAGGGGCCACACTGGTCTGAGAGTATTACAACAATGAGCTGAGAACATGAGCAGAGTGCAACTATTCCCAGAATATCCATATATGCATGTATGTATATAATAAAGGTGAAAATAGATATGGATGGATCTGGACCAAACTTGGCACACAGCTCCAACATGGCCAATTTTAATTCTTAGTGGGGTTTGGGGTGGGACGGACCTGGGATGATGGGAGTTGTAGTTCACCCACATCCAGACATCATTGTGAACCATACTGATGATGCATCTGGACCAAACCTGGCTCACATACCCAACAAGGCCAACTTTAACAACTGGTGGAGTTTGTGGGAGATGAACCTGATATGATGGGAGTTGTAGTTCACCCACCTCCAGACATCATTGTGAACCATGCTGATGATATATCTGGACCAAACCTGGTTCACATACCTAACATGGCCAATTTTAAGAACTGGTGGAGTTGGGGGGGGGGGGGTGGACCTGGGATGATGGGAGTTGTAGCTCACCCACCTCCAGACATCACTGTGAACCATGCTGATGATGCATCTGGACTAAACCTGGCTCACATACCTAACATGGGCAACTTTAACAATTGGTGGAGTCTGGGGGGGGAATGGACCTGGGATGATGGGAGTTGTAGTTCACCCACATCCAGAAATCATTGTGAACCATACTGATGATATATCTGGACCAAACCTGGCTCACATGCACAACATGGCCAACTTTAACTGCTGGTGGAGTTTGGGGGAGATGGACCTGGGATGATGGGAGTTGTAGTTCACCCACATCTAGGAATCATTGTGAACCATACTAATGGTTCACATACCCAACATAGCCAACTAACAACTGGTGGAGTCTGGGGGGAATGGACCTGGGATGATGGGAGTTGTAATTCACCCACATCTAGACATCATTGTGAACCATACTGATGATGCATCTGGACCAAACCTGGCTCACATACCCAACTGGAGTGTTTTGTTTTTTTTTTGGTTTTTTTTGGGGGGGGGGGGGTGGACCTGGAATGATGGGAGTTGCAGTTCACCCACATCCAGAAATCATTGTGAACCATACTGATGATGCATCTGGACCACTCAACGACTACTTGGAATATATAACAGTACGAAAGACCTAACCCAGGCATCATCGGGGACCTGAGCTAAAAAGGTTCAACAGGTAAGTTGGCTTACCTTGGGTTCCTCGGGGACAGGAGCATTTGTAGGTGTTGATGAGATCAATGCAAGTCCCTCCATTTTGGCAGGGGTGAGACAGGCATTCGTTGATCTCTTCTGAGCAGTTCACTCCGTGATAGCCGGCAACACACTGAAAAGGAAAAACACTCATTTAGATTGACTTTGGAAGAGACCCATTTCTGGTGCTACTTTCCCTATCATAATAATAATGGTAATGATAACACAGACTCATCATAAAGTCTAGAAATACTAGAATAATAATAATAATAATAGTAATAATAATAATATTTTTGTTGTGTCAGGAGTGTCTTGAGAAGCTGCATTAATAATAATAATAATAATAATAATAATAATAATAATAATAATTTTTTGTCATGTCAGGAGTGTCTTGAGAAGCTGCATTAATAATAATAATAATAATAATAATAATAATTTTGTCATGTCAGGAATGTCTTGAGAAGCTGCATTAATAATAATAATAATAATAATAATAATAATAATAATTTTGTCATGTCAGGAGTGTCTTGAGAAGCTGCATTAAGAATAATAATAATAATAATAATAATAATAATAATAATAATAATTTTGTCATGTCAGGAGTGTCTTGAGAAGCTGCATTAATAATAATAATAATAATAATTTTGTCATGTCAGGAGTGTCTTGAGAAGCTGCATTAATAATAATAATAATAATAATAATAATTTTTGTCGTGTCAGGAGTGTCTTGAGAAGCTGCATTAATAATAATAATAATAATAATAATAATAACAATAATAATAAATTGCCGTACCTCGCATGAATAACCGCCCAGGTAATCGGTGCAAGTGGCCCTATTTTGGCACGGGTTGGGAGAGCATTCGTCCACTTGCTCTTCGCAATAGCTGCCCGTATAGCCAGCCTGGCAATGGCAGAAGTGCGTGTTGCCCCGGTCCATGCAAACGCCCGAGTTCCGGCAGAGGTGGGCGACGTCGACCCCTGCAAAGGCAAAAGAAGGAAGGCCATCAAACGCAAGGCTCCGGCAGGAAAATCCATGTCTTCCTCCCTTATTCTTTCTTTCCCTGTTTCTCCTTTCCTGTCATCCTCCCTTATTTGACCACTCATTTTCTTTCTTTCCTTCCCTCTTTCTCCCTTTCCTATCTTCCTCCCTTATTTGACCCATTCTTTTTTCCTTCCCTCTTTCTCCCTTCCTCTCTTTTTCCTTCCTTCTTTCCCTGTTTCTGCTTTCCTGTCTTCCTCCCTTATTCCTTCCCCCTTCCTTTCTTTCCTTCCCTCTTTCTCCCTTCCTGTTGTCCTCCCTTACTTTCTTTGTTTCCATTTCTCCTTTCCTATCTTCCTCCCTTATTTGACCCTTTCTTTTTTCCTTCCCTCTTTCTCCCTGTCTTCCCCCCTTTCCTTCCTTCTTTCCCTGTTTCTGCTTTCTTGTCTTCCTCCCTTATTCCTTCCCCCTTCCTTCCTTTCTTTCCTTCCCTCTTTCTCCCTTCTTCTCTTCCTCCCTTTCTTTCTTTCCCTGTTTCTCCTTTCCTATCTTCCTCTCTGATTTGATCCTTTATTTTTTCCTTCTCTCTTTCTTCCTCCTTGTTGTCCTCCTTTTACTCCTTTTCCTTCCTTCTTTCCATGTTTTTCCTTTCCTGCCTTTTTCCCTTATTCCATTCCTCCCTTTTCTTCCTTCCCTCTTTCTGACTTCTGTCTTCCTCCCTTATTATTCCCTTATCTCTCTCTTTCTCCCTTCCTGTCTTCCTCGCTTATTGCCTTCCTCCCCCTTTCTTTTCTCTCTCCTTCCTTCCATCCATCCATCCATCCATCCATACCACTATTTCAATGTGGGACTGCTTTTGGCTGGTGAGTCAAGTAAATTTGCACTGTTGTTGTTGTTGTTGTTGTTGTGTGCCTTTGAGTCATTTCAGGCATAGGGTGACCCTAAGTCCAAAGTTTAGGCCAGGTCAAGGACCTCAGAGAGTCATATCGGGCCCGCAGGCTGTCATTTGGGGATCTAGACTCTGCTCCAATTTGGGGTTGGGTCAGAAAGAAAACCCTCTTCCAACTCCCAATTCGTTCTTTGGAGAGTGTCTACGGCACCCACCTTGCTGCTGAGCTGCCACTTCGCACGAGACGTTGGGGACGTCGCAATAGAGTCCCGTCCAGCCACTGGTGCATTCGCAGCGGTACGAATTGTCCACCTGCCAACACTTCCCTCGGTTTTTGCACGGAGAGGAGTCGCACCAGCGCACCAGGTTCTGCGGACCAAAGGGAAACGGGTGTGAACCAAGGCCAAGGATCCGAAAAGAAGTCCTTGGGATGGAAATGTAGTAAAACTAATGCAAATGGCCCTTACCTGGCAATTGATCCCAGTGTAGCCCTGGGGACAGGTGCACTTGTAGGTCCCGTAGCTGTCCTGGCAAGTGCCGCCATTTAAACAGGGCTTGGAGTCGCATTCGTTGATATCATGCTCGCAATAGATGCCGGTGAAGCCCGGCGGGCAAACGCAGGTGAAGGTGTTGATGCCATCCACGCAGGTCCCGCCGTTGAAGCAAGAGCTGAGGAAGGAGAGAAAAATAATATCAGTGTCTGGGCTCGTTCTTCCCAGTTCTCTTCCTTTATTATATTTATTATTAAATAATTAATAATACATATGATAAAACAGGCTGCATTGAGTCCTAGAATAAGGACGCAATGAAGCCTGTTTTATTATATTTATTATTAATTATTATATGAAATTATAATATCTATATAAATAAAAATGTAATGTTTGTTTGTGGGATTAACATAACTCAAAAACCACTGGACGAATTGACACCAAATTTGGACACAAGACACCTATCACACCAACAAGTGACTGTCACCCATAAATACATACACACACACACACACACACACACAACCCCAGCGGAACAGACTTACAAACTCAAAAAATACACCATATATACATATACACATACAGTCATATACATATGCACATGCATACATTCATACACACATGTATGCACAAACACACACATATATACACATACATATATATACACACATATATACATATACACATACACTCATATGCATATGCACATGCATACATTCATACACACAAGTATATATATCCACAAACACACACATATATACACATACATATATACATACACACATATATACATATACACATACACTCATATGCATATGCACATGCACACATTCATACACACACACGTATATATATGCACAAACACACACAAATATACACATATACACACATACATATATATACACACATATATACATATACACATACACTCATATGCATATGCACATGCACACATTCATACACACATGTATATATATATACACAAACACACACAAATATACACATATACACACATACATATATATATATACAAATACACATACACTCATATGCATATGCACACATTCAAACACACACGTATATATATGCACACGTACAAATATACACATATACATATACATATACACACATATATACATATACACATGCACATATACATGCACACATACATATGTACATATACACATGCACACACGTGTACATATCCACATACATACATACATACACACCAATATGCATATAGACAAGCACACACATATACACAATATGCATGTACACATAGTAAGGTAAAGGTTTTCCCCTGACATGAAGTCCAGTCATATCTGACTCTGGGGGGTTGGTGCTCATCTCCATTTCTAAGCCGAAGAGCCAGCTTTGTCCATAGACACCTCCAAGGTCATGTGGCCGGCATGTCTGCATGAAGCGCTGTTACATTCCTGCTGGAGCAGTACCTATTGATCTACTCCCATTTGCATGTTTTTGAACTGCTAGGTTGACAGAAGCTGGGGCTGACTGCGGGAGCTCACCTCGCTCCCTGGATTCGAACTGCTGACCTTTTGGTCAACAAGCTCAGCATCTCAGCGCTTTAACACACTGCACCACCGGGGGCTCCACATGTACACATATAAACACACAAACATACAAATATATACACCCACATATATATATATATATATATATATATATATATACACACACACACACACACACACACAAACACACAGATATACACAAATATATATACACACACACAAAACACATATACACAGAGTAGGCCACAGCAACGTGTGGCAGGGGACGGCTAGTAATAATATATATATATAATGCAGATCTCTCTCTATATATATTTAATAAATGGGTCTGGAAGTCCACAGATAATGTGTGGAAGCTAAGAACATGCCAAGTGGTTGAGGGGCCTCTCTGTTGCACCATGCAAAGCTTCAGGGTTCCTTTGCAACACGTGATTGTGTTCTGACCCTTTGGCCCGGCCCTTCCAAGGCTCACCTCTCTGTGCAGTCGGGCGTGTTGTGTTCGCAGTGGATGCCGCTGAATCCGGAGGGGCAGGTGCAGGTGTAGCTGTTGACGCAGTCGGTGCAGTTGGCCCCGTTCTTGCAGGGGTTGCTGCTGCACTCGTCAATGTCCTCCTCGCACTTGTGGCCCTGGAAGCCGGCCAGGCAGTCGCAGAAGAAGCTGTTGACGCCGTCGGAGCAGGAGCCTCCGTTGTGGCACGGATCTGGGTCGGAAGAAAGGCCGGAAGCGTTTTGGTGGGCTTGCATTCAACAAAGCCAAAGTCATGCAAATCATAGACTCCTAGAGTTGGAAGAGACCTCGTGGGCCATCCAGTCTAACCCTTTTCTGCCAAGAAGCAGGAAAATCACATTCAAACCACTCCCAAAAGATGGCCATCCAGTTTCTGTTTCAAAGCCTCCAAAAAAGGAGCTTCCACCACAGTTCAGGGCAGAGAGTTCCACTGCTGAACAGCTCTCTCTCACAGTCAGGAAGTTCTTCCTCATTGTATTGTCGAAGGCTTTCATGGCCGGAATCACTGGGTTGTTGTAGGTTTTTTCGGGCTGTATGGCCAAGGTCTAGAGGCATTCTCTCCTGACGTTTCGCCTGCACTTTGGCGAAATATATGCCACAGATATATCAATCCTTTTGCCTAGTTCCAACAGACCTCACTACCTCTGAGGATGCTTGCCAAAGTGCAGGCGAAACGTCAGGAGAGAATGCCTCTAGACCATGGCCATACAGCCCGAAAAAACTACAACAACTCAGCAAAGGTAAGGTAAAAGTTTACTCCTGACATTAAGTCCAGGCGTGTCCGATACTGAGGGTGGTGCTCACCTCCAATTCTAAGCCAAAGAGCCGGCGTTGAACGTAGACACCTCCAAGGCCATGTGTGTGACAGCATGGAGTGCCGTTACATTCCTACCAGAGTGGTATCTATTGATCTACTCACATTTGGATGTTTTTGAACTGCTAGGTTGGCGGAAGCTGGGGCTAACAGCGGGAGCTCACCCCACTCCCTGGATTCAAACCTGCAACCTTTTGGTAAGCAAGTTCAGGAGCTCAGTGGTTTGATCCACTGCGCCACTAGGGGCTCCAGACTCCTATTGATTATTATTATTTATTATTATTTATTTATTATTATTTAATAATTATTTAATAATTATTTAATTATTCTTATTTAATTATTTATTATTATTATTATTATTATTATTGATACAGGCCCAATCTGGCAGACATAACCCAACATTCCCCGTTTGTGAGGGTCTTACTGGGCTGGCAGTCGTCAATGTCAATTTCGCAGCTGCGGCCGGCGAAACCAGGTTTGCAGACACACCGGTAGCCTCCGTTCGTATTCTGGCACGTGGCGCCGTTCCGGCAGGGGCTCTTGACGCATTCGTTGATGTCGATCTCGCAGGTTTGCCCTGAGAAGCACATGGCAATAAAGAGAATTGACTCCTGATATTTTCTGGAGCACCAGGCTGAAACTGCTTTTCCCTCCCCCTGTTTTGGACTTGGGTCCAAATTACGTCTCATTGTGGACGGGTACGCAAAAATCAGGAATGCAACGCCATCGTCATCATCCTTTCCTTTCTCAATCAATCAAAACTTAATTACAGACCAAAGAGACAAGTGGATGGTGAATGAGCTCCTGATCATTTGTCTAGCTTGCTGTTGACTTTTGCAGCCCGAAAGTTGCATCTGTCAAATAGGAAATTTAGGTACCACTGTATGTGGGGAGGCCCAGACTACTTGTCCGAATGCATCTCCTTCCACGAACCATCACAAAGTTTAAGATCTTCAGGAGAGGCCCTGCCCTCGATCCCACCACTATCACAAACACAGTTGATGGGGACGAGAGACAAGGCCTTCTCGGCAGTGGCCCCCTGCCTATGGAGTGCCCTCCCTAGAGATATCAGATTGGCCCCCTCCCTCTTGTCTTTTAGAAGGAAAATCAAGACCTGGTGATGGGACCAAGCGTTGGATCAGTGAGCAGCAAGTGGAAGAAGATCACACAACTTAGGGCAATGAATTGACCCGGACTGGTTTTTGGATTTAGATTTTAATGGGTGTGTCCTAATTAATTGTTTTAATTTTTGTAATTTTTAATATTTTGATTGCACTGTGGTTGTTTTTATGATGCTTTTGTAAGGCCGCCCTGAGTCCCCTTTGGGTAGAGAAGGGTGGGACATAAATATAGGAAATAAATAAATATTTTAACTAACTTACGACACCATAAAACTCTCCAGCAGCGTGCAAAAGAATGAGGAAGTACTCCATTGGGAGTGTCACAAGTGGACAGTGAAGCAACAGCTCCCCTGGTGGCCAGAATTTGAACATACCCTCATGAAGCTGGAAAGTTAAATAGCCTCTGTGTGTCTGTCTATTGTAATTCTATATTGCTATGTTTTCACATGTTTTATGTAATTATATTGTTGTTATCGTTTGTGTTTTCGGTCTTATTTTATTGTAATATGCTGTTTGGGCTTGGCCTCATGTAAACTGAGATGGTGGCAGGGTATAAATAAAGATTATAAGCACAATTATAATCTTTATTTATTCAATTCAAAGTGCTGGTTTTGACCTACAAAACCCTATACGGTTCCGGCCCAGTGTATCTGTCCGAATGGATCTCCCTTTACGTCCCACCCCGGAGTCTAAGATCTTCCGGGGAGGCTCTGCTCTCGACCCCGCCTCTACCACAAGTGAGGTTGGCGGGGACGAGGAGCAGGGCCTTCTCGGTGGTGGCCCCCCACCTGTGGAATCCACTCCCCGGGGAAATCAGGTCTGCAACATCGCTCCTTTCCTTTAGGAAAAAACTGAAAACATGGATTTGGGACCATTATTATTATTATTATTATTTATTTCAGAGTTTTATATACCGACCTTCTCACCTCTTTTGAGGGACTCAGACCGGTTTCCAACCATAAAAACACATACCAGGCATTCGGACAATCGGGCAGATAAAGAAAGAACTTTAACGATGATTAGGAAATGATTAATGGATTAGAACGATGGAACTCTGAAAGACGAAACGCTGAGCACGAGAATAGTTTTATATGATGTGTTATGTATTGGTTGTTTGACTGTTTTAACTGTGATAATTGCTTTTAACTATGGTTTTGTATATTATGTGTAATATGTATAGGCATCTAATTGTGCCTTTTTTTTTGTAAGCCACCCTGAGTCCTCCCTCGGGGGTTGAGAAGGGCGGGGTTAAAGTACCCGAAATAAAAAATATTATTATTATTATTATTATTATTATTATTATTATTATTATTATTTTGTGTGTCTATGTTTGCCATGTATATGTGTATTCTCATCCGCCCTGAGTCCCCTGTGGAGGGAGAAGGGCAGAATATAAATACTGTAAATAAATAAATTCCTCAACGAAAGGTTCACCCTGCTATCGTCGGGCCACCGTTCCCATCATCCTCAACACAACATTGGCTCTGAGTGATAGGAATTGCAATCCAGTTTGCACTCAGAGATGCCTCTAGGGTGCTACGATCAGTAAAGAAAGAGGGAAATGTTTCGTCGTGAACCGCAACGATTTACCAGAAGCCAGGTGTATCCTGCGGGAAGCAGAAGCAGGTGAGCGATTACCATTTCGGGCCGTAAATCAATTAATGCGGGAAATTGATATATCTGCAAACCCACAAGATGTGGATTTGCTTGAAAGTTTGGCCCACGTTTCCCCTGAATTTAATTCTTTTTTTTTTTTTACACTCCTTATGTCCTACAGTTCATTTTTGTGTCGATTCCTCTTTAGCTGCTGCATGGGGTTCGTCACAAATGTCGTTGTCGACAGATTTCCTTGTCTTAAGAACCCTATCCGTTTTGGTGACCCTTAGTGCAACTCAATCAGCCACATGTGCAATTCACAGTGACCACGACGGAGAACAGTGATTGAAGAGAGCCAGCGTCTGTTTGGGGAGGCAGGGAGTATTTTTCACGCGACACCCCAGAAGAATGCTCTTACCTTGCCAACCAGAAGGGCAGGCGCACAGGAAGCTTTCGTAGTCCTCGGACTCGCGGCACTCCCCTCCGTTCTTACAAGGACCGTCGGCGCAAGGGGCCAAAACGTCCCTGCAGGTTGGCCCTATGGTCCAAACAAGAGAAATGTATAATATCCGCACCCTAAATATCTCAGCAACACTTTCGACCAGTGGTTCTCAACCTTCCTAATGCCATGGACCCTCGTGTTGTGGTGATCCCCAACCATAACATTATTTTCGTTGCTATCATTTTGCCATTGTTATGAATCGTCATGTAAATATTCGATATTCAGGATATATTTTCATTCACATTCAGTACCCAATATGCCCAACTTTGAATACTGGTGGGGATGGAGTGGATTGATTTTGTCATTTGGGAGTTGTAGTTGCTGGGATTTATAGTTCACCTACAATCAAAGAGCATTCTGAACTCCACCAATGATAGAACTGAACCAAAGTTGGCACACAGAACTCCAACAACCGACAGAAAATACTGGAAGGGTTTGGTGGGCATTGACCTTGAGTTTTGGAGTTGTAGTTTAGCTACATCCAGAGGAATGGATGTGGAACCAAACAATGATGGATCTGGACCAAATTTGGCACAAATACCCGATATGCCCAAATTTGAAGACTGGTGGGGTTGGAGTGGATTGATGTTGTCATTTGGAAGTTGTAGTTGCTCAGATTTATAGTCCACCTACAATCAAAGCACTTTGTGAATTCCACCAAAAATGAAATTGAACCAAACCTAGCACACAGAACTCCAACAACCAACAGCAAATACTGGAAGGGTTTGGTGGGCATTGACCTTGAGTTTTGGAGTTGTAGTTTAGCTACATCCAGAGGAATGGATGTGGAACCAAACAATGATGGATCTGGACCAAATTTGGCACAAATACCCAATACACCCAAATGTAAATACTGGTGGGGTTCTGTGTGTGTGTGTGGGGGGTTGATTCTGTCATTAGGGCATTGTAGTTGCTGGAATGTATAGTTCACCTACAATCAAAGAGCATTCTGAACTCCACCAATGATGAAACTGAACCAGACTTGGCCCACAGAATTCCCAACAACCAACAGAAAATACTGGGTTTGGTGGGCATTGATCTTGAGTTTTGGAGTTGTCGTTCAGCTACATCCAGAGGGCACTGTGGAATCAAACAATGATGGATCTGGACCAAGAATGGCACAAATACCCAATGCGCCCAAATTTAAATAATAATATAATAATAATATAATAAAACTTTGTTTCTTTCTTAAAAGAAACCACATATTACTGGTGGGGTTGTGGGGGATTGATTTTGTCATTTGGGAACTGTAGTTGCTGGGATTTATAGTTCACCTACAATCAAAGAACATTCTGAACTCCACCAATGATGGAATTGAACCAGACGTGGCACACAGAACTCCTATGACCAACAGAAAATAGTGAACGGGTTTGGAGAATAGTCCCCTTGATTTAAGGGAGTTGTAGTTCACCTACATCCAGAGAGCACTGTGGACACAAACAATGATGGATCTGGACCAAACTTGGCACGAATACTCAATATGCCCAAATGTGAACACTGGTGGAGTTTGGAAAATAGACCTTGACATTTGGGAGTTGTAGTTGCTGGGATTTATAGTTCACCTACAATCAAAGAGCATTCTGAACCCCACCAGTGATAGAATTGGGCCAAACTTCCCACACAGAACCCCCATGACTATCAGAAAATACTGTGTTTTCTGTATCGTCAAAGGTCTCACTACCTCTGAGGATGCTTGCCATAGATGCAGGTGAAACGTCAGGAGAGAATGCCTCTAACCATAGCCATATAGCTCGAAAAAACGTACAACAACCCACTGTGTTTTCTGATTACCTTCGGTGAGCCCTTGGACCCCCCCCCCTTAACTCCCCAGGGGTCCCGACCCCCAGGTTGAGAAATGCTGATCTAGAAGAAGCCTCCACCTTGTGTGACAGTGGAGTAGAACGAACAACTTCGCATCCGTATGCTTGTCCACAATGCCCTGCTTCATGCACAAAGGAAGAACTGTTTGGATCTACAGACAATGCGGACGCTGTTGCCCGTTTTGGGTCTCAAACTATTTAGCTACTTGTGCTCCCTTTATTTTATCTGTTTTATTCTAATTTATTTCTGCAATGCTTTTGACACGAAATACTGAATGTTTATTATTGTTATGGTTGTTATTCTGGTTGTTGTTATGTTTATGTTTATTTCTATCGTGCTTTCCCCCCTTAAAGGGGACCCCGAACAGCTCGGTTGTGGACCAGGACCATAGTGTCCTCTTTCCTTCCAAAGAACGACAGGACCGAGCTCCAAAGAGAGAGAAGAAGGCGAAGAAAACACGTTTGGAAAGAGGAAAGAGTGGTGAGACGCCTCTTCCTCCCCTCCTGCCCTCGCTTCCTGTTGACAAAGGCAGGCTCTTATCTTCCTCTTGTCAGCCAGTTATCATCGAAAAGTCACAGCTTCCGCCCATTGTGCGCAATGTTGCTGGTTTTTTTGTGTTGGGAAAAGGAAGCCGGAAGCCGACCGAGAGGAATCGGCTCAGCAGAAAATCCTACAAGACTGTTTTTTGGGGGAGGACGGGACTTCATTTCCAAAAAGAAATGTAAATGGGGCCCAAAGTAGGTATTTGCAGGGGGGAAAGGGGGTGGGAGAGCAACTCTTTTCCCATTGAGGACGTGGAAAATCATCCAATCTATCGATTGCCATGATGAAAGTGTTCGGAAAGGCGTTTTTCTCAATATAATGCTTTTCCGATTGCAATCATAATGGCAATATATAGCATTTTTCTCAATCATGAACAGTTCATAGTGTGCTCTGGATACAGGTGAACTACAACTCCTATAAACCTCTCCAAAGACCTCCAGTATTTTTTGCTGGTCATGGGGGTAAATTGGTCAGCGCTGATTGTGTGTAAGTGCAGACCAAGATCTCGAGGAACTGCACCCAGTGTGCCGATCACCACTGGGACCACCTTTGCTGGCTTGTAAATAATAATAATAATAATAATAATAATAATAATAATAATAATAAGCAGCAGCAGCAGCAGCACCAGCAGCAGCTTTATTTTTACCTTTGTTTTTCCCCTGCCATTCTCCCCATGGCAAATACAAAAGTTACGAACAAATTATTATTATTATTATTATTATTATTATTATTATTATTATTATTATTACTATTACTATTACCTTTATTTTTACCCTGCCGTTTTCCCCATGGCAAATACAAAAATTACAAATAATTAAATTATTATTATTATTATTATTATTATTATTATTACTATTACTATTACTATTACCTTTATTATTACCCTGCCGTTCTCCCCATGGCGCATACAAAAATTACAAATAATTAAATTATTATTATTATTATTATTATTATTATTATTATTATTATTACTATTACCTTTATTATTACCCTGCCGTTCTTCCCATGGCGCATACAAAAATTACAAATAATTAAATAATAATAATAATAATAATTATTATTATTATTACTATTAGCTTTACTTTTACCCTGCCGTCCTCCCCATGGCACATACAAAAATTAAACACAATTACATATTTGCATCAGGGATCCAGGTTAAAATACAGTTAAGATATTTATACAATTAAAAATCACCACCTGATACCACTTTACCTTCCTTGGCTCAATGTAACAGGATCCTGGGAGTTCTAGTTTACAAGGCCTTTCCACCTCCTCTCTTAAGATATTATTGTTATTGTTGTTATTATTATTATTATTGCAGCTAATTGTGGGGGGAGTGTCAAACTGCACCCCAGATACACCCAAAGTACGATTCGATGATGGAACGGAGCGGATTATTTAGTGAAATTTAGATTATTGTGTATTTTGATATGTTGATTTTCTGTTTTTGTTCTATTGTAAACGGTTTTTATATGTTGTACACCGCCGCGAGTCGCCCCAGGGCTGAGAGCGGCGGTCAACAAATGCACCAAATAAAATAAATAAATAAAAGTGTCAATAAAGGTGGTTTTCTTGGTCTTTCTGGATCAAAAAGGAAGGTCTAGAGACAGGGAAGAGGGTGACACTTGTGAAGGCTACACCTGTGTATGGATTTTTGTGTGAAAAAGAAAGAACAAAGATCACTTCTGTGGCAACTGGTGTCTAGAAACCAAACCACCAGCAGCAACTGTTCCCTGCAGTTTCAAGAAGAAACAGGAAGCTCTAAGGCTTCTCGTTCCCCCGAAACCTCTCTTCCAGGCCTTTGATTCTTTGAATCCGGACGGACGTTGCAATGCTCTGAAGGCAAAATATGGCAGATCCTGCCACTTACCGGTATAAGGAGGGAGGCAATTGCACTGGTAGCGGGCCACATCGTCAATGCAGGTGCCGTGGTTGAGGCACGGGTTCGAAGCACATTCGTTGATGTTGGTTTGACAGTTGGTTCCTGGGGAGAAGAGGCACCAGGATGATGCTTTGAGTGGTGGACTGCAATTGGAAGAGACCCTCAAAGGCCATCAAGTCCAACCCCCTTTTTTTCTGCCTTGCAGGAAAAGCATAATCAAAGCCCTCCTGACACATGGTCATACAGCCTGTTGTTGTTGTTATGCCATTCCCAGCATATTGTTATTGTTGTTATTATTATGATGCCATTCTCAGCATATTGTTGTTATTATTATTATTATTATTATTATTATTGCAATGCCATTCCCAGAATATTATTATTTCTATTATTATTATTATTATTATTATTATTATTATTATTATTGCAATGCCATTCCCAGAATATTATTATTATTGCAAAGCTATTCCCAGCATATTATTATTATTCCTTCATTTCCTATGTACTTTTTCAAATATTGCAATGCTGTTCCCAGCATATTATTATTATTATTATTATTATTATTATTATTATTTTCCTGGACTGCATATCCTTCATTTCAATAGTCCTTCATTTCCTATGTACTTTTCCAAATATTGCAATGCCATCCCCAGCACATCATCATCATCACCATCATCATCATCATTATTATTATTCCAATGCTGTTCCCAGCATATTATTATTATTATTGTAATGCTGTTCCCAGCACATATTATTATTATTATTATTATTATTATTATTATTATTATTGCAATGCTATTCCCAGCATATTATTATTATTATTATTATTATTATTATTGCAATGCTGTTCCCAGCACATATTATTATTATTATTATTGCAATGCTATTCCCAGCATATTATTATTATTATTATTGCAATGCTGTTCCCAGCACATATTATTATTATTATTATTATTATTATTATTATTATTATTATTATTATTATTGCAATGCTATTCCCAGCATATTATTATTATTATTATTATTATTATTATTATTATTGCAATGCTGTTCCCAGCACATATTATTATTACTATTATTATTGTTGTTATTATTATTATTCCTGGGCTACATATCCTTCATTTCAATAGCCCTTCATTTCCTATGTATTTTTCCAAATATTGCAAAGCCACCCCCAGCTTCTTCTTCTTCTTCTTCTTCTTCTTCTTATTATTATTATTATTATTATTATTATTATTGCAATGCCATTCCCAGAATATTATTATTATTATTATTATTATTATTATTATTATTATTATTATTATTATTATTGCAATGCCATTCCCAGAATATTATTTCTATCATCATCATCATTAATAGTCTTGGGTTACATATCCTTCATTTCAATAGCCCTTCATTTCCTATGTAGTTTTCCAAATATTGCAATGCCATCCCCAGCATTTTTATTATTATTATTATTATTATTATTATTATTATTATTATTATTATTATTCCTAGGCAGCATACCCTTCAGCTCAATAACCCTGCATGTCCTATGCCCTTTTCAAAATATTCCAGTGCTGATCCCAGCATTCCAGAGCAGTAAAAGAGGGGTCAAAGTGGATCAATTGGACAGTGTAGATGCACCCTGATCCAAAAAGAAGCCCCTTACCGCTGAATCCTTCCCGACAGGTACAGATGTAGCCGCTGGTCATGTCCTTGCATGCGCCGCCATTCATGCAGGGGTTGGACTCGCACTCGTTGTTGTTGACATCGCAGTTGGTGCCGCTCCAGCCGGAGTCACAATCACATTTGTACCTTTTTGGGTCAGGAAAGAGAAGAACATGGATGAGAGTTGGCCTGGATTGCGCACACAGGTCTGAGAGGCCTTTGTTTCCTGCTGCGCTGGAGACGAGGACTCAATTGGAGCCATGGGTTCAAAGGACAGGAAAAGAGATCCCACCTGAACATTAGGAAGAACTTCTTGACTGTTCAATGGGGGAACTCTCTACCTCAAGAGTCCAGTGAAAGCGCTTCTTTGGAAGCTTTGAAACAGAGGCTGGATGGCCATCTGTTGGGAGGGTTTTGGTTGTGCTTTTTCTGCCTGGCAGAAGGGGGTTCATAGAATCACAGAGTAATAGAGTTGGAAGAGACCACATGGGCATCTAGTCCAACCCTCTGCTATGCAGGAAAATCACAATTAAGCACTCCTGACAGATGGCCATCCAGCCATAATGATGATGATGAATATGATGGTGATAATAATAATAATAATAATAATAATAATAATAATAATAATAATAATAATAATAATAATGTTGGAAGAGATCACATGAGCCATCTACTCCAACCCCCTTTTGCCATGCAGAAAAAGCACAATCAAAGCACCCCTGACAGGTGGCCATCCAGCCACAATAATCATCATCATCATCATCATCATCATCATCATCATCATCATCAAGTTGGAAGAGACCATGTGGGCATCTAGTCCAACCCCCTGCTATGCAGGAAAATAATCAAAGCACCCTTGACAGATGGCCATCCAGCCATAATGATGATGATAATATGATGGTGATAATAATAATAATAATAATAATGTTGGAAGAGACCACATGAGCCATCTACTCCAACCCCCTTTTGCCATGCAGAAATAGCACAATCAAAGCACCCCTGACAGGTGGCCATCCAGCACAATAATAATAATAACCATCATCATCATCATCACCATCATCATCATCATCGAATTGGAAGAGACCACATGGGTCATCTACTCCAACCCCCTTTTGCCATGCAGAAAAAGCACAATCAAAGCACCCCTGACAGGTGGCCATCCAGCCACAATAATAATAATAATAATCAACATCATCATCATCACCATCATCATCAACATCGAATTGGAAGAGACCACATGGACCATGTAGTACAACCTTCTGCCACACAGGAAAAGCACAAAGCATCCCTGACAGATGACCTTCTAGCCATCTAGCCACAATAATAATAATAATAATAATCATCATCAAATTGGAAGAGACCACATGGGCTGAGAAGGGACTTGATAGCCACATTTCAATATCTAAAAGCCAAGGAGAGAGCAGGGTCAAGGAGGCTATTTGGGAGTGTTTGGGTTGGACTAGGTGGCCTCTAAGTGGCTCCTTCCAACTCTTATGATTCTGCATAACTCTTTTAAGAGCCACCAACCAAAGCGGAAGACCCGAGTCTACCCTCGAGATGCATGGAGAGGCAGATAATAATAATAATAATAATAATTATAATTGTTGTTGTTGTTATTATTCGCTTTTCGATCCATTTTGGACTTACCCGTTCAACCCATCGTTGCACCTCCCGTGGATGCAAGGGTTACTATTGCACTCGTTCACTTCCGAAAGGCACATGGGGTCGTGGTAGCCTTCTGGGCAAGTGCAAGTGAAGCCGTTGATGCTATCCCGGCACGTGCCTCCATTGTGGCAGGGATTGCTGGCGCATTCATCGATATTGATGTTGCACATCTTCCCTGCAAGAAAGGGAGACACATTGTGTTGTGGTTCAGCCAGAAGCTGAAGACGAGGAGATTGTTCTATCAGACGTTGTGAGGACTGATGGGCTTTCCAGTGTGAGTAATGAGGGGATTTTAGATCACTATTCTGCTTGGGAGAATGGGTCTGTGTCTGGTGAGAGAGAAACAGCTCCAGAGCAGAGCGGAGAGGGAGATACTATGGCATCAGAAGATAGGGAGAGCCTTTCTACTAATATTTCTGTGAAAATGGAAGATAAGGAGCTGGAAGGGAGAGATCTTTCCCCTGAAAACACACTTGAGGTTAGTAGGAGTTTGAGGCTCAATCTCCAGGGGGAGGGAACCAGATTATGGAGGTCACAGAGACTACGTGAGAAATCCTTGAAGCAACAGAGTGAGAAATCCTTGAAGCAACAGAGCAGATGTCAAAGGCATGACTTCATGGCTCTGTGGTCCTTAAATTAAAGGATTGTTTACTAAAAGGGTCAGAGCAGGCAACACTGCGTTAAAGTGTACACCTTGGTCTTGTTTCATGTTCAAGTATTTTGGGAAAAATTTGTGCTCATGTTCATGGGTTCATGTTTTGGAAGAAGTCCCTGGGTTCCTGGTTATGGATTTATTCTTATGTTTTGCCTTCTGGAATATTGCTTTTTGTATTGCCTTTTTTTATATTTGCTTTCTTCAACAAACTGTTTAATTAGTAATCCAGGCCAGAGTGCAACACATTGGTGACATTTCCAGATTCCTGTTTTTTGGGGGTTTTTTTGCAACCTTCATTCCGGATCCCAAACCCTGCCTCCCTGACTGCTTTCTCACCTGTGTAACCCGGTTCGCAGGTGCATTCGTAGCCATTGATTTTGTCGATGCATTTGCCATAGTCGCAAGGATTGCTGGCACAGTCGTCCAGGTTGATTTCACAGTTGGGGCCTTCCGGAAAAAAGAAGAAGCAACGATTAGAAAACGAGCAATTTTGGGGGTTTGTTTATATCAGAGGCAAAGGGGGAAAGATAAGAAGGGTTAGTAAATAATCCATACATAAATACTGTATTACTTCGATTCTAAGATGCACTTTTTGCCCCATATAAGCATTTCTAAAAACGGGACGTATTTTAGAATTGCAGGTGCTTTTTTATATGTATAGATAGAGCTTTGTATTGTCAAAAACTTCATGGCCGGAATCATTGAGTTGTTGTAGGGTAGTGGGTAGTGAGGTAGTGAGGTGAGGATGCTTGCCATAGATGCAGGCAAAATGTCAGGAGAGAATGCCTCTAGACCTTGGCCATATAGCCCGAAAAACCCTACAACAACCCAGATAGAGCTTTGTTTCCTGGTGTTGGTACTGCAATTAGTCTGCATCTTACAATTGAGTAAATATGGCAATATAATATTGCTCATTACTATAAATAACATAACAATAAGTAATATAACAAGTTTAGTCTGGCCTTATACTTGCCTCAAATAAAATATGTAGCCCAATGAGAATAAAGAAAAATGATCAAAACTAGTCCTAGTCTATAATGATGATGAAAAAAGTACGCTAGTCTAAAGAGCAAGAGATTGCTAAACTGCTGCAACAGCGGCAGATAAGAAGAACTGGAGGCAGTAGCCCCTCCCACTGGCTATATATATATACTCATAAGGGGAGAGTGGGCGGGGCTACCGCCAAAAAATGTTTAATAAGATCTCTAGAAGGTTCTGAAGCTGTCTGCTCAGGTGCCGAAATTACCATATGTGCAATTCACAGGGACCATAATGGGGAACAGATTCATAGATGGTGAAATAAAGCTACTCTCCTGTGGTTTCTTGATGCAGGAGGCTTGCAAAAGGCTTACCGGTTGTCCCTTTGAGGCATAAGCAGTGGTAAGCGTTTTTTCGATCATGGCACGTCCCTCCATTCTTGCAGGGCTGGCTTTGGCACTCGTTGATGTTGATGTCACAGCGGTGACCGGTGTATCCCGGCTCGCAGAGGCAGGTGGCGGTGGCAATGCCGTCCTTGCAGGTCCCGTAATGGCAGGGGTCTGGGTTGCATTCGTCAATGTCCGTCTCGCAGTGCGGCCCAGAGAAGCCTAGGATACGATACGAACCAAAATGTCAGAAAGGTATCAAGGCAGTATCACCAGAGCCTTGCTGTGAATCAATAACAAACAAGACTGTCCAGACTTTTCTAGCCAACAGATAGGTTCAAGGGACAGGGATCCCTTGTCATTTCACTACTCTCGGTAGGAAGAAAACACAACAGAACTAGAATAAAGGAAAGGCAACCGAGTTAGCAGGCAAGAGCTAGAAACTAGAAAGTGCACTACAGCTAGAAAATATAATAGAAATGGAAGGCAATAGCACTATATTCTAAAATGTAATATATAGGGCATTAGAGTTATATACTAGAAAACACAACAGGGATGGAGGGGGAAAGAACTATAAGAAGAAAATGTAATAGATGTGGATTGTAACAGAGTAAGAAACTAGAACTTGTAATAGACCTAGAGTGAAATATCGTAAGAAGCTAAAAATGTAATGGAAGTAATACTGCAAGAAAGCCGGAAACTAGAAAATGTAATGTGAAAGAGAGCTATATACTTGAGAATGTAACAGAGCAAGAGTGTAACAGAGTAAGAGTGCAATACAGAAAGAGTACAACAGAACAAGTTGCAATAGAGCAAGAGTGCAACAGAACAAGAGTGCGATATAGCAAGAGTGCAACAGAGCAAGAGCACAACAGAGCAAGAGTGAAATAGAGCAAGAGTGCAACAGAGCAAGAGTGAAATAGAGCAAGAGTGAAATAGAGCAAGAGTACAACAAAGAAATTTGCAACAGAGCAAGAGTCAAATAGAGCAAGAGTGCAATATAGCAATAGCACAACAGAGCAAGAGTGAAATAGAGCAGGAGTGCAACAGAGCAAGAGTGCAACAAAGAAATTTGCAATAGAGCAAGAGTCAAATAGAGCAAGAGTGCAACAGAGCAAGAGTGCAATACAGAAAGAGTACAACGGAACAATTTGCAATAGAGCAAGAGCGCAACAGAGCAAGAGCGCAACAGAGCAAGAGCACAACAGAGCAATAGTGAAATGGAGCAAGAGTGCAATATAGCAAAAGCGCAACAGAGCAAGAGTGCAATACAGCAAGACTACAACAGAGCAATTTTAATAGAGCAAGAGTGCAACAGAGCAAGAGTGTGATATAGCAAGAGCACAACAGAGCAAGAGTGCAACAGAGCAATTTTTAATAGATCAAGAGTGCAATAGAGTAAGAGAGTGAAATAGAGCAAGAATACAATACTGCAAGAGTTCAATAGCGCAAGGGTAAAACAGTAAAATAGAGCAAGAGTGAAGCAGAGCAAGAGTGAAATATAGTGAAACAGAGCAAGCGTACAATAGAGTGAAAAAAAGCAAGAGACAGAGTGAACTAGAGCAAGAGTGCAATAGAGCAAGAGTGAAATAGAGTCAACTAGGACAAGAGTACAACAGAGCAAAAGTGCAATAGAGCAAGAGTTTCCCTCACTTGCTGCTCAGGGGCAGAAGAAGTGTCTGGGTTAAATACTTTTTGCTAAAGCTGAAATGGACGGAGAGCAACATAATGCTTGGCTTGACTTGCAGGGAAGGGCTGCCACTCAAGATATAGAATGCGGGCCTTATGGTGCCATACAATCCCTGTATGTATAGGAGGAACTATTGGTCCTCGAACTGCAAACGTGGCCACGAATGCCGCATTGCACCTGCGAGGGCTTCAAACTGTGTTGCCGTGTGCCTTTGAGTCGACAGAACGAGGTGCAACTTGATCCTAACGCTTTTCTTTTGGCCGGATTTTATCAGCGGATGGGTTTCCTTGGCCGAGCAAAACTTGGAAGGCGGCACTGGCGTCCAACGCAGAAAGTTGGGATTGGGTTGCCGTGTGTGCGGAGAGGGCCCGTCTGCCCCAAGAGGACAATGAGTCCCCTTCCTCGAACAAACAAACCCTTTCTTTTCTTTCCCCCCTCCCTTAATTTCTCGTCTGCATGCGGCTCAGGATCCAAAACACAAAAAAAAAAAGGGCCAGGGAGGGGACAAATGGTTGTGCGTTAGGTTGGGTTGGGTTTGGGGGGCATATAATAGCCGTGGCCCATTATCTGCCGACTGAGAAGTCGCGGGGCGAAAAAGGGAGGAGGACAAAAAGGACAGGAGACAAAGTGAGGCTTTCACTCAAGGCACACACACACACACACACACACACACACACCGCCCCATGAAATCCCCATCGCCCGCTTTTCATCCCCAAACCAAGGCTCTCATTAGAGACCGTTCAGCTGGAAGATTTCTGGCGGGAGCTCGGCCACAAAAGCCCCACTGTTCGCCTCTCGGGGGGCCGATGGCGTCGGTTTTGTCCAAGCGGCGAGTTGGGTTTCACTCAACGCACACACACCCCGTGCCTCGGGCGGCGGTGCCAGGGAGGGGGCAACTCTCTCTTTCTCTTTTGTGTTCCTTTCCTCCTCCTTCTTTTTTTGGGACAGAGGCGAGGGGCCGAGGAAAGGAGAGCGCACAGAAACGGCTCACAGAGTCCGTCCTGGGCTCGAGCCAAGATGGAAGAAGACCGTCCCTTATGTGCGGGCAACGAGAACGAGAGAAAAGGGGGCAGGAAATGGGACCGCTGCACAAATATTGGGTTGTGTAAGAGCCCTTGGAACGGCACCAGCAAGGAGCATGGGCCTCGGGTTCGTGGTTTCTAGGTTGCTTCGGAGACACAGGGAGCTTTCCAGGCTCTTGGGGGCAACGAGTATCAAAATTTAGTTGGTTTTAGTCCATGGTTAGAAGTGAGTGATGCATCGTTATTGGGAAACAGAACAAAACAAAACGAAACAAAGATTTCCAGAAGCTGGAGAAATATTTTCAATGTCTTGACAAGCGTGAAATAGAGCAAGACTGAAATAGAGGAAGACTGAAATAAAGCAAGTGTGCAATAAAGCAAGAGTAAAATAGAGTGCAATAGAGCAAGAGTGAAATAGAGCGAAATCAAGTAGAAGGGAAATAGGGTGAAATAGAGCAAGAGTGAAATAGAGTGCAATAGAGCAGGAGTGCAATAGAGTAAGATTGCAATAAAGCAAGTGAAATAGAGCGAAATAGAGTAAAAGTGAAATAGAGTGAAATAAAGCAATGTGCAATAGAGCAAGAGTTAAATAGAGCAAGAGTGCAATAGAGCGAAATCGAGTACAAGGGAAATAGAGTGCAATAGAGCTAATGTGAAATACAGCAAGAGTGAAAAAAATTGCAATAGAGCAAGAGTGAAATACAGCAAGAGTGCAATAGAGCGAAATCGAGTAGAAGGGAAATAGAGTGCAATAGAGCAAGAGTACAATAGAGCAAGTACAATACACCAAAACAGAGTAAGAGTCAAATAGAGTGAAATAAAGCAATGTGAAATAGAGAAAGAGTTAAATAGAGCAAGAGTGCAATAGCGTGAAATCGAGTAGAAGGGAAATAAGAGTGCAATAGAGCAAGAGTGAAAGAGAGCAAGAGTGCAATAGAGTAAAATAGAGCAAGAGTGAAATAGAGCAAGTGCAATACAGCAAAATAGAGTAAAAGTCAAATAGAGTGAAATAAAGCAATGTGCAATAAAGCAAGAGTGAAATAGAGCAAGAGTAAAACAAAGTGAAATAGAGCAATAGAGCAAGAGTGAAATAGAGCAAGAGTGCAACAGAGCAAGTGAAACAGAGCGAAATCGAGCAAGTCTGCAATAGAGCAAGTGTGAAATAGTGCAAGAGTGAAATGGAGGAAGAGTGAAAAAGAGTGAAACAGAGCAAGAGTGCAATAGATCAAGAGGGCAACAAAGAAAAATAGAGCAAGAGTGAAACAGAGCAAGAGCACAATAGAGCAAGTGTTTTTCCTAGTTATCAGAAAGAGAAGACCAACCCACAAAGAAGAACTCTGCTCACCCTCGGCACATTCGCACGTATAGGTATTGGGCCCATCTATGCATCTGGCTCCGTTCTTGCACGGTGTACTGGCACATTCGTCAACATCGTATTGGCACAAGGGACCATTGAAGCCTGTAAGGGAACCAAGGGATAAAAGTTGGTTCGAGTGCTTTGGCCAATGGACCAGAATGGCGACCAAAACCTCCGTACCAATGACCAGGAGTCTCCCTTTTTCAGCCAAATACCATCAATGACTAGATACGAAACTGGCTCAACTCACTCATCATTTGCAAAGAGTATATTTCTGAGCTCAACAGTCTGAACGGTTCTCTGGAAAAGGATCAAGCGTTCACTTGGGACGGACCTAATTAGGTACAGCTTAACTTTGTTTTCTGTTCGAAATTCTGCATTTCTCGAAAGGAACTGTTGTGTCGATCCCCTGGAAAATAGGACAGGGTCTCCATCCCAAAAGGAAACGTCCCCGAAATGTGAAACGCAACCGATGGCATGAGCTGGAAAAAAAAACCTCCCAGACTTCTCTGGAAGCCTTTTGTCGAGGTTTCCATGCGGGCACAGCCTCCTTTCTCTTTTTCGGTTGCTCCACTTGGACCGCTGCCTGGGGTGGAAGTGACAAGCGATTGTGCTTCGTCCCCCCCCCCCTTCCCCTTTGCCTTCCCTTCGTTCTACATTTCATCGCTTCGAAGCACAATGGCTCCAGTCTCCTCGTTCGCGCACATTGATCACTGGCTCCTCGCCTTGCCTCAGATTCCAAGTGGCTGGAAAAAAGACCGATCCTGCTCCAACGTGTGCTATCTACACGACACAATCCCACTTTGACTGCCCTCACTCTGGTCTGTGAAATCTGGGTTATGTAGTTCTAGCATGATAAGAGTTAAAAGGGACCTCTAAAGGCCATCCAGTTCAACCCCATTCTGGCGGACAACATCAAAGGTCTTCCAGTCCAACCCCTTCCTGAAAGACACCATCAAAAGTCTTCCAGTCCAACCCCATCCTGGAAGACACCATCAAAGGCCATCCAGTCCAACCCCATCCTGGTAGACACCATCAAAGGCCATCCAATCCAACCCCATCCTGGTAGACACCATCAAAGGCCTTGCAGTCCAACCTCTTCATGGAAGACACCATCAAAGGTCATCCAGTCCAATCCTATCCTGAAAGACACCCTCAAAGGCCCTCCAGCCCAACCCCATCCTGGTAGACACCATCAAAGGCCACCTAATCCAACCCTACTCTGGTAGACAACATCAAAGGCCACCCAATCCAACCCCTTCCTGAAAGCTACCATCAAAGGCCATCCAGTCCAACCCCTTCCTGAAAGCTACCATCAAAGGCCATCCAATCCAACCCCATCCTGGTAGATACCATCAAAGGCCATCCAGCCCAACCCCATCCTGGTAGACAGCATCAAAGGCCATCCAGTTCAACCCCATCCTGGAATACACCATCAAAGCACTCACAACAGATGGCCATCCAAGCTCTGCTTCAAATCCTCTAGGGGAAGGAGGATCCACCAGTCTCCCAGGCATTGTGTCTCACTGTTACCATCACTGTTACCACTGTTACATTTGTCTTAATGTTCAAGTGGAATGTGTGTTGTTGAAGGCTTTCATGGTCGGAATCCGTAGGTTGCTGTGAGTTTTCCGGGCTGTCTGGCCATGTTCCTGACATTTTGCCCACATCTATGGCAGGCATCTTCAATGCTTCTGGAACATAGCCAGACAGCCCAGAATACTCACAGCAACTAAGTGGAATCTCTTTCTCCTGCCATTTGAATCCTTTATGTCCTTGCCTTTGGAAGCAGTAGATGACAAGATTGCCTCTTTCTCAATGGGTTCTCCTTCCAAATAATTGTGTTGGCCTTTTGAGCTGCAGCACCACACTTTCGACTCATCTTCTGCTTAGTTGTGGCCCACTACGGCTCCTCAAATCTCTTTCAAATGGACTGTTTTGGATTCCGTCCAATTCCTTTGGTCTTGCAGCCCCCGCCAAAAAATATCCCTGGGTCTGTTCCCATCGTCATGGCGACTGCTGCCCGGGGTTGTGAATGAGCAGTGGTGACCCCCAGAACATCTCATTTGCATCTCTAGAGAAGCCGGGCTTCTCCATTTCCAGAGAGAGAGAGAGAGAGAGAGAGAGAGAGAGAGCTATTTCATGGATTAGCCTGCTTTCTCCCATTCGCCGGACTCCTTGCACCGTATTTGAATACACCCTCCTTCCTTTCGCCCTTTTGAAGTTGTTGACGGGATTATTTAAATTGATTCTGGGTGTTAGAATCCAAAGAATACCAAAGAATAGTGTTTCAAAGGACTCTCGGTGACTAAGAAGGAGAAAACGGGACGTCAACACAAAACTAACAATCACCTTAGCTGGTTTCTTCCCACATGTGGCCACTAAGAGATAGACTATCAACCACATCCAAAGCTAGTGTCGTCTTGAGAAGAGGGAGTAGGCCAAAGCCTGTTAGAGTCAGTAAGCCAAAACTAGTGTTGTCCTGAGGAGTGTGAGGTAAACCTTTGYGTGAGAGAAGCCTTGTGTGAGAAAGCTCCAGTATGTGAAGGCTGCYACATTAGTTGTGTATTTGTTCGTGTTATGGAAAACCTATTACTGTTAAGAGTCAGTGGTCAAAGCTAGTGTTGTCCTGAGGAGTGTGAGGTAAACCTCTGTGAGAGAGAAGCCTTGTGTGAGAAAGCTCCAGTATGTGAAGGCTGCTGCGTGTCAAGATACTGTGTATTTGGTTATTTGTGTTATGGAAAACCTATTTCTGTTAAGAGTCAGTGGCCCAAAGCTAGTGTTGTCCCGAGGAGTGTGAGGTAAACCTCTGTGTGTGAGAGAGAAGCCTTGTGTGAGGAAGTTCCAGTATGTGAAGGCTGCTGTGTGTAGTTGCGTATTTGTTTATTTGTGTTATGGAAAACCTATTTCAGTTAAGCGTCAGTGGCCCAAAGCTAGTGTTGTCCTGAGGAGTGTGAGGTAAACCTCTGTGTGAGAGAAGCATTGTGTGAGAAAGCTCCAGTGTGAACGCTGCTGTGTGTCAAGACACTGTATATTTAGTTATTTGTGTTATGGAAACCTGACTCAAAAGCAGCACGTGTGAAAAAGATCTTGGAGTCCTCGTGGACAGGAAGGTGAAAATGAGCCAACAATGTAATGCGGCAGCTCAAAAAGCCTATGGGATTTTGGCCTGCATCAACAGGCGTCTAGTGCCTAGATCCAGGGAAGGCATGCTCCTACTCTATTCTGCCTTGGTTAGACCACATTCCCTTGAATCTCACTGTGTCCAATTCTGGGCACCGCAACTTAAGAGAGATATTGACTCTAAGCTGGAATGTGTCCAGAGGAGGCCGACTCAAAGGATCAAGGGTCTGGAGAACAACCCCTATGAGGAGGGGCTTAAAGAGCTGAGCATATTTAGCCTGAAGAAGAGAAGGCTGAGAGGAAACTCGATGAGGGTCATGTATAAATATGTGAGTGGATGTCATAGGGAGGAGAGAGCAAGCTTGTTTTCCGCTGCCCTGAAGACTAGGACGCAATGGAGGAATGGCTCCAAACTACAGGAAAGGAGATTCCACCTGAAAATGAAGAAGAACTTCCTCACTGTGAGAGCTGTAGTGGAACTCTCTGCCCCAGTGTGTAATGGAGGCTTAGAAGCAGGCTGGATGGCCATCTGTCAGAGGGGCTTTGAATGCAATATTCCTGCTTCTTGGCAGAAAGGGGTTGGACTGGATGGCCCTCGAGGTCTCTTCCAACTATGATTCTAAGACTATCCCTGAATATGGAGGTTTCTTTTGAGTCCTCCAGCAAAGGAATGTGAAATCCCAACATGCATCTCCTCCAAGTTTTCCAAAAAAGTAGACAAGATCATCAGGTTATTTCCCTCGAGCGGCCTCCCTCCTCAAGATTTAAATCCATCGGCCTCGCATAGCCGCTGGGCGAGGGATTAATTCCGGCTCTTGTTTTCCGACTACAAAGGCTTCGCGCCGGAGGCAAAAAGAATCAATCCGTCCATACCTATGGGGCACTCGCAAGCAAACTCGTTGATTTTGTCGATGCACTTCCCATTATGGAGGCAGGGGCTGCTGGCGCATTCGTCCGTATTGATTTCGCAGTAGACACCTTCATAGCCTGTATGGGGGGAAGGAAGAAGAGTTGGGCAAGTCCAAGGTAGCGTTCGTTCTCGCCATTACCATTGCAACCTCCTCGGAACATGGTGCCAAAGCATGGCTCCAAAAGGGGAAGCTTCCCCGTCCCATCGCCCCGTTTTACCGTCTTACCTGGCATACAGATACACTGGAAGACCCCAATCTGGTCCAGGCAGGTGGCATCGTTTTGGCAAGGGTTCGACGAGCATTCATTCACGTCAATCTCACATCGAGGGCCGGAGTAGCCTTGCTGACACTGGCAGTGGAAGGAGCCGTTGGTGTTGATGCACCGGCCAGCATGCTCACAAGGGTTGGCACCTAAGGAAATGGCACAACACATTCACCACTGTTAGCCCAACACATTTCAGAACGTTTCTTACAGTTTTATAATACTGTGTTCTATTGATATTGTTGTTATCTGAATCTGGCATTGAATTGTTGCCATAGTTTGTAAGCCGCCCTGAGTCCCCTTTGTACATATCTATCTGCTAGGCTTGGGCGGTTTCGTTCGTTAATTTCGTAATTTGTTATTAATTCGTATTTAAATTAGCTTACGATCCAATATTGAGCCATGCAGGAATAGTGTGAGGAGTAAATTAGATTCGAAACAATTTTTTCAATTTATTTCGTAATTATTTCGTAATTATTTCAAAATTATTTCATAATTATTTTCGCATGTCTGGTGCAAGTTTTATAGTTGTTGTTTGTTTTATCACACCAACAGTCAACAACAGAGGGAGAGGGAAGCTTCAGAAGTTCCCCCTGTCCCATTTGGAGGTTTTTTTAGCATATTGCGCAATCGCGTCCGCCATTAACGAATCGATTCGTAATTATACGAAATTTTGTAAATTTCGAAATTTTTAAAAGGAAAATTTCGGAATTCTTTAAAAAAACGAAACGCGATGGACCCCTAAAAACGAAACCACTTTAGAAACAAATTTTTCCATTGTTACCCAAGCCTACGGGGTATAAGTACAGTAAATAAATAAATAAATATTATCTGTGGCTTTTTGGGGAATTTTCAAAGTTTTTATCAAAAAGAACCACATTTTTTTTGAAAGTGTTATTTCCTGTTTTATTATGTGGTCTTTCCCTTGAAAGTAGTTGTTCTACTCCAGAAACTTTGTTTTTAAAGCAGAAATTTTGTCAAATTGGTGGAGGCTCAACAAAGTCATGACCTATAAAGCCGTAAACGGTTCAGGCCCCGCCTATCTCCACGATCGCATCTCCTTCTATGAACCAACGTGAACTCTAAGATCTTCCAGGGATTCCCTCCTTTCGCTCCCACCTCCGTCAGAAGTACGGTTGGTGGGGACGAGAGAGAGGGCCCTCTCGGTGGTGGCCCCCCGCCTCTGGAACACTCTCCCCAGGGAAATTAGACAGGCCCCATCCCTCCCCTCCTTTCTTAAGAGCTTGAAGACCTTAAAGTTCACGACAGTTCATAGAAGGAGATCCAGGGATTCCCAGCTTTCGCTCCCACCTCCGTCAGAAGTACGGTTGGTGGGGACGAGAGAGAGGGCCTTCTCGGTGGTGGCCCCCCGCCTCTGGAACACTCTCCCCAGGGAAATTAGACAGGCCCCATCCCTCCCCTCCTTTCTTAAGAGCTTGAAGACCTTAAAGTTCACGACGGTTCATAGAAGGAGATCCAGGGATTCCCAGCTTTCGCTCCCACCTCCGTCAGAAGTACGGTTGGTGGGGACGAGAGAGAGGGCCCTCTCGGTGGTGGCCCCCCGCCTCTGGAACACTCTCCCCAGGGAAATTAGACAGGCCCCATCCCTCCCCTCCTTTCTTAAGAGCTTGAAGACCTTAAAGTTCACGACGGTTCATAGAAGGAGATCCAGGGATTCCCAGCTTTCGCTCCCACCTCCGTCAGAAGTACGGTTGGTGGGGACGAGAGAGAGGGCCCTCTCGGTGGTGGCCCCCCGCCTCTGGAACACTCTCCCCAGGGAAATTAGACAGGCCCCATCCCTCCCCTCCTTTCTTAAGAGCTTGAAGACCTTAAAGTTCACGACGGTTCATAGAAGGAGATCCAGGGATTCCCAGCTTTCGCTCCCACCTCCGTCAGAAGTACGGTTGGTGGGGACGAGAGAGAGGGCCCTCTCGGTGGTGGCCCCCCGTCTCTGGAACACTCTCCCCAGGGAAATTAGACAGGCCCCATCCCTCCCCTCCTTTCTTAAGAGCTTGAAGACCTTAAAGTTCACGACGGTTCATAGAAGGAGATCCAGGGATTCCCAGCTTTCGCTCCCACCTCCGTCAGAAGTACGGTTGGTGGGGACGAGAGAGAGGGCCTTCTCGGTGGTGGCCCCCCGCCTCTGGAACACTCTCCCCAGGGAAATTAGACAGGCCCCATCCCTCCCCTCCTTTCTTAAGAGCTTGAAGACCTTAAAGTTCACGACGGTTCATAGAAGGAGATCCAGGGATTCCCAGCTTTCGCTCCCACCTCCGTCAGAAGTACGGTTGGTGGGGACGAGAGAGAGGGCCCTCTCGGTGGTGGCCCCCCGCCTCTGGAACACTCTCCCCAGGGAAATTAGACAGGCCCCATCCCTCCCCTCCTTTCTTAAGAGCTTGAAGACCTTAAAGTTCACGATGGTTCATAGAAGGAGATCCAGGGATTCCCAGCTTTCGCTCCCACCTCCGTCAGAAGTACGGTTGGTGGGGACGAGAGAGAGGGCCCTCTCGGTGGTGGCCCCCCGCCTCTGGAACACTCTCCCCAGGGAAATTAGTCTGGAACACTCTCCCCAGGGAAATTAGACAGGCCCCATTCCTCCCCTCCTTTCTTAAGAGCTTGAAGACCTGGTGGTTTCAACAAGCCTTTGAGAATGACTAGTTCTAGTTCAGCCTTAGACATTGTTGAATATCGCCTTATTCTTCCTACCAATTACTCAGGCCACTTCCTCTAATAGGCCCCGGAAATGAACAGCCATAGACCTGTACTTATTATTGTTGTTGCCTGCTATAGTAGTGCACTTAATTCCCGGGCCCCCTAGAATTTTTGAGCTTGCACTAATTTCAGCCCGGCCTTTTAAATTGCCTTGAACAGGCAGGATTACTTTTAATGACTTAAATCAAGAAATAGTTTTCTAAGATCTACAGAGACACTCGCTGGAACATCCCAGCAAGCGAGAGTCCAAAAGTGGCAGGCTCAAACTCAGAACATGGATTAGTTATATGGATGTATTGATGTTATATTGATGTATTGATGTATTGTTATATTGATGCAGTTGCCTTGGTTACTGTTTTAAATGCTAATGTTGTGCACTTTGTATACTGACTTGGTTGTAAACCGCTCTGAGTCGCCTACGGGCTGAGAGAGAGAGCGGTATACAAATGAAGTAAATAAATAAATAATATATATGTGTTATGGCGACCATTTTTATGCTTATATTATTTTGTTAATCTTACGTTTATGTTGTTTACTCTCTATGTATTGATGATGTTACTTGGAAACCACTCGGAGTCCCCTCGGGGAGATGGAGCAATATATAAATAAAGTATTATTATTATTATTATTATTATTATTATTATTATTATTATTATTATTATTATTAAGCAAGCCAGCATATCCAAGATGGCTGCCTCACTTACCCAGTTTGCATTCATTCATGTCCTGGTTGCAAGCGGGGCCCGTGTACCCAATGGGGCAGGTACAAATGGCTTTGCCAGTGACGGGGTTGGTGTCGCAGTTGGAGCCTTCGTTGCAAGGGTTGCTGATGCAAGCGTCACTGAGGTGGCACAGCAAACCTGGCAGGAGGAAAACATCGCGTATCACTTGAACATCAACATCATTATCATCATCACTAATATATTTATTCCCCAATTTCCTCTCTTAATCAAATAGTCAAATTAATTAACTATCTAAAACTATTACAGGAGTTTCAGTGTAGCAATTACTATATGTCTGTGTCTATCTGTTTCTGCGTTTATTGTTGACTAGCCGTCCCCTGCCATGTGCTACTGTGGCCCAGTCTGTGTATATGTGTTTTGTGTGTTTATGTTGTGATAGAGTCTGCTAGCAATAATAGTAATACTGGTACTATTAGGAGAAAGCAGGGTTTGAGGCTGTTTTGAGTTTGTTTGAGCAATAAACTTTATTATCTGAATTGGCTGGCGTCTGACCTTGACAGTTTATATATGTGTATATGTGCATGCATATATTTGTGTATGTATGTATATATGTGTGTTTGCATGCATGCATACACACACACACATATATATGGGGTTTGCTCATATGCTGTATTTTTTAATTTTATTTTTGGCTTTTTAAGTCTCTTCTGCTGTGTTTTTCAGTGTTTTTATGAGTGATGGTCACTCATTGGCATGATAAGTGTCTTGTGTCCAAATTTGGTGTCAATTCGTCCAGTGGTTTTTGAGTTATGTTAATCCCACAAAGTAACATTACATTTTTATTTATATAGATACTAGCCATCCCCTGCCATGCATCGCTGTGGCCCAGTCTGTGTATGTGTTTTGTGTGTATATATATTTATGTATGTGTATATATATATATGTGTGTATTTGCATGCATATATATGTGTGTGTGGTTTTGCTCATGCATTGTAATGTAATTTTTTTTTACTTTTTAAGTCTGTTCTGCTTTGTTTTTCAGTGTTTTTATGAGTGTTGGTCACTCATTGGCTTGATTGTGTTATGTACTGATGATTTTAACCTGTTAATTGTTTAATTGCTGTTTTGTATGTATGTATATTTGACATAGGCATCGAATTGTGCCTTCTTTGGTAAGCCGCCCTGAGTCCCCCCTTGGGGGTGAGAAGGGCGGGGTAGAAGTAACCGGAATAAATAAATAAATAAATAAATAATAAGTATATTGTGTCCAAATTTGGTGTCAATTCGCCCAATGGTTTTTGAGTTATGTTAATCCCACAAACTAACCATTACATTTTTATTTATATAGATACTAGCCGTCCCCTGCCACACGTTGCTGTGGCCCAGTCTGTGTATATGTATTTTGTGTGTGTATATATATGGTTTTGTGCATGCGTTGTAACATATTGTTTTTAATTTTTGGCTTTTTAAGTCCCTTCTGCTGTGTTTTTCAGTGTTTTTATGAGTGATGGTCACTCATTGGCCTGATAAGTGTCTTGTGTCCAAATTTGGTGTCAGTTCGCCCAGTGGTTTTTGAGTTATGCTAATCCCACAAACTAACAGCATTGTTGTGTAAACCGCTTTGAGTCGCCTAAGGGCTGAGAAAAGCAATATAGAAATAAAGTAAATAAATAATAACCATTACATTTTTATTTATATAGATACTAGCCGTTCCCTGCCACACGTTGCTGTGGCCCAGTCTGTGTATAGGTGTTTTGTGTGTGTATGTATGTGCATTGGCCTGATAGGTGTCTTGTGTCCAAATCTGGTGTCAATTCGCCCAGTGGTTTTTGAGTTATCTTAACTCCACAAACAAATATTACATTTTTATTTATATAGATGGTGAGTGGACTAATCAATAAACAGATCTATCTATCTATCTATCTATCTATCTATCTATCTATCTATCTATCTATCTATCTATCTATCTATTCTTATGCATATGCAAGCACCCCCAAATCAAAAAAGGAAGACAGGGGACACCTGTAGCTGCCTGCATCCTGGACAAGGGATGCTCAGTAACTTGGCCACATTTGAGGGTCCCCGATGTGGCTCCTCCCTCCCTCCCTACCACGGCCACTGTTGTCGTGTCCCCACCTGTCCTGCCGTGGGGGCACTCGCAGTAGAAGGAGGCCACCCGGTCGTGGCAGGTGGCCCCCATGAAGCAGGCGGCGCTGGCGCAGTCGTCGATGTTCTCGCTGCAGTCCTCGCCGGTCCAGCCGTTGACGCAGACGCAGTTGTGGCCGCCATAGGTGTTGTGGCAGGTGCCCCCGTTCTGGCAGGCGTTGGGGATGAGCTGGCACTCGTCCACGTCCTCCGTGCAGTACTGACCTGCGGTGAGTCCAGGAGAATTTCGGACTTCAAGCCGCCTCCAAAAGATCTCGGGATGCTTGGAAAAGGAGTCCCTCCACCCCACTCCCTCCCATTGCTTTTGGCAAGGAGAGTCCCAGTTACTCCCTAAAAGGGAACTCTTTCCATTGCTCTTTGAACGCCTTTTCCACAAGTTTACCACCATCATTTGGCACAGTTACTTTTCCAAAAGGGTTTCCCCCAATACTTTTTCAAAGGAATTCCTTCCCATTACTCTTTACAGTTGTGTTAAAAAAGAAATTTCTCCCCGTTACTCTTTGTAGTTACTTTTCACAAGGAGTTTCCCCCATTATTAAAAGGAATTCCTCCCCATTGTGCTTTCCAGTTGCTTTCTAAAAGGAATTTCTTTCCCACTACTCTTTGTAGTTACTTTTCACAAAGGGTTTCCCCATAATTAGAAGAATTTCTACCCATTACTCTTTCCAGTTGTGTTCTAAAAGAAATTTCTTCCCATCACTCTTTGTAGTAACTTTTCACAAGGAGTTTCCCCAAAAATTAAAAGGAATTTCTCCCCATTACTCTTTGTAGTTACTTTTCACAAAGGGTTTCCCCATAATTAGAAGGAATTTCTACCCATTACTCTTTCCAGTTGCGTTCTGAAAGAAATTTCTTCCCATCACTCTTTGTAGTAACTTTTGACAAGGAATTTCCCCAATAATTAAAAGGAATTTCTCCCCATTATTCTTTGTAGTAACTTTTCACGCAGAGTTTTCTCCATTTTAAAAGGAATTCCTCCCCATTTCTCTTTGTAGTTACTTTTCACAAGTTTTCCCCATTTTAAGAAGGAATTTCTCCCATTACTCTTTGTAATTACTTTTCACAAGTTTTCCCCATTTTAAAAGGAATTCCTCCACATTACTCTTTGTAGTTACTTTTCACAACTTTTTCCCATTTTAAAAGGAATTCCTCCACATTACTCTTTGTAGTTACTTTTCACAACTTTTTCCCATTTTAAAAGGAATTCCTCCCCATTACTCTCTGTAGTTACTTTTCACAAGTTTCCCCATTTTAAAAGGAATTCCTCCCCATTACTCTTTGTAGTTACTTTTGTCAAGTTTCTCCCATTTTAAAAGGAATTTCTCCCCATTACTCTTTGTAGTTACTTTTCACAAGTTTCCCCATTTTAAAAAGGAATTCCTCCCTATTACTCATTGTAGTTACTTTTCACAAGTTTACCCCATTTTAAAAAGGAATTCCTCCCCATTACTCTTTGTAGTTTCTTTCCAAAAGGAATTTCTTCCCATTACTATTCATGGTTACTTTTCACAAGGAGTTTCCTCCATTTTTAAAAGGAATTCCTCCCCATTACTGTTTCCAGTTGCGTTCTAAAAGGAACTTCTCTCCATTGTTCTTTCCAGTTGCCTTTCAAAAGCAGTATTTTCCCAATTACTCTTTCGGTTTCTTTCTCAATGGGCTTTCTACAGCTTCTTCGGCCCAGCCCTGTTTCCAACCTTCCCTCTCCAAGATCTTACCTGTCCATTCAGGTAAACACTGACAGTTGTAGGTGTTCACCCCATCCACACAGGTCCCACCATTCTTGCAGCCGTTTCCGGGGCAGTCGTCAATGTTTTCTTCGCAATTTGGACCAGAGAAACCTTGGGAGAGAAAAGAGATGACATGTATTAAAATTCAAAACCGGTATGTCCAGGTAAGCTCAGCACACATTGGACAGGTAGATGGTCTGAGGAGCAGATATACAATATAATTTGTCCTGGTCTTACGGTGAAAAGAAGCCTCCTATAGAATCAGAGAGATGGAAGAGACCCCCATGGGCCACTCAGTCTAACCCTCTTCTTCCAGCAGGAAAAGCACAATCAAAGCACTCCTGACAGATGGCCATCCAGCCACAGATCAGTTATAATACGTATTTATATAGAATCATAGATTTGGAAGAGACCCCAAGCGCCATCCAGTTCAACCCCTTTCTGCCATCATGCAGGAAAAGAACAATCAAAACATCCCCAACAGATGCCCATTCTGCCTCTGAGTATTATGACTGATAATAATATCAGTTGGAAGAGACCCCAAGGGCCATCTAGTCCAACCCTCTTTGTACAGGCAGGAAAAGCACAATCAAAGCACTCCCAACAGATGGCCATCCAGCCATAGATCAGATAAGAAAGAAAGATATGATACAGAGTCATAGAGTTAGAAGAGACCCCAAGGGCCATCCAGTCCAACCCCTTTCTGTCATTATGCAGGAAAAGCACAATCAAAACATCCCCAACAGATGCCCATCCTGACTCTGATTATTTTTACTGATAATATTAGAACGACAGAATCCTAGAGTTGGAAGAGACCCAAGGACCATCTAGTCCCACCCTCTTCCAGCCAGGAAAAGCACAATCAAAGCATTCCCAACAGATGGCCATCCAGCCATAGATGAGATATGAAAGAAAAATATGATACATATATACAGTGTCATAGAGTTGAAAGAGACTCCAAGGGCCATCCAGTCCAACCCCTTTCTGTCATTATGCAGGAAAAGTACAATCAAAACATCCCCAACAGATGCCCATTCTGCCTCTGAGTATTATGATTGATAATAATAGAACTATAGAATCCTAGAGTTGGAAGAGACCCCAAGGGACATCTAGTCCAACCCTCTTCTTCCAACCAGGAAAAGCACAATTGAAGCATTCCCGGCAGATGGCCATCCAGCCATAACTCAGATATGATAGATCGACAGATAAGATACATATATACATAGAATTGGAAGATTGAACGGTACTGGGCCCAGGACTGAACCCTCTTTATGGCACCCAAATGGTCACTTCTTTCCAGCATGAAGAAGAGGAACCATTGAATGGTACTGGGCCTAGGACCGAACCCTATTCATGGCATCCAAATAGTCACTTATTTCCAGGAACCCTTTGGGTTCAGTTGCTTAACCAATTCCAGATCCACCTAATAATCACATGGCCTAGCTCACATTGGACTAGTGTGCTTGCAAGAAGGTCATGGGAGGCTTTGTTGAGGGCCTTGCTGAAATCAAGATCTGCTCCATCCACAGCATTCCCTGCATCTACCAAGCTTGTAACTCTTTCGAAAAATGGGATAAGATCAGTCTGGCATGACTTATTTTTGAGGAATCCATGTTGACGTTGAGTAATCACAGCATTCTTTTCTAAGTGATTGCAGACCGCCTCCTTCATGATCTGCTCCAGAATCTTTGGTGGTACTGATGTCTGGTGGGACTTTATAGAGACCTATATTTGGACTCCATAAGTTTGGGAAGATGTTCTTAGTCAAGCATATAGTTCAATCTCAAGGAGAGATAATAGAACTTGGTGTTCCTCAGATGCCTCCTATTGAAGAACCTCAGATGCCTCTCATTGGAACCAGGGTTGTCCCAATTTAGTGTCCCCAAATCAGATAGGGTCTGGGTATCTGGAGCGTTTGCATATCCCGAGATCCGTGTTCCTTGCTCCTTCTGATCCAAGGCAGGGAGGTTCCCACGCCGGAGGCTCCACATTACCGGCCAAAATAGGAAGGAAACTCACACGATACCAGAAGGAAGGGGTGTGACTGGCCCCATGCGGACGCCGCTCACTGATGAGGAGGGGTGGGAAGCTGTGTCAGACTGAGTCAGATCTTTTGGGCCCATCTGTTTGTGCACCAATCCATATGATGAAACATTCAGTTGCCAGCCAACAGCATCTCGAAGCTTCAGAGAACTATCCATTTGGAAGGGATCCAAAGGACCATCCAATCTGCCCCCTTTCGAAGGAATACCCAATCCAAACTCTTCTTAGAGATGGCTATCCAGACACTAGTCCTGAGATAGAGACTCAGATTCCTAGAGTTAGAAGGCACACCCAAGGGTCATCTAGTCCAACCTCTTTTGAAGGAATACTCAATCCAAGCCCTTCTGAGAGATGGCCATCCAGCCACTAGACCTCCTGAGACAGAGACTCCTAGATTCCTAGAGTTGGAAGGGGCACCCAAGGACCATCAGGAATACTCAATCCAAGTCCTCCTGAGAGATAGCCATCCAGCTTCTGTTCAAAGATCTCCTGTGATAGACTCAGATTCCTAGTCAGAAGGAGCACCCAAGAGCCATCTAGTCCAACCCTTCAGTCTCTCCTGAGAGATGGCCATCCAGTCTCTAGACCTCCTGAGAGAGAGACTCCATGGGACTCAGAATCCTAGTTGGAAAGAGCACCCAAGAGCCATCTAGTCCAACCCTTTCAAAGGATTCAATCCCTCCTGAGAGATGGCCATCCAGCCTCTAGACCTCCTGAGGGAGACTCCATGGGACTCAGAATCTTAGAGTCGGAAGGAGCACCCAAAGGCCATCAAATCCAAACCCAATCTAAGTCCTCCTGAGAGATGGCCATCCAGCTTCTGTTTAAAGACCTCCTATGATAGAGACTGAAATTCCTAGAGTCGGAAGGGGCACCAAAGGCCATCAAGTCCAAATCCAATCCAAGTCCTCCTGAGAAATGGCCATCCAGCTTCTGTTTAAAGACCTCCTATGATAGAGACTCAAATTCCTAGAGTCGGAAGGGGCACCCAAGGGCTACCCAATCTGACCCCTTTCAAAGGAATACCCAAGCTATCCTTCCTGGGAGATGGCCATCCAGCCTCTAGACCTTCTGAGATAGAGACTGGACTGGACTCAGATTCCTAGAGTTGGAAGGAGCACCCAAGGGCCATCTAGTCCAACCGCTCTTCTGTTTTCGCTATCTGCTTCTCTGACCCTGGAACTCAACAAAAAAGCTCCTGTTTTGTAGCAGATTTCCCATGAAATGGGTGAGGAGGTGAACTTTCTGGGCAAAACATCTTGCTTGTTTCATGATGTGAAACCACCCAAAGCGAAAACAAAGAACCAACTTGAGGACGAGGTTCCTGTGGGTTTTTTCGGGCTATAGGGCCATGTTCTAGAGGCATTTTCTCCTGACGTTTCGCCTGCATCTATGGCAAGCATCCTCAGAGGTAGTGAGGTCTGTTGGAATTAGGACAATGGGTTTATATATCTGTGGAATGGCTGGGGTGGGGCAAAGAGCTCTTCTCTGCTGGAGCTGGGTGTGACTGTTTCAACTGACCACCTTCATTAGCATTTGAAGGCCTGGCTGAGCCTGGGGGAATCTTTTGTTGAGAGGTGTTAACTTGAGGCCTTTCTGAAGGCTTCAGGAAAGAAAACACTTGTCCCTTATTTTCCTCCCTTTCTATAACAAAGAAGGACGAGGGCAGAAAATGCCTGAAATAAATAGTCCTACATAAGGAGAGGAAGGAGTTCATTCGGTCCAGAAATCCTTGCCATCTCCTTCCTTTCCCCGATAAATTCTTTTCCCTCCTCCCCTCCAGTTGTCATGATTTGTCCTCAATTTTGGGGTGAAAGCGATTCCTTTACAGGCGAACAAGGCCCAGAAGTAGAAGCAGACTCTGCAAAAGCCGGCCAATTCGACACACTCCTGAGCGCCAAGCAACAGCTGTTTGACTGCTGTTTGCAAGTGTTCAAACACAGACACGTTCAGTGCAGCTGAAAGGCAACAATGGTTGTTTATTATTGTCAGGGGGTCAAATCTGTAATGGTAGGAAGATCCGTCTTGTTCGTCCAAGTCTAATGTTCCCCAAACTCCCATTTTCCAGGAGTTTAGGATTTGAAGCTGAGGCTTCTGGGAGCTGAAGTCCCAAAATTGCGAGTTTGCATTAGAAAGCTATCACAATAATACATCTAACAACATTTGGAAAAAAAAAACCTGTTCCTGGTTTGAAAGTGTAATTTCCTGTTTAATTGTGCGGTCCTTACTTTGCAAGTAGTTGTTATACTCCAGGAACTTTGTTTTTGTGACTGCCACGAACTCTGTTTGTGTTGCAGGATGTTCTGTAACTTTTTGCAGTTTAATCAACTTTTTCCATGTTTTTATAACAGAATCAATTAGAAAACAACAATTATAATCCAGGAAAAAATTGTGTTACATGTTGTTGTTGGTCATTCGTTCAGTCGTCTCCGACTCTTCGTGACCTCATGAACCCGCCTACGCCAGAACTCCCTGTTGGCCGTCACCACTCCCAGCTCCTTCAAGGTCAGTCCAGTCACTTCAAGGAGCCTATCCATCCATCTTGCCCTTGGTCAGCCCCTCTTCATTTTTCCTTCCATTTTCCCCAGCATAAGTGTCTTCTCTAAGCTTTCCTTTCTTCTCATGATGTGGCCTTCTTTTCCTTTTACCTTCCACTTTCCCCAGCATCATTGTCTTCTCAAGGCTTTGCTGTGTTACATAGTGTAATTGATTAATGCTCCTAGAAATGATCTATGCTGAAGATCGTGCCATCACCGCTCAAGCAGGGAGCTTTGAAATGGTTGATCAGAAGCTCTTTGAAGCTTTAGGTGTGCTTACTGCCTATTACAAGGGAAACCAACTGATTCCTAATTTATCTAAAATGCAGACATGTGCTTTTCACCTAATGAACAGACAAGCATCTCGAGCTGTGAGAATGACCTGGGAAGGAATCCAACTATATCTAAATACCTGGGAGTCACTCTAGACTTACAAGAAGCACTGCTTGAATATCAAGCAAAAAGTGGGTGCTAGAAATCATATCATACAAAAGTTGACTGGCACAACCTGGGGATCACCACTAGACACAGTGAAGACATCTGCCCTTGCGCTTGGTTACTCTGCTGCTGAATACACATGCAAAGTGTGGAATACATCTCACCATGCTAAAACTGTGGATATGTCACATTATCACAGGATATCTACGCCCTACATCGCCGGAGATACTATAATGTTTAGCCCCATGATGGCGAATCTATGACACGTGTGTCAGCATTGACACGCGCAGCCATTTTCGATGACACACAGCCGCATGCGGCTGCATACAGAGAAGATGGGGCCGCATCCCAAGAAGGACATTTCATCCTCGGCTCCTACACCAGCATTTTTCTATAATGCCGAGATATATGGCATTATAGAAAAAGCAGGTAAGTTAAATAATTAGTTTTTGGTTTATTAAATACAGTTATATATTACAATAATATATTTTTGTTATTAAACTATAAATATCATGACATTATGGGTTTTTTCTCAAAGTGACACCCCACTCGAGTTATGCTCGGTTTTTTGGCGAGTATTGACACACCAAGCTCAAAAGGTTGCCCGTCATTGGTTTAGCTGGTATTGCACCACCTGACATCCACTGGGAAGTAGCAGCCCATAATGAAAGGACCAAGGCAGTGACATCTCTGGCCCATCCTCTGTTCGCATATCAGTCAGCTTGCCAATGCCTTAAATCAAGAAACGGCTTCCTAATATCTACTCGCAGTATCGGCTCAGCAAATGAGAGTCCAAAAGTGGCAGGCTAAAACCCAGAACCTCAATCTGTGGCTGAGATTGGATGAGAGACTCCCTCCTGGGCACACAGAAGACTGGGCAACTTGGAAGGCACCACGAGATGCAGAGCCAAATGGGGCCACAAAGTGGAGTCCACAACATGCAATTGCGGAGAAGAGCAAACCAGAGACCACCTACTATAATGCAGCCTGAGCCCTGCCACATGCACAATGGAGGACCTTCTTGTAACAACACCAGAGGCACTCCAAGTGGCCAGTTTCAGGTCAAAGGACATTTAATATCATGACACATATGTAATGTTGTTTGTGGTTTTTCTATACATAACTGTATGCTCAATTTGCTTCTGATAAACAAATAAATAGCTGCCATACTCTTCTTTATGATGGCACATTAGTCTCAATAATAATAATAATAATAAAAATTATAATAATAAAAATAATAATAACAATAAATTATTATTATTATTATTATTATTATTATTATTATTATTATTATTATTATTATTATTCTCAGCATCATCTGAGTCTTGGCCAAGTTGAAGCCGAAGCTTCTGGAAGTTGGAGCTCCAAAATCAAAGAGTTTACTCCATCTGAATGCTATTGCAATTGTGTGTTATGTTGGTCCTCTATATGTCTGGGACTTCAGCTCCCATTATTCCTCATCATTGGCCAAGGCAACAGAGGTTTCTAGGAGCTGGGTGCCCAAAACAATGAGAGGCCTAGATTTTGGGAATACTTTCTTCTTCATTAAGCTCCTTAAAAGTGAGATAAATACCGCCATCGTTTGATTTTGTCGTCCGTTGAAGGCTTTCAAGTCTGTCCATCTCAGATAAGATATGCTGGCAGTTGAGATGGAAAAAATAAAATAATTCAAGATAAAACGGGGCTGCTGTTTTGAAGACGCAACCGACCCGTCATGTGTTCCAATGCCTCGTCCCGTGAGAAAAGACCTTCCTGAACCTTGGGGTACATGGCAGAATAGGCCACGAACATAGCGACACTTGCCTTCTTTCGGGGCTAAAACCCTCCACGCTTGCTGAATTTGGGGTTTTGTAGTTCCTCCAAAAAAGGGAACTTCTTCAAGATCTGCTTCTGGTCTTAGCAGTCATCAAACCAGAATGCAAAGGACAAGCTCGCAAGCACAGAGGACCAAGCAATGTCCTCATATCCGGCGAGGAATTATGGAAAAAATAGACCCATGTATGATCCCACGGCAAGCTGGTTTCAGGAAAGGGAAAAGCTGCACATCACAAGTGCTGAACCTGACTCTTGCGGCTCCTTTAACTGCCATGGCTCAATGCTATGGAATTCTGGGAGTTGTAGTTTTCTAAGGTACCCACATTCATTGTCAAGAAGGCTTGTAAAACTATTGCACCCACGGTTCAATAGCACCGAGCCGTCTAAGTCAAAGGTCTTTTAGCCTTCTATGCTCAAGAGCTCTGGACTCACCAAACTATAACTCTCAAGACTTCACAGCACTGAGGCATTACAGTCAAAGGTTTTTAGCCTTTTATGCTCAAGAGCACTGGACTCACCAAACTACAATTCTCAGGACTTCACAGTACCGAACAATTGCAGTCAAAGGTCTTTGGTCTTCAATGCTCAAGAGCGCCGGTCTCACCAAACTACAACTTTCAGGACTTCACAGTACTGATCCATTGCAGCTGAAGGTCTTTAGCCTTCTATGCTCAAGAGCTCTGGCCTCACCAAACTACAACTCTCAAAACTTCACAGCACTGAGCCACGGCAGTCAAAGGTCTCTGGCCTTCTATGCTCAAGAGCACTGGACTCACCAAACTACAATTGTCAGGACTTCACAGTACCGAGCCATTGCAGTCAAAGGTCTTTAGCCTTCTATGCTCATGAGCGCTGGCCTCACCAAACTACAACTCTCAGGACTTCACAGCACTGAGCCACAGAAGTCAAAGGTCTTTAGCCTTCTATGCTCAAGAGCTCTGGCCTCATCAAACTGCAACTCTCAGGACTTCACAGCACTGAGCCATTGCAGTCAAAGGTCTTTGGCCTTCTATGCTCAAGAGCGCTGGCCTCACCAAACTACAACTCTCAGGACTTCACAGCACTGAGCCACAGAAGTCAAAGGTCTTTAGCCTTCTATGCTCAAGAGCGTCAGCCTCACCAAACTACAACTCTCAGGACTTCATAGCACTGAGCCATGGCAGTCAAAGATCTTTAGCTTTCTATGCTCAAGAGCGCCGGCCTCACCAAACTACAACTCTCAGGACTTCACAGCACTGAGACACGGCAGTCAAAGGTCTTTACTCTTCTATGCTCAAGAGATCCGGTCTCACCAAACTACAACTCCCAGTGGTCAGACTGCGTTTGTTCAATAGTGTAGATCAGAGGTCTCCAAATTATCTCATCAGCCTAAAGCAGGCCCACACTTTCTATTGAACGACTGGTGCGTTTATGTTGTTTAGGATCATTTTCCAAAGAAATGGCTCAGGAGAAAAAGGCACAGAGAAGAAAAGGCCTCCCTACCTGGCAGGCAGGTGCATTCGAAAGTGGTGTCCCCAGTCTGGCGGCAGGTCCCTCCGTTTTGGCAAGGGGATGGGCTGCAGGGCATGTACAGGTGCTCGCAGTTGGGACCCGTGTAGGCCTGCCGGCAGTGGCACTCATAGCTGCCGATCTGGTTGTTGCAGGTCCCGCCGTTCTTGCAGACGGGTGGCATGCGGCTGCACTCATTGAGGTCTTCTTTGCACGTGGCACCGTGGAAGCCCGGCGGGCACCGGCATACATAGTCCGAGTCGAAAGGCACACACTGGCCGCCGTTGGCACAGGGGTTGGAGGCACAGGGATCAGCCTGTTGGCACGTCTTGCCTTGGGAGGAGGGCACAAACAAGGAGAAACATCACCGACATGGCCAAACAGCAACCAAACAAGAAGGAGGTGCATTAGTCTCGACTAATACAATAATAATAATAATAATTATTATTATTATTATTATTATTATTATTATTATTATTCTCAGCACCATCTGGAGATGCAATGACTTTGGGAAGCACCAGGGATGTTTGTGAGCCACCCTTCCTTACAATGGTGTAATAGTCTCAAATAATACAATAATAATAATAATAATAATAATAATAATAATATGCAATGATTTTTGGAAGTACCAGGAATATTTGTGAGTTACTCTTCTTTATGACTAGTCATAATAATATAATAATAATATAATAATAATAATAATAATAATATATTATTATTATTATTATTATTATTATTATTGAAAAGCTTACATGATATGAGGATTTAAAGATAGAACTGCAAAGACTCTGGCACAAGCCAGTCAAGGTGGTCCCAATGGTGATCAGCACACTGGGTGCAGTACCTAAAGACCTTGGCCTGGACTTAAAAACAATAGGCGCTGACAAAATTACCATCGGTCAGCCGCAAAAGGCCACCCGACTCGAATTTGCACGCATTATTTGTTGATACATCACATGGTCCTAGACACTTGGGAAGTGTCTGATGTGTGATTTCATACGGATCTTGCTTGCTGTGTACTAATCTTGTTGTGTATCAAATAATAATACTAATACTTCTCCGCCCTATCTGGAGATGCAATGATTTTGGGAAGCACCAGGGATGTGAGCCACTCTTCCTTATGATGGCGCATTAGTCTCAATTCATACGAAAATAATAATAATAATAATAATAATAATCTTTCTCAGCCCTATCTGGAGATGCAATGACTTTGGGAAGCACCAGGGACGTGAGCCACTCTTCCTTACGATGGTGAATTAATCTCAATTAATACAATAATAATAATAATAATAATAATAATCTTTCTCAGCTCTATCTGGAGATGCAATGAATTGGGAAGCACCAGGGATGTTTGTGAGCCACTCTTCCTTACGATGGCACATTAGTCTCAATTCATATGAAAATAATAAATAATAATAATAATAATAATAATAATCTTTCTCAGCCCTATCTGGAGATGCAATGACTTTGGGAAGCACCAGGGATGTGAGCCACTCTTCCTTACGATGGCGCATTAGTCTCAATTAATACAATAATAATAATCATAATCATTTTTCTCAGCCCTATCTGGAGATGCAATGACTTTGGGAAGCACCAGGGATGCTTGTGAGCCACTCTTCCTTACCTGACCAGCCGGGAGGGCAGCGGCATTTATACTCGGTCAAGGTGAGAAGATCGCAGGAGCCTCCGTTGCGGCAGGGGCTGCTGAGGCAGGCGTTCTCCTCGGGAGTAAGGCACAGCTTGTCGGTGTAGCCCAAGCGGCAGGCGCAGGTGTAGTCGGCGCTGTTGCCACGCACCCAAGGGTGGCAAGTGCCGGCATTTTTGCACGGGGAGCTCAGGCAAGGGTTTGGCAGCTGGCACCGGTTGCCGACAAAGGCGCTGGGGCATCTGCGGGGACAAAGACAGAGGCGGGGGCATGATCATGAGGTCAACAGGTGTCTCTTCTATCAAAGCGGCGTCCCGACGCTGTTCGCCCGCCAATCTGGATGCACGCAAAGCGACATCTCCATCTCGGGAGACCAATTTGTGTATTTAACTCTCAGGAACAACTGCTTCGGTGCATCCCTTGAAAGATAAACTAAACGCCAAAAGGAAAGGGTCAAGGAAACAAAAACAACAACTCCGGCTTCATTCTTATCTCAGCAGGAGAGCCCTTGGTTTGTTTGTTTGTTTAAGACCTCTTTTGGAAGGGCATAGCCTTGCAACAATGGGCTCATACAGCCATCCAAATGGCCATCTGTTCCTAGGCACCAAAAGAGTATGAGCCAAATGGCTCATTGAACGAAGGAAGGAAGACGGGAAGAGAGGAAGGAAAGACACATTCTCTCTCTCTCTCTCATACAGATATACAAACATTTATGGACAGTGCAAGAATCAAAATAAGGGTAAGCAAGTTGGCTGTATCAACACCTGAATCTAAAGTGAGGCCGATGCCTGGAGGATTCGGTATCGCAACTCTCCGGATTTTGGGAGGCAAAACCAGCCTCAGTTTCCACGCCTTAACAGAAGCGGATCCCACCCAGGAACCAAACCAAGGTTGCCACATTCAACCCTCTTTCGCCTCCCAAACAACTTCTTTTTCCAAGGTGTTTCTATGAATCTATCTCCCTTTTCAGTCTGATATCTGTGGCCAGATCCATGGCTGAATGCAAAGTTGGGAAAGAGCTCAATTTCAGGCCAGAACACCTCTCCAAGGGCCTCCTGTTGAAGCGCAGAACCAAAATAAGGGGATATCTTAATTTAATTCTCAATCCAAATCTGTTAATCTTTAAGATAAGAAACCACTAAATATGGGATGGGTACTTGTGGCGCAGTGGGTTAAACTGCAGAGCTGCTGAACTTGCTGACCAAAAGGTCGGCAGTTCGAATCCAGGGAGCGAGGTGAGCTCCTGCTGTTAGGGATGGGTACTGGTGGTGCAGCGGGTTAAACTGCAGAGCTGCTAAACTTGCTGACCAAAAGGTCAGCAGTTCGAATCCAGGGAGCGAGGTGAGCACCCGCTGTTAGGCCCAGCTCCTATTGGAATATTGGAATATTGTGTCCAATTCTGGGCACCACAATTCAAGAGAGATATTGACAAGCTGGAATGTGTCCAGAGGAGGGTGACTAAAATGATCAAGGGTCTGGAGAACAAGCCCTATGAGGAGCAGCTTAAGGAGCTGGGCATGTTTAGCCTGAAGAAGAGAAGGCTGAGAGGAGATATGATAGCCATGTATAAATATGTGAGAGGAAGCCACATGGGAGGAGGAGGAGGGAGCAAGGTTGTTTTGCTTCCTGGAGACTAGGACACGGAACAATGGCTTCAAACTACAAGAAAGGAGATTCCATCTGAACACGAGGAAGAACTTCCTGACTGTGAGAGCCGTTCAGCAGTGGAACTCTCTGCCCAGAGTGTGGTGGAGGCTCCTTCTTTGGAAGCTTTTAAACAGAGGCTGGATGGCCATCTGTCAGGGGTGATTTGAATGCAATATTCCTGCTTCTTGGCAGAATGGGGTTGGACTGGATGGCCCAGGAGGTCTCTTTCAACTCTTTGATTCTATGATTCTATGATTCTAAGAACTTCCAGTTCGAAAACATACAAATGTGAGTAGATCAATAGGTACCGCTCTTGTGGGAAGGTAACGGCGCTCCATGCAGTCATGCCGGCCCATGACCTTGGAGGCGTCTATGGACAACACCGGCTCTTTGGATTAGAAATAGAGATGAGCACCAACCCCCAGAGTTGGACACGACTGGACTTAATGTCAGGGGAAAGCCTTTAACCTTTACCATATGTATATATGTGAGATATGACTATATACAACGTTGTCAGGTCATTACTATGTATCTTAGTGTACGTTAGTAATGAAAAGTATAAAAGTCTCAATAAATGTGTTTGTGTGTATGTATATGTATGTGTATGTATATATATGTGTGTGTGTGTGTGTATGTGTATATGTGTGTATGCGCGTGTATATATACTAGCTGTCCCCTGTCACGCATTGCTGTGGCCCAGTCTGTGTATATGTGTGTGTATATACGTGTATATGTGTATATATATGTGGTTTTGTGCATGTATTGTAATGTATTTTTTTAATTTTTTTGGCTTTTTAAGTCCCTTCTACTGTGTTTTTCAGTGTTTTTATGAGTGATGGTCATTTGTTGGCCTGATAGGTGTCTTGTGTCCAAATTTGGTGTCAATTCGTCCAGTGGTTTTTGAGTTATGTCAATCCCTCAAACAAACGTTACATTTTTATTTACACACACACACACACACACGTGAATTGAATATATACTATTTCAACAGGTAGTTAGTATGCATCTTAGTGTATGTTAGTAAATAAAGACTAGAGGTATTGAGAAATGATAGCTGAGAAATGTATATACATTGTATATACAATTAGTACGTATGTTAATGTCTTTTAGAAATGAAAAGCATTAAAAGTATCTAGAAATGTGTGTGTGTACATTATATATATACACATGCACACATATATGTATATGTATGTATGTGTGTATGTATGTGTACATTTATATATGTATATGCATATATGTGTTGTATATATGTATATGTATAGTGTATGTATGTATATATATATATGTATGTGTACATGTATATATGTATATGTATAATATACGTGTGTGTATGTATGTGTATATAAATGCATGTATATATATATATGTGTGTGTGTGCTTGTGTGTGTATGTATGTATGTATATATACACATATATTAATGTCTTTTAGAAATGAAAAGCATTAAAAGTATTTAGAAATGTGTGTGTACATTTATATATATATACACACACAGATACATATATGTGTATATTTATATGTATGTATATATGTGTGTATGTATATATGTATATATGAATATATGAATATGTATAATATATGTGTATGTATGTATATATGCATGCATATATATATGTATGTGTGTGCTTGTGTGTATGTATGTGTGTGTGTATGTATATATATACACACACATAGATGTATATATTTATATGTATGTATGTGTGTGTGTGTATGTATGTGTACATGTATATATGTATATGTATAATATATGTGTGTGTATGTATGTGTATATATATGCATGCATATATATGTATGTGTGCTTGTGTGTGAGTGTATGTGTGTGTGTGTGTATATATGCATGCGCATCCACTATATGACATCTAAAATGTTATAGCTCCATGCTATGGAATCCTAGGAAATTCAGTTTGGTGCAGTATCAGCCCTCTTTGGCCAAGAAGGCAAAAGACCCTGCAAAACTACAACTCCCTGCATTCCACATGGCAGTGAAAGCGTTGCCAAACTGCATTAATTCTGCAATATAGACATGCCTCAGGTCCCCAGAACTCTGGGTGGTCTGTGACCAGCGTTTCCAAAGGAAACCTCTTCCAAATCCATCCAGAGAAGGAGCAAAAAGAAAGAAGAGAGGAGAAGTTGGCAGGCTTGGGAAGAGGCAGCAATTTTGCAAAGATGGAGAGAAGGGGAAGAGAACGGTCTGATCCATTATTTCTTTCTTTTTGAAGGAAGGGGGGATATTTGGGAGTGAGGTGCCACGATCCAGAAGACCCGACGCAAGGGGGGGAAAACGGGCATCGCAACAAAACCGGGGCATCTGCCGGCAGGACAAAAGGTTTCCCCCGCAAAGAGCAGGTGTGCATTTTAATGAGAGGGCAGCAGCTGCTAAGTAGGGGGAAAAGGGGGGAGAAAGAGGACCAAATGGAGGGGAGGGGCCGCTGCAACTGGTTGTTTCCCCCCTCCCTTTTCTCAATGGCTTCGGAAACCAACCTGTTGCGCAAAGAGAGGCCTGAATGTGGCACTGTCAAGGCATTTTTGGCCACACAGTCCACCACCCATCTTTGCTAGGGTTCGAAAACATTGAAAACAAAATATAATGCAAATATCCAGCACGGGTGATGCCTTGCTCGACAACAATCCATGTTGTGGTGACCCCCAACCATAATAAAATGCAAATATAGAGCACGGGTGATGCCTTGCTCGACAACAATCCAGGTTGTGGTGACCCCCAACCATCACATTATTTTCGTTGCGACTTCGTAACTGTAATTTGGTAATCGTAATGTAAATATCTGATACGCAGGATGTGTTTTCATTCACTGGACCGAATTTGGCACAAATACCCAATACGCCCAAATTTGAATACTGGTAGGGTTTGTGGGGGGATTGATTTTGTCATTTGGGAGTTGTAGTTGCTGGGATTTATAGTTCACCTACAATCAAAGAGCATTCTGAACTCCACCAACGATGGAACTGACCCAAACTTGGCACTAATACTCAATATTCCCAAATATGAACACGGATAGAGTTTGGGGGAAAACAGACCTTGATATGTGGGAGGTGCAGTTACTGCGATTTATAGTTTACCTACAATCAAAGCATTCTGAACTCCACCAATGATGGAATTGAACCAATCCTGGCACAACGAACTCCCATGACCAACAGAAAGCACTTGAAGGGTTTGGTGGGCATTGACCTTGCGTTTGGGAGTTGTAGTCCACCTACATCCAGAGAGCACTGTGGACACAAACAATTATGGATCTGGACCAAACTTGGCACATATACTCAATATTCTCAAATATTAATACAAATAAAGTTTGGGGAAAACAGACCTTGACATTTAGGAGTTGTAGTTACTGGGATTTATAGTTCACCTACAATCAAAGAGCATTCTGAACCCCACCAACGATGGAATTGAATCAATCTTGGCACACTGAACTCCCATGACCAACAGAAAGTACTGGAAGGGTTTGGTGGGCATTGACCTTGCGTTTGGGAGTTGTAGTCCACTTACATCCAGAGAGCACTGTGGACTCAAACAATGATGGATCGGAACCAAACTTGGCACTAATACTCAATATTCCCAAATATGAACAGAGATAGAGT